TTGCCGGTGGCCAAGCCTGGAATTCCCAGCACTTTGGGAGGCCGAGAGGCGAATCACAGTCAGGAGATCGAGACCATCCTGGCTAACACAGTGAAACCTCGTCTCTATACTAAAAAATACAAAAAAACTAGCCGGGAAGGTGCGGTGGCCTGTAGTCCTAGCTACTCAGGAGGCTGAGGCCAGGAGAATGGCGTAAACACCGGGAGGCGAGGCTTGCAGTGAGCTGAGATCCGGCCACTGCACTCCAACCTGGGCGACAGAGGAGACTTCCATCTCAAAAAAAAAAAAAAAAAAAATGAGATTGTATCTGTTAGGATGTCAAACAACAAAACAAACAACAAAATAACGACACATAAACCAAGCTAATGCTACACAAGATGTGATGTCAAGACAGGGATGAAGAGGCCCTACTAAGAGGCAGCTGCGGCTGCAGTGAAACCATTGATCCACCTCTTTCCCCTGCTCCTTCTCTGGTGCGGCCCCAGCCAGCTCCACGGCCGTGGTGCTTTGCATGTTCTCCACACAGTCCTGCGCCACAGGAGCATGCTCCTCCCTCCCCAAACCTCTGGCCACCTGCTCCTCTGTATCAGAGTCCCTCCGCATTCTTCTTCCTGCTTCTGCAGAGAAATCAAACACGGCATTAAATGCTCTAGAGAACAGCATAAGGTGGGAACCCTGCAACAAGCAGGCTTCCCACCCCCCTCAGCGAGGGTCTTAAAACAGAAACCTAGAACTCCTTGGAAGTGTCCACATGTTGAGATGAGGAGTATCCTAAAAGGGATTCTAAGGGAATAAAGGGACCTTTCCTCCCTCCCTCAATTATTGTTTAATGAAAAAAGCCAGACATCCCATGAACGCTGGGCCTGAAACCTTCGGTCCAGCAGGGCCATTCTCCTCCACCCTTCCTCATCGGCATCCTTGTCTTTTTTCCCTCCAGTACGCTGCTGCTGCCCTCGGACATGGTTCCTCAGGAGCTGACAAAGCATCCCCATCTCTATCCATCAGTCCTGTGTCCATTTCCTCTCCCCTTGTTGACCTTGTCATCCTTCACTGGGGCCTTCCCCTCGGGCCTCTGTGAACACACACTGCACTCCAGCCTGGGCGACAGAGCGAGACTCCGTCTCAAAAAAAAAGAAAAGAAAAGAAAAGAAAAGGAGAAACAAGGATAGAAAATGGAAACATGGGGCCAAAGATATAGAATGAAAACCAGGAGAGTGGGATGTCACGAAATACAAGATAAGAAAATGTTTCCAAAGGAAGGATTAGTCAGTTGTGTCAACTGAGGCTTAGAAGTCAAGTAAAGAAAAGATTGTGTCCACTGTATTTGGTAAAACGGAAACCACTTGGTATGGTGGTGAATATGGATGCCAGAATGGCACATAAAGAGTAAAGAATAAAGAGTAAAGAGTAATAAAGAGTAAAGAAGAGAATAAAGAGTAAAGAAGTGGAGACATTTACAGATAACTCTTTCAAGAAGCTTGGCAATAAATGGTGAGAAGAGATATTGGGTGGTAGAAAGAAAGAGACATGAGATGTGAGAATGTGGTGCACAGGAAATTTTTTTCTTTTTTTTTTTTTTTTTTTTTGAGATGGAGTCGGCCACTGCACTCCAGCCTGGGCGACAGAGCGAGACTCCATCAAAAAAAAAAAAAAAAAAAGAATGAGATGTGATCTGTTAGATGTCAACAACAAAACAAACAACAAAATAACGACACATAAACCAACTAATGCTACACAGAATGTGATGTCAGACAGGGAGAAGAGACCCTACTAAGAGGCAGCTGGCGGCTGCAGTGAAACCATTGATCACCTCTTTCCCCTGCTCCTTCTCTGGTGCGGCCCCAGCCAGCTCCACGGCCTGTGTGCTTTGCATGTTCTCCACACCAGTCTGCCCACAGGAGGCATGCTCCTTCCTCTCCAAAACCTCTGGCACCTGCTCCTCTGTATCAGAGTCCTCCCGTTCTTCTTCCTGCTTCTGCAGAGAAATCAAACACGGCATTAAATGCTCTAGGAGAACAGCATAAGGTGGGAGACCCTGCAACAAGCAGGCTTCCCCACTCCTCAGCGAGGGTCTTAAAACAGAAACCTAGAACTCCTTGGAAGTGCCACATGTTGATGGAGGAGTATCCTAAAAGGGATTCTAAGGGGAATAAGGTGACTTCTCCTCCTCCTCATTATTTTTAATGAAAAAAGCCAGACATCCCATGATACCTGGGGCTGGAAACCTTGGTCAGCAGGGCCATTCTCTCCACCTTCTTCATCGGCATCCTTGTCTTTTTCCTCCAGAGACTGCTGCTGCTCCTCGGAGTGTTCCTCAGGATGCTGAGCAGCATCCCCATCTTGATCATCAGCTCCTGTGTCCATTTCCTCCTCCCCTTTGACCTTGTCATCTTCACTGGGGCCTTCCTCGGGCTCCTGTGGACTCTGACTTTCGTTCTGGTCAGTCTCAGTCTCTCTTTCCTCAGCTTCATGACCTGCTTCTTCTGGTTTTTCTTTTATCTCCAAAGGATTCTCTTCTGTATAGATACAACAAAAAGGAACGCAGAATTTTTTAAACTTACATGATTTCTTAAGCTGGGAGCTAGTTATGCAAGTTTTGTCTTATTACAATTCTATAAACCAGTGAGTGGCAAATTGTGACCCACAGGCCAAATCTGGCCTCCACATGTTTCTGTGAAGAAAGTTCTACTGGCCGGGCACAGTGGCACATGCCTATAATCCCAACACTTTGGGAGGCTGAGACGGAAGGATCGCTTGAGTTCAAGACCAGCCTGGGCATGCATCATAGTGAGACCCCATCTTTTACAAAAAATAAAAAATTAGCCAAGCATGGCGGCATGCACCTATGGTCTTGGCTACTCAGGAGGCTGAGGCAGGAGGATCACTTGAGCCCAGGAGGTCAAGGCTGCAGTGAACTATGATCACGCCCCAGTACTCCAGCCTGGGTGACAAGGCAAGACCCTGTCTCCAAAAAAAAAGGGTAAAGTTTTTACTGGAACACAGCAACATATATCGTGTTTACCCCATCCATTTTGTACTGCCTATGGCTGCTTTCACTCTACAGCAGTAGAACTGAGTATTTGCAATCGAGAGCTTATGGTCTGCAAAGCCTAAAATATTTAATATCTGATGCTTTATAGAAAAAGTTTGCCTATCTTTGTTTTAAACCATATACATACAGTTGTTTTAATGGCACATTTCATTAAAAAATAATAGCTAATCTACCCCCAAAAAACCCCCATAAACAAACAAAAAAAAAAATAGGAAAATTTTAGGCCAATAATAGGAAATGACAGCTTAATGCTCAATTATTGTGAACAACTGTTGAATGTCATGATCATATACAGAAAATACAACTCACACTGAAATAGAAACCGTCTTATTTTGAAAAAGTTTTATCAAAAGAGCTTTTATATACTTTGGACACTTCAAAAATCAGTTATTAGCAAATTCTTAAAATAACTCTTACTATTTTTATTTTTATTTTTTTGAGACGGAGTCTCGCTCTTGTTGCCCAGGCTGGCGTGCAGTGGCACAATCTCGGCTAACCGCAACCTCTGCCTCCGGGGTTCAAGCGATTCTCCTGCCTCAGCCTCCAGAGTAGCCAGGATTACAGGCATGTGCCACCACACCGGGCTAATTTTGTATTTTTAGTAGAGACGGTGTTGGTCCATGTTGGTCAGGCTAGTCTCGAACTCCCAACCTCAGGTGATCCGCCCGCCTCAGCCTCCCAAAGTGCTGGGATTACAGGCATGAACCACCGCACCCGGCTAATTTTTTAATTCTTTAGAGACAGAGTCTCGTTCTGTCACCCAAGCTGGAGCGCAGTGGCAACATCATGGCCCACTGTAGCCTCAACCTCCTGGGCTCAAGCGATTCTCTCACCTCAGCCTCCTGAGTAGCTGGGACTACAGGTGTGTGCCACCATGCCCAACTATTTTTTTCTTTGGTAGAGACAGGGTCTCACTATGTTGTTCAGGTTGGTCTCAAACCCTGAGCTCAAGTGATTCTCCCACCTTGGCTTCCCAAAGTGTTGAGAAGCCTTACAGGCATAAGCCTCTGCAACCAGCCTATTGGTTTTCTTTTTCCATTGTCTATTATTCAATTAGCAAATGATTTTAAATAATTGTTCCTTAGTTATAAAACGAGTCTGGCTATTTAAAAGCAGATAGCTTATTACATTCTCAGTGGATTTTAATTTTCTTAATTTTATGCTTTCTTGGTTATTGACTTTGTTTGCAACTAGATTCCAAAATTAATTTTTACCTAAATGGCACCTCTTATTATTCCTTTGTAACTTGCTATCTTTGTTCTAATACAGCATTATAAAAATATACATATATATATTTTAAATGGATGTTATAACTATGTAACTGACTCATTTATCAGCAAGGCCAGCTCACATCTTTCTGTCTGATTAAGCAGCAGGAATGGGGCCCTGTTACGGGGGCACTGCCAACACAGTGCTCTCAACTAATGCCAGCTGACACCCCTAAAGGACTCACTAGAGTTGAAAAATGGATGACAAAGGCACTAAATACTGTCATATGCCATGTGATTTCTCTTGGGATTAGTCTTGTTCCCCACTGCATGTGACAATCAATAACTAAAACCATCATTTCCCTAAAAAAGCTATAACCGGACTCCACGACAGCTTAGTATACCTAGACTGCACAGTGTTTACACCATCCCATGAGATGGGACACACAGTAATGGCTGTGAAGAGACAGTGTTGTGTATGAAGCACCACCAGGGCATAGCAGTGCCAAAAGTGATAATAGGACGTGATAGTAGTTTGAGAAACACCTACTGGTTGATGAGCTCTAGGGATAATCACATGAGAAATATTACAAAGGAAAAGCAAACCATTTTCTCAAACTGGGATTGAGCCAACCAAACATGATTTATCACCTGGCCATGATACTGAGCTAGCTCTCAAAAGAGAAATCAGTTACTGTTCAGTAGTGAGTTCTAACTGGTCTCTTTGTTTCTGAAAGACGCACCTTCTCCTTCTTCATTGTCGGTGTCCTCACCACCATTCTGGTCTTCACTGTCGAGGTTCAAGTCATCCGGAAGGTCCAAGGCCTCGGGTTCTGGCAGCTTTTCCTGATTGCCATGGTAAGGGTCCACCTCATTTTCATCATATTCCCTCTTTGGGACAATGGAGACAACGGGGATAAAATAAAAATACCATTGTTTTTAAAAGTAGAATTCCCATAAAATCAGCTCTAAGTATTTACACTGTGAGAGCATACAGTATCTATTCCCTAAAATTATCTGCACACATTAGTATTTTATTTTTAGACCTTTCATGTTGGAATCTCAGATTTCACTTTCTGTGCGGTTCTCCAAGGACAAGTGGTGCTATGTTAATCTCAAAGAAACTTACAAGAAGAAATAAGAAGAGATCACAGGTTTTAGCTTCTGATCTATAGCATAAGCCCAAACAACATGTGTACTACCCTGTCAGGAACCAACAGTTAGATATTTTATGTCCTGTTAAGAGCCTCTGTTGCATATTCTTTTATGAGGTAATGGGGGAGCAGTCAACAAATAGGGGAAAAAATGTCTCGAGACACCTCGAGAACTATACAGTTCAAGAGCCTTGAGTCAAGAGAGCAGATCAGTTTCAAATCTTCATTACCTCATCTATTTGTTCATTAATTTTGTCTTCACCTTCTCCACCATCATCAGCTTCTGATTCTTCCTTTTCTTCCTTCTTATCTTTCTGGCTTTTATCTTTGTTTGAATTGCCACTATCCAAGTTGTCATCTTTAGCAACAAGTTCAGAATCTTCCTAAATGTCAGAGGAAGAAAAAACAATCATCACACTCAATTCCAGAAACTGTTTCTGCATTAGTTGACTTTTAGACATGCATAATTTCTGCCTACTGGACCTACCCCATGGATGGCTGATGAAGTGCCATCCATGACGTAGAGAAAACAATGCAGGTCTCCATGATGGCAGCAATATTATTAGGTGTGTGAATAGTGGGGTGAGTTGGATAATTCATTGTATCACCCTGGGCTGTTGCAGTGTTACACTCAGCCCTGTAGTTCTCCCAAGCTGTGAGCTGGAAAAATTCAGTGGCCTATAGGAGAATCAGCTTAGAACATCTACACAGGGTCTTGTTCATCCTCCTCCATAACACATGGGATGACTCAGGTCAAGCTACTCTTAGCTCTGAATGTAATCAATGAGATAGGATAGAAAAAAGAAAAAGAGGAATGGAAAAAAGAGAACAAAAACAAATACAGAAAAAGAAGAGAAGTAAATGACAGAGAATGCTAGGTGGTAGGCAGATTACCTCCTCTCAGTTTGTTTGGAAGGGGGGAAATCTTTTAATTACCTCATCCATTCCTGGTCCTGTTTCTTCAGTTTTATTGTCTTCTTCCTCCTCATCTTCCTCATCGTCATCACCCCAAAGCCTCTCATCTAGTTTGTCAGCTTCCTCACCATTGAGATCGCCCATCTGTTTATCCAGGTCTCCGCCCTCACTATCTGATTTCTCATCATCCTCTTCTGAAAGGGAAGGCACTGAGCTTAGTTAGGCAGATCTCCAAACTGACCCAGTCATGTGTATGTAAGAGGGGTGTGGACCCGACTCCCCGGCAAGGGACCCACCAGGGATTGACTGCCTTTTTCTATAGAACACATCCTCCAGGTGGAGGCCTTTACATCTACTGACACAGACATAGTCTTACTGTGTTTTGCCAAGTGGAGGCACAAGGAAGCCTATAATGTGTGAACAGATGGTAAAATGAGTAAGGAAATACCTACGAGGATGTCTAGTTTTGGTGCTGGGACATTATGGGACTCAGCAACCTGAGTTTTGTGTCTGAAATGATGGGGTTGGACTAGGTGGTTTCCATGGGTCCTCCCCATCTTCAATATACTGCTATGATATTTTCCAACATCTAAAATCAGGTCTCAATCAGAATTGTCATTTGTCTTTGCACAGGGTCTACTTTGCAAAAGGTCATATTCTATGTGCCTTAGGCCAACTGCCACAAAGGTCAACTTTCATTTCTGCAAGATATTCATTTTAGAATAAGACACAGTATCTCAAATTGGACAGAAATTTGGGGCAAGGGCTGAATTATGGTACAAACATATGTGACAGATGACGATGTACTTTAAAAAAATCAAATTCTCAAATAATTTTTAATGACAGGGAGAATTTTCTTAAGATGTTAAATGAAAAAAGCAGGCCCAACGCGGTGGCTCATGCCTGTAATTCCAGCACTTTGGGAGGCTGAGGTGGGCAGATCACGAGGTCAGGAGATCGAGACCATCCTGGCTAACACGGTGAAACCCTGTCTTTACTAAAAACACACACACACACACACAAAAATTAGCTGGGCGTGGTGGTGGGCACCTGTAGTCCCAGCTACTTAGGAGGCTGAGGCAGGAGAACGGCGTGAACCTAGGAGGCAGAGCTTGCAGTGAGCCGAGATTGTGCCACTGCACTCCAGCCTGCGGGACAGAGCGAGACTCCGTCTCAAAAAAAAAAAAAAGCAGACTACAAAACTGTATATGGTCTGTGTGTGTGTATACATGCAATAAATGGAAAGAAATATATCACAATTTACTAAGTGCTATGGGTGGTAGGCCTAAGGGGGGATCTATTTCTTTTCTACATTTTTGTTCCAAATCATCTACAACAAACATCTACTATTTTTCTGATTAGGAATAAAAGGTATTTTAAACACTACAGAACAATTTGCCTTTTGTTGAGAGCCCAGCTCCATTAGGGATCATCTCCTTTCAGGCTTCCCTGAAGGACACTACTGAGCCACTGCATCTAGCACATGAGGCAGCTAGAACATCAGTCAATGTGAGAAGAATCTATGAGAGACCAGGGACTTCTGCCTCAGTGGAGGTGGTGACAGCACATGCAGTTGCTGAGGTTTTCATTTGCAGTTAAGCACAGTAACCAACTTATTTCAAAAGATTATATTAGGTTCCTTATTAGAAACATGGAATTTCCTGGATAAAATATTTATGCTTTCAAAAACAAGAATGAAGTGACAGATAATCTGAAACCTTGTTCTTCAAGCTCCCCATCATGCATTTTCCCGTCAAAGTCTTCTGACATCTCAATGGCATTATCCTCGCCCTTAATATCAGATTTTGAATCAGGATCCTCTTTGTCTTTTTCTTGACCCTTCTGAAATGTATCTTCCACCTACATAAAAAAGTATTACAGTAAACATAATAAATGAAACTTTACCAATGTTTGCTTCAGCTCTGAGATATAAATGCCAACGTTAATGGTGTAAAAATATATTTGGGAGAGGGAAAAAAAAGAGAAACAACAGAGACAGCCACATGGAATTTGTAAAATTTCTGGAGTTAGTTTCCACTTATTGTAATCAGAGAGTATAGAATTTTGTTCAGGTTTTCTTATTGGGAATTGTAAAAATAGTCCCAGAGACATTTGCAAGAATATATATTCTTTGTAGGATAAAAAGTTCATCAATCTTTTATTATCCAATTCTTTAATACTATTTTTGTCACTATGACTGCTGAAAGACAGTGGCCCAAGATAATCTTGTTCATTCTTCCTTGGTTTATATATTTCTTTTATAAAAAATTATTTTTTATGTTTTTAGACAGGGTCTCACTATGTTGCCCAGCCTGGAGTGCAGTGGCACAACCATGGCTAACTGCAGCCTCAACCTCCTGGGATCAAGCAATCCTCTGCCTCAGCCTCCCCAGTAGCTGGGACCACAGGGACATACAACCACACCTGGCTAACTTTTTATTTTTTGCTAGAGACGTGGCCTTGACATGTTGCCCAGGTTGGTCTCGACTCCTGGGCACAAGCAATTCTCCTGCCTTAGCCTCCCAAAGTGGTGGGATTACAGGTGTGAGCAACTGAGCCCAGCCTAATTTATATGTTTCTATATAATCGATGTGATATTTGGGGCAAAAAGTTTTGTGATTGTTACCTCTTTCATTATGGTTGATTTTTGAAAGTTCTTTTTAAGGCTGGGCACAGTAGCTCATGCCTGTAATCCCAGTACTTTGGGAGACCGAGGCGGGTGGATCACAAGGTCAGGAGTTCGAGACCAGTCTGGCCAAGATGGTGAAACAGTGTCTCTACTAAAAATACAAAAATGAGCAAGGTGTGGTGGTGGGGGCCTGTAATCCCAGCTACTCAGGAGGCTGAGGCAGGATAACTGCTTGAACCCAGGAGGTAGAGGTTGTGGCGAGCTGAGATCACTGCACTCTAGCCTGGGTGACAGAGCAAAACTCCGTTTAAAAAAAAAAAAAAAAAAAAAACGAAGTCCTTTTTAAAATACAAAAGTCATGGCCAGGCATGGTGGCTCACGCCTATAATCCCAGCACTTTGGGAGGCTGAGGCGGGCAGATCACTTGAGGGGTCAGGAGTTTGAGAACAGCTTAGCCAACATGGCAAAACCCTGTCTCTACTAAAAATACAAAAACTACCCTGGCGTTGTGGCGTGCGCCTGTAATCCCAGCTACCTGGGAGACTGTGGCATGAGAATCGCTTGAACCCGGGAGCCGAGACTACGCCACTACGCTCCATCCTGGGGGACAGAGCAAGACTCTGTCTCCAAAATAAAATAAAAACAAGTTTCCCCGTAACACCTCCATCCTCGAAGCCTCTCAAAGAATGACTACCAATAACATTCTAGTGAACCTTTGACTTTTTTCTATGAATACACCAACATATACTTAGTGATACAGGTGATAGCTATCAATACCTGCCTCCCAACATCTTTTTAAACAAAAAAGAGATCATGCTTTACAGACTGTTATGCAATCTGCTTTTTTCATTTTTATTTTTCTGAAACAAGCTCTTGCTCTATCATCTAGGCTGGAGTGCAATGGTGCGATCTTGGCCCACTGCAACCTCCACCTCCCAGGTTCAGGCGATTCTCCTGCATCGGCCTCCTGAGTAGCTGGGATTACAGGTGCATGTCACCACACCCACTTAATTTTTGTATTTTTAGTAGAGACAGAGTTTTGCCATGTTGGCCAGGCTGGGTTTTGTTTTGTTTTAATTTTATAGAGACAGTGTCTCCCTATGTTGCCCAGGCTGGTCTTGAACTCTTGGCCTCAAGGGATCCTCCTGCCTTGGACTCCCAAAGTACTAGGAATCCAGGCATGAGCCACCACACCCAGACTGTAAAACACATCTTTTCTTAAAAACATCTCAGCCAGGTGCGGTGGCTCACGCCTGTCATCCTAACTACTCAAGAGGCTAATACAAGAGGACTCCTTGAGTCCAAGAGTTCATGGCTGCAGTGAGCTATGATTATAGAACTGTACTCCAGCCTGGGCAAGACAGCAAGACCTCATCTCTTAAAGAAATAAGATCCTTAGGTTATTTTCATGTTGATACATACAAAACCATCTCATTCTGCTTCATTCATACTTTTACCATTGTTCTGCATGGATGGTGCCATAATTCTTTTCTGATGAATATTTGGATTGTTTCACAATTTTCACCATATAAATAATGCTATAGTAAATATCCATGTGCAGACATATATACACACTCATATACCTATTTATCTTTGACACTAGCATTTCTATAAGAAAACATGGAATTTGGGGGTCAATGAATACACATAATTTAAAATTCAGCAGACACTACCAAATTGTTCTGGAAGCTTTGTAATCCACGTAACGTTTTTTGCATGAACTGTACTTTTCTATTAGGTTTGCATTTTTTTTTTGACTTTTTCTATTAGAAAAGTAGTATACAGTGATTAAGTCAGACTTGAGAAATACAGAAAGGCCAAAATAACAAAGCCATTATCTAAGGATAATATAGGTCCAAAAAAAAAAGTTAGAGCTCCATAACATAAATACTAGCATTATTCTTTTGGCTTTTAATTTCTTTTCAGTTTTCTCTGCCAAGGAAGAGAGGGAATTTGAATTGGTTTTCTCCTTTATTTTCAATAACTATAAAATTACCTTAAATACAAGTTTCTGATCTGATTTAACTTAGAATGTAAGTGATACACCCAACACACACAAATCACTCCTAAATGAGACAGGCATTTTAAAAATCCATGCAGTGTAACAATCTTAGTCCACAACATCTGAATAGTTCAGAAGGTTGCTTGACTCCAACCAAAAATGATACAGATTTTTTAAAACTCTCTATGCCTAAAAGATATACAACAGCAAAACCTATTAACAGCAAATTTTGGCATTATTGTTTAATGCAATTATCACTTAAGATAGGCCTTTTATGCTTAAAAATACTATCAAAAATACTCTAGAAAATTTCAGCAAATATCTGCCCATTAAAAAAAAAAAAAAAGTAAAAATCATTTCCTCCCTAATTATAGCCACAACCAATGACGGAGTTGCCAGGTTCCTTCCTGTGGATTTTAGGCTTTTTATTTACACCTACAGCCCAAGCACCAATATATCTAGGGCTCTGTAGATCACACATTAAAAACAGCCTAGTAAAAACCATTTTTATGTGTAACTTACATATTGAAAAGAAAGAGAGTGATCTTCTGTCAACTGTATACCCATGTGAAAACGTACCTGTTCTTCATTTTCTATCTGGTCACTCACATCCTTCATGCCCTCGCCTTCTCCAATTCCACCTCCCTCATAGTCATGGAACTCAGTTGCTCCCTCTCCAGCTGAATCTTCCATAAATTCTTTGGGCAAGCAAAATCCCTTAGAAAAAAGAAAAAGGAAGTGAATAATTAGGCACAAAAGCAATTTTAAAAGGGGATTTCCATTCTTGCCACAGGAAAACAATTTAAACACATACTGAATTCTTTTTCTAGCTCATTATCTTAAATTTGCTGGAAGTACAGTAGACTTCTGACATTCTTTTCCTCTTTGGTGCTAACAGTTATGCAGTTTTATAGCTTGACATCAGATTTAACATAGGACTTGACTTTGTAGAAGCTACTGGCATGTGCTCATTTGTCACTTTGCCAAGACAAAAACCTAAATGAAGTATACTAGAAGGACAGTATTTAGGAAAAAGTCCTTGAGCAAGGGAAGAACAGGCTCTGGAGAGAACACAGTCAGACACAGAAATGTTGAAAAAAACTATTTTATACAGGAAAATAACCTGAGAAGAATACTAGCCTGCTGGGCAGAAGTAAAAAGAAAAAGTAGTGACTGTCAATCAGAAATTTTAATTTTGTAAGAGAAAATATATACTATGAAGATATTTGTCAATCTGAGGATGAGAATGCACAAAAAAATAAGCTGCTAATTAGCAAGGAATTAAGATCCAAAAACCAGTAAACACTAATTATGACTTGGTTACACAGAAACAGCTTCCTGTGGATCAAGAGCTTTAATTACAACCTATATCTATTATCTTAGTACTGTCTAACCTACTTTCAAGTTCCCTTGGAACTACTCAAAAGAGATATGAATACAATTTGCATACTTAGAAAAATTTTTAAAAAGGCAAACCCACTTTTAGGACATATATTCTCAGAATGTTGATTGGAAAATACAGTTTGGCTTACTTGCTTGATTTTCCCGTTGAACTACATTATTCAAATGAGAAACATTCAGAGACAGATGAATAAGACCACACAGGAGGGAGTTTCAGATGCCCTTACCAGAGTATATTACTGCAGTTGCTACGTCTGGGATAGCCACAGGGCTCCCAATATTCTACACATAGCAGAACCATTCCTACCCGCAAACAGACAAAGGTTTGAAAGGCCAAAGTCATTCTACAGCCTGTCAGACAAAAGCTACGGTGCAAATGGACAAATCTAGCTGAGCCAAATCTCAGGGCACCCGTGCCATACATTTTCCTGCCACTGTCTTTAGCATACAGTGTTTTCTCCAAGAAGCAATGGAATGTTAAGACTAGCTTGGTGCCCACCAGAGGGGGAGAAACCTGAGACTCATTCTTTTACTTATTATTACTACAGATAAACATTTTTATCCTCTTGATACAAGGCATTAGGCTTGGCTTCCACTTTTTAACTCTTTCCAGTATTTCAGAGACTCAGAACTAAGAACTCTTAATTGTTTATAAGAAATCTAGACCCCATCTTCAGTTTGTAAATTCATATCTTCCTCAAGTACATTTCATCTGTATTTAGCTTGGAGAAAATCTTGGAATGCTAAGGAAGAAGAAAAACAAAACTTATATACTCAAATGCAGGTGGTTCTCACAAAAATGCATACAAGTGTAGGCAGATCTCATTTTACAAATGAGGAAACTGAGGCTTGGTGAGGTTAAGAGAGACCGAGAGCTGGACACCTCTATGACTAGACTTACCCACACCATGTTGCTATTAGATTTCACTGTCTGCTGCCCCTGAGTTTCAAGAGGAGGGTCTACAATCTCTACAACCTCAGTGCTTTTCACAATACTGGGTACATGCCTGAAAGAACAAATTACTTCCCTGCTAAAGAAAAAAACTGGCCGGGCACGGTGGCTCACACCTGTAATCCCAGCATTTTGGGAGGCCAAGGTGGATGGATCACGAGGTCAGGAGATCGAGACCATCCTGGCCAATGTGGTGAAACCCCCCATCTCTACTAAAAATACAAAAATTAGCCAGGTGTGGTGGCACGTGCCTGTAATCACAATTACAATTTTGGAGACTCTGTCTCCAAAAACAACAAAAAAAACCAAAACAAACCAAAAAAACCACATTTATTTATTTATTTATTTAATTTATTTATTTGAGATGGAGTTTTGCTCTTGTTGCCCAGGCTGGAGTGCAATGGCATGATTTTGGCTCACAGCAACCTCTGCTTCCCCAGGTTCAAGCAATTCTCCTGTCTCAGCCTCCCGAGTAGCTGGGATTACAGACACATGCCACCACGCCCGGCTAATTTTTGTATTTTTAGTAGAGATGGAGTTTCATTGTCATATTGGTCAGGCTGGTCTTGAACTCCTGACATCAGGTGATCCACCCGCCTCAGCCTCCCAAAGTGCTGGGATTACAGGCATGACCCACCGCGACAGTGGGAAAAAAACTCTAATAATAGGTCCATTATCATTTAATCACAGTTACACCTACATGGTTAAAAGAAGACTTAATAGCCTTAAGGGTTTATCCTACAACTGTAGTTCAAGAGTTAGCTGAAGAGGGTTTAAATTGGGGATGGGAAGAGAAGGGTGGTAACAGAAAGCAGCAGCTTTTAGACAGCTCTGGAGTTTAGGAAACTCGTCAGTTTGGGGGATAGGGTAGGTTGGGGATAGGGGGTATCACCTGCAGGTTCCCAGACTTTAGTGGAAACAGCGTTAGCAAAAGGATACCAGACAAAGCCCTAAATAGTCCACAGGGAGAGCAAATCACATCCTGCTATTTGTGGTGGTCCAAAATAAAACCCTATCACACCAAAGACCAATGATATGAAATTTACTTGGGTCCCTGCTGCTCATAGTGCACCACGTGAACGGTCCTTACCTTCTGGGCAAGCTCCGTAAAGACCTGGGCAAGCACAGAGAGCAGCTTTGCAGTACTACGGTGAGTTGCCAAAGACATGGTCAGGAAGAAGAGGACGAGGTCTGAGTAGCTGGAGAGGACCGGCACCAGGCGCACCAGCAAGGAACAGGATTGGCTGAAGAACTGAGATCAAAACAGAACAAAAGGCCTGCTCACACTGCTTGGCAGGTACCAGATTTCCATTCTGGAACTAGACAGTGGTAGTAATTGCACAACATTGTGAATGTACTAAATAGTACTAATGGCAAGTTACATGTATGTGTTTGTAACCCCCATCCCACCCCAATACACACAGCTCACTGAGATTTCTTCATTTACATATATCGTCACAAAAGTACAATCTCAAACCAATGTCTCATTTGGCTAACAATGTTGGTTTTTTAAAAATATAATGTTGGCCAGGCACAGTGGCTTATGTCTTTAATCCCAGCACTTTCGGAGGCCAAGGTGGGTAGACTGCTTGAGCCCAGGAGTTCAAGTTCATGTTGCGTGGGCAACATGGCAAAACCCCATTTCTACAAAAAATACCAAACAAAAAAAACAGATAGCCAGAACCCATCTCTATAAAACTTTAAAAATCAGCTGGGCACGGTGGTGCATGCCTATAGTGCCAGCTATTTGGGAGGCTGAGGTGGGAGGATCACCTGAGCCCAGGAGGTCAAGGCTGCAGTGAGCCATGGTCACGCCACCTCTCTCCAGCCTGGACAACAAAATGAGACCATGTCCCAAAATAAAATAAATAATAAAAATAAAATGTTTATAAATAAATTCTGCTGATTGAAAGTTAGCACTGGAGGCAATGCTACAGAATAACATACAATGTTCTGCAAAGTAAGTTGCTTCTCTGGACTTACTGCAAAGACTACAACTGCTTACTCTTCACTTATTGTAGTGGGAATGGTGTTTACATAGGGTGGCCGCTAAGCCTCCGTTGATAACGTCATCTATCAGTAACATCAAATATTTGGGAGTGTGTAAGATATGAAAGAATCCTAATAGATATTCTGAATGGTTAGCATTTCTGCACCTATGCATCTAACAATTAGCTAGCAAGCCCTAAGCTTTTCAAAGCTTGTCAATGACTTTGCACGTACAAATAAAGAGACCAAGTTCTTAGTGATTTTGGCACTGAGGCCTGCTCTGGGACTTATCCACGTGCAGGGAGGTGAGGCCCACTCTGCCTTTGCTCAGTGCATTCTGAAGAGGAAGAAGTTTGTAAAGAACAGTTAGTTACCAGGTGCTTTGCTGCTGTGCCATCCTCACCATACGATTTCAGCCTCTCCAACAGCTCGGAGATGGCAGAAATTATTTTCTGCACATGCAAAGTGCTCACATCGGCCCAGAAGTCATCCTCTAAGAGTTTTGTTAGATGTCCTGATTGCAGTCTCTCAAAGCCTGCTGCCTCATTCATTCAGAGAAAACAACATGATGAATAACAGAAAACAAATCCTTTCATCTCTATCCATGTAGTCATCTGTTTCTAACATCAATCCTTAACTATTTAGCCACAGAAATAAATCATCAAATACAAAAATTAAAACAGGCATGAAACTAATTTCTGCCTGATTTCAGACATACCGTACTCTTCTTGTGGGCTCGCTTGGTCAGTGTTCTCCTCTGTGTTCTCTGCTTTTTCATTCTTGCTTTCTTCTAAGTTCTGGATGGCACAGAGGATGGCTCGGATAGCAATTTCCATTTTCTCTGAAAAATCTTCCACAAATCCTTCGTCCAACATTTGATTTCCTAGCAAGTAACATGGTGTAAAACAAACATACAAACACCAATCATTTGCTTTAGTGCCTCTGGAAATCATTAAAAACACTCATTTCTTGATGAGCCACTGAGTCAAGCTGTGCCAGATACAAAGAAGAGACAAATTCGTTGCTTCGATAAACTTATAAGTTTATTACCTTGTATTAAAAACTTTTTACTAAAATAATGTAAAAAATATGAAAATAACAGTTAAGACAGTATGAATAAACACTAACTTAGTCCAAATATCAGTGCCAAGCTTTTTCAATCTAAGGGAAAACTAACAGACAGTGAGCTGATGCTGCCTTCCTATGTGTGTTACAAAGTATGTAACAGGCATCCAAACAAATGGGGCAAAAAAGTTAAGAGCTGTGGATTTCAACCGCCTCAGAACCCTGGACAGGTACGTGTAGCCCAAAACATAATGTGTCTTTAGGACAATGAGACTTACATCTACAAGACATCATTTCTACAGTGGGCTTCCATTCCCTGACTGAACAATATCCCTTACCTCCTTGGCTACCTGAAGTAAGCAGATGTGTCTTCCAGGTAGTAAAGTCAGCCATGGCTTTACTAATTTCTCCTCTTACATATTCCAGACTTTCAACTAGTGCCATTTGTGAGTCTCTTTGCTCAACCTCCATCCCTGGAAGAATGAACAAGGACTCTAGGCCCTGCAAATGAACTGACACCTGGGACAAGCAACTCAGTGCAGAAGAGCAAACTTCAAAATCTTTCCTGCAACAGAAATGCCACAATGTTGAAAGGAATGCATTACAGTTCCCACAAACACACACCCCTCCCTGCAACCACTATAATATACGCAAGGTAGAACTCACCATAGCTGAAGTTTACAGCTAAACACATGCCACAGAGTGCTGTGCAGGTCCACTGAGGAACAGAGGACTGAAGCACAATTATTTTCATAATTTGATTCTATTACTAAACACCTAGGTTTAGTAATGGAATAAATTTAGTAATTTATTCCAATTAATTTATTCCAATAAATGATAAATTTATTCCATTAATAATATTCCATTATCATTAGTCTTTGGTGTGATAGGCTTTTATTTTGGACCACCACAAATAGCAGGATGTGATTTGCTCTCTCTGTGGATTATTTAGGGCTTTGTCTGGCATCCTTTTGCTAACTAAAGTCTCAGAACCTGCAGATGACACTCCCTATCCCCACCCCACCCCGTCCCCCAAACTGACGAGTTCCCCAGACTCCAGGACTGTCTAAAAGCTACTGCTTTCTGTTAACACCCTTCCCTTCCCACCCCCAATTTGGATAAGCACAGTAAGAACCTAAGCACACAGAGAAGTGTAAAGACATAGACACACTTACCAAGAATGAAAGAGAGTCTCACAAGACTGCTGCCTAATTTTGTCGACATCAGCTTTCACTGTTTTAATGGTTTTTAGCATCTCTGTTACTCTCGTAGTTGACTGTTGCCAAAGCTGATCCTGTTTCCGCATCCGGCAACCAGAGGGCAGCTGACTTCCAGGTACTGGAGATGGGTAGCTCAGATTGGAGGGAATTAGGTCTGGTAATACTCCACAAAGTTGTCCCTTGCTAAGTTCTGGTCCTTCCAGGCAGGGGGCAGGAGGCTGCCCCAGTGCCTGGGCATTGCCATGGCCTGGAGCTGGCCCTACACTGGGACAGCACTGGAGGAGCCAGGAGAGCTGCTCGAGCAGGATCTGGCACTGCATGGCCAGGTGCTGCAGGCGCTCGGTCCACTGCTGCACGCCATCCTGAGGAGGGAAGGCCACGGGGTAGGCCAGGGGCCCCATCAGCCTGCTGTGAATCTCTTGCACACAGCTGAGGAGGTTCCTGTACAGAGAAACCCATGGGAAAAACACAATGAATGACACTTTAAACCATGTCACCACATTGTTTTAAAAGAAATTTGTGTTTCTGAACGAGCATGGGTTTTTTAATACAGTCAAGAAGGAAGAATCCCCCAGATAGGTAAAAAGTCTGTTAAAATGCCTCCCAAAGTACTTAAACCCATCCCTCAGTCTTTCAGGAGAAGTATCATGACACAATCACACCACTACAGTGACTTCAACTAGCATTATCTAGTGAATGTGCTGTACTTTGCTACATAAACCCTAATGAATGGAGGAGAAAATACCTGAAGCTAAAGTGAACAGTCTGGAAATCCTGTCTCTCAGCCACGAATCCATTCAACAGATGACAACTTTCCTAACTGTCCTCATCTCTTAATTATCTGTTTCCATTGAGGAGCCTCCATGTATGGCTCAGATTGCCATTTGGGGGATCCCCAAAGCCTAAGTAACAGAAGCCGACTCAAATCTCATCTGTGCCCAAGACCGTCCCACCCTAATACCATGAACACAAGCCTAACTATTGGCCCACATGGACTTTCGGCAATATATATCCTCATTCCAGATACAGGTATAGTTCAGCCATGACAATTTTCACTGTCTGACACAGCCCTGAAATCTCCACAGCTCCATATTCTCAGGAGGTTCAGTCAGAGCACAGAGGGAGAGGGACACTAGAAGCATATCACTGAAAGCAAGGGGCAGAGCTGGGAGAAACCCTACCTGCCTCTTTGGGCCTTAAATTCATTTCACAATTGAGAGCATGTCTTATTTCTCTCCCCATGTGCAGCAACTCTGAGCTGACTTGGATCTAATTCTTCTGAATTCATGCCACAAGCCCAACTCATCGGCTGATACCTGAGGATGATCCACTGCTCACTGAGCGTGGTCAGGGAGCGCCGCTGTTGGACAAGCATCTTCATCAAATGTGCTGAGAACCCTCTGCACCGCTCCACGTTGCCCATGCCCATTTCCTGGCAGAAGAAGAAAAAACATGCTGAAGGGGCTGCTGGCAAACACTCACAGATGTGCCTCTAGAAAGTTGTTTCTACTATAAGCATCAGACATGCCGCACTCTAGAGGTGACACATTCATTTTTTTGAGCAGTGTTTCTCCAATTATGCTTGCGCCGATCATTGATATTCCATAGACAGGAACTGGATTTAACTCCAAAATGCATTTATTAGTGGTCTTTTCTCAATTCACAAAGGGAAGAAAGATCTAAAGATGGCATTCTCCATTTTAAGTTTTTAATTTTTCTTAAACATTAAGAAAATTTGTCCTGCTGGCAAGTGTAACAGAATTTATTTAAGGTGTTCTCTGATTTTGCACAAAATTATATTGATATTTATTTTAAGTTTAAGGATGTACTGCAAAAAGCTCAGTTCCACTAACAGGCTGTTATCACTTAACAAGGTCTGAGAATGCGACCCTGGGATGAACAGAACAAGAGCTTTCCCTGAGCCCCTGCAAGACTCATGTTCTATCATTCTACCTTGGCAGGAGTTGCTAGTGCTGCGTTAAGCCTGGCATGCCGTGCAAGAGAGCGATAAAAATACTTCTGGCATCCATCCCATGAAGACGAGATTTCTGTAAGCAGCCTGGAAAAGATATCAACATCATTTACTTAATTAAAACCACGCTCTCCCACCCCAGATCCTGAAAAACTCAGATACTGGTATATTTGGCCATAACCAAGAGTCAGCTGTCTGAGGTGGTTTACTTCTATTAGGACTCATTTGGTGAGGCACTCATTAGTCCTTTACTTAACTTAGCACTGGAAGTATCATGAGCTGTGGAGATTTCAGGGCTGTGTCAGGCAGTGAAAATTGTCATGGCTGAACTATACCTGTATGGTTTCTTCAATGAATTCTTCCTATCTTGGCAATGGAGGCTAGGGGATCATAAACTCTGATGCCTACAGGGGCCAGGCAAATAACGTAAGAGGACTGAGGACAGCCAAGCACAAAATGATGCATGGCAGTGACAGCTGACCTCAATGTGGGGAAGACATAGGGGTTGTTGAGGGTTCAAGTAAGCTGGAGAGCATGTGTCCTTTCAAAAGGAGGAAACTACTATTCAACTACAGCACTGCTGACCAAATGGGAATGCAAGCCTACTTGGCAAATTTTCCTGAAAACCTGAAAATCCAGAATGCTTATGTAAAATTTCCCTTCTACAATGTTCTGTTGAATTCAAATTTAAAGCCCTGGGAGGGCCAACTGAGCAAATAAAACACACACGTGTACTATACCCAGTTCACGCAAAGCATCATTCACAACATCCTCTGCTGTGCGTAAATAGAGGTAGCTCTGCCTGTCTCAATAGTGTATGGACTTGCAAATTCAATAACATATTAGAACTTATGAGGAGTGTATGTATATAGAGCAACTAAAAATATACCATTTTCTAATAGATTTCCACATGTATGATCAAATGAAGTGAGTAGACCTCAGGAAAATCAAAAGACAAAAAAAAAAAAGAAGAAGAATGGAGAGGTGAATGCAAGGAAGAAGGAGAAAGAAAAGAAATTTTTTTTTTTTTTTTGGAGACAGTCTTACTTTGCTATCCAGGCTGGAGTGCAGTGGTGTAATCTCAGCTCACTGCAACCTCTCCACCTCCTGGGTTCAAGCAATACTCCTGCCTCGGCCTCCTGAGTAGCTGGGATTACAGGCATGTGCCACCATACCTGGCTAATATTTTGTATTTTTAGTAGACACAGAGTTTTGCCATGTTGGTCAGGCTGGTCTTGAACTCCTAACCTCAAGTGATCTGCCCACCTCAGACTCCCAAAGTGCTGGGATTACAGGCATGAACCACCGCACCCAGCCTCACACTTTCATTTGAATGTCCATCAGGAGTCACCTCCTGAGCCAGGCACTTTTGGTAGCCACAGTGGTGTTGCTATCCCCACTTTTGCAAATGAGGACAAGTTTTAAATTACTTGTTCCATTTAAAAGTAGGGAAAAAAACCAGACAAACCTAGAATCAGCCTCCTGAGTGCTGCTGACGATGGACAATGCGCTCCGGAGATCTAACGGGTGAAGATGAAGCATCTCTTGAGGATTTTTTGAACGGGCCCATGCAAGACCTTTGCGATATGACAAACCTAGGAAATAAACAGCATTTGTTTAAGCAAAGATGCTTTAGGAGAGAATGGATGTGCCCCTCTTTCTCTTGCTACTCAATGCAAAGTCTTCTAAACAGCATGAGAGCTTGTTAGAAATGCAGACTCTCAGGCTGCACCCACACCAACTGAAACAGGATCTGTAGCAGCACTTCCACAAGATTCCCCAGGTGATTCACATGCACGTTCAAGTTTGAGAAGCACTGCTCTCTATGCTATGCAGCAAACAATGGTACAGCATGCAGTGACAGAAATTTTAAAAGTACAGATTCTGCCGGGCGCGGTGCTCACGCCTGTAATCCCAGCACTTTGGGAGGCCGGGGCGGGCAGATCACAAGGTCAGGAGATTGAGACCATCCTGGCTAACACGGTGAAACCCCGTCTCTAGTAAAAATACAAAAATTAGCCAGGCATGGTGTAGTCCCAGCTGCTGGGAGGCTGAGGCAGAAGAATCGCTTGAACCCAGGAGGCAGAGGTTGCAGTGAGCCAAAATCACACCACTGCACTCCAGCCTGGGCAACAGAGTGAGACTCAATCTCAATAACGTAACATAACGTAACGTAACATAACACAACGTAACATATAACATAACATAAATAAAAATATAGATTCTGAGAAACCTCATACAAAGCGGAAAGTATCTGGGAATCATAGGTGGCTGGTCATAGGATTTTCCTGCATGTGAGTGGAACTCTTAGACATCTGGAAACCTTGCCTGTACCTTCTGTTGTCCACTATCTCAACTGTCTATGGAATTTCCCCCAAATCAGACATGTCATTTCTCTTCCTAAAAGTTGGTGACTACATTTCATTGGGTTTCAAGCGAGAACCTTACCAATTTTTGCAAGGTGTTTAAAGAGGTCTGACAAAGCTCGTTGTTTTTGCATGAGAATGTGCTTGGCTTCTGACCGCTGCTTCTCCTTCTCTGCAGAGGGTTCCACCTTTAAGCTCTGCAGCTCACTCACAGAGGAAATCACTTCACCTGTAAGAGAAAACAAGGTGGGGAGGGGAGACAATAAGAAAATCCCAGGGGTCTGGTAATGTGTTTGTTACCCAACACCAGGGACCTTTTGGAGAACAAAGGCCAAGTATCATTCATCTTTATACCCTGGGTACTTAACATAGTCCCTAGCATTTGGTAAAATCTCATTAAGTGTTTTAACCAAACTGGTCAAGGTGCACGGAAATAGAAAAATAACATACAGGATTTCAAGTCTCTTGACAATAACAACCCAAACAGCAGCAGTCATTCTTTTGTATTTAGGGGTTTTATAATCCATCAAGCAAATGCACTTATTGAGCACCAACTATGTGCAGTGCATTATACTAGAACTTTATAATCACTTGAAGGAAATTTCAGATTAATGTGTGTTGAGTTTCCACTTATAGCTGGTACATGGTAAATTCTCTTTTCATGTGCACAACTTCAGAAGCACCTATTTGTAGCTCCATTTTACAGATTTCAAGAAAGGCTCAGTGAGGTCTAGTCACTATCTGAAGGCCATGTGGTTAATGAGTAGATGAGCCAGGACTTGAACACTGGCCCACCTTACTCCAAAGCCCAAGTTCTTTCTATACAGCACCAAGCTGCCTTCCTGAATACACATGGATACCAATAACACAAGGGTGCCGCCTCCCTGCTGCAGGCAGTGTTATAGGCTGAGTTGTGTCTTCCCTTACCCCTCAATTCACATGTTAAAAGTCCCAACCCCCAGAACTTCAGAATGTGACTATATCTGGAGACAGGGCCTTTAGAAAGGTAATGAAGGTGAAATGAGAATGGGCTCTAATCTAATCTGACTGAAGTCCTTAAAAGAAGAGATCAGGACACAGAACACACAGATGAAGAGTGACCACGGGAGGACACAGTGAGAAGGTGGCCGTCTGCAAGCCAAGGAGAGAGGCTTCAGAAGTAATCAACCCTGCTGACACCTTGATCTTGGACTTTTAGCCTCACACTGAAGCCACCCAGTCTGTGGTACTGCATTAAGGCAGCACTACCAGCCAAACATAGGCAGTCACCAGTGAGTACAAGGACACCAAAGACATCAGACTGACAGTGTGGGAGAGTTACAGGATAAGGGAGGTTTTACATCCCGCAGCACATCCCCTCTCCAGGAGATGCAAATGGATCTGTATTCCACTCACCCCCATCCCCAGGCTTGAGTCACCTTGAGCAACGCTGACAAGTTTTAAAAAAAGAAGAGCTCCCTGAGATTAGATGCAACCTCATTAAAAGAAAGCCAGCCTCACTGACAGCACACTCGCTGCGGGTGGGGGGTAGATGGGGTGAAGGAGGTAGTCAGAGGCTGCCAGGGGCCCAAACATTCTATAAAATTCTGGGCTCCCTTCCCAGCTACTGCTGTGTTACACTATGAGATCTTGGCTCTCACTTTCCCTGAGCAAAGACAGCCTGAGAAATGAAACTGCTGTGCCTCTCTGAAGTGAAGAAAGCAAGAAGATGGGGATGAATCCTCCTCAAATGAGACAACTTTTTGACAGTGGGGACAGCTTAGACACTGGGAAATCCACCTCTGTGCCCCTTTACCCGTACCGCCAACCAACAGGAACTAGTATAGACAAGGCTCTCATAAAAGATGGCACAGTGCCAGGTTACATGAGAGGACAATAATGTGAAAATTATGACTGTGTGTTCTCAGTAGGCTCCTGTTTCTGAGCTCTGTGGGTTTTTAAGCCCACTTGCTTATTCAATCAAGTGTTCAGCACTACACAGGATATCAAAAAAGAACACAGGTGCCACATTCTCAGCCCTCCTGTGCCACTGGGGAAAACAGAGAGAAAGATCCACCCTTGACCTGGACGCTGGCACCCACCTGTGAACTGATCGAGGCCCTCCACAAGGTGAGGCAGGGGGCTCTCCTTCATGAACGTCAGACACATCTTCCTCATGCGTTTCCTGAGCTTTGGCAAGCGACGTAGAAGCTCCCCTTCGAAGCCGGAAGGAGCAGCGCCCTGACAGCACTCTGGAATTGTGGCCTGTGAGACAAAGGACAGGTTAGCCTCACTGCCAAGAATGGCAGGCATCATTTTAACCTGCACGGGAATTAAATTTAACTGTTGCACACACAAACACATCCCTAGTTCAGCAAATATTAAATTACCACCATGTCCGAAGTCTCATGAGAACAAATATAGCATCACTAAAATTAAAAGAGACATACTGCGGATATTTAGAAAACCATATTACTGCTCTATATGAGATCACTATAACAGAAGGATCCCCATGCCCCTACATCCAGCAATGCTTGTTATGATAGCCACAAGGAGCCTCCAGTTCTGAATTATGAACAGAGTAGAATGAATAATGTCATTGATGCCCTCAAGGTGCTGAGCCACTTTGTGTTTCTCAGACACAGTAGCCAGGCGAAACTGGTCCTACTCCTATGACCATTTACCCCTAATTAACAGTTCAAATTTCAGGAATTCAGATTTCTTTCCTTTTTTTTTTGAGACAGGGTCTGGCTTTGTCACCCAGGCTGAAGTGCAGTGACCTGATCTTGGCTCACTACAACCTCTGCCTCCCAAATAGCTGGGACTGCAGGCATGCATCACCACGCCCTGCTATTTTTTGTATTTTTAATTGAGACAGGGTTTTACCATGTTGGCCAGGCTGGTTTTGAACTCCTGGTCTCCAATGATCCGCCTGCTTTGGCTTCCCAAAGTGCTGGGATTACAGGCATGAGCCACCGCACCCCAGACACAGGAATTCAGATATCATATGAAGGGAAGAGCTTTCGTCCGTCAAGGGCATATTTTAGTTTTTTCCTGAACTTCCTATGTTGTCATTACTAGCAAATCAAAATTGTTGATCAGAATGACAGAAGCAGTAAGCTGACAAATACAGTCAAAAGAAAATAAATTTGGTAGCCATATCATATCTCTGCAGCCATCTTATGGCTATATGTTCAGTTTCTATTATGAGTTTTGAACAACTAAAATAACAAAAATAGCTTAAGGACGTTCATTACTCACTCTGTGAACCTCAGGTAGGAAATACAATAAAAAAACAAAACTAATTACTCTTTAAAAAGTAATTTTTTTCTGGAGAGACAGGGTCTCATGTGTTGCCTAGGCTGGTCTCAAACTCCTGGGCTCAAGTGATCCTCCTGCCTCAGCCTCCCAAGGTGCTGGGATTACAGCCGTGAGCCACTACGCCTACCCAGAAATTACTCTCCTGAAGAGTGCCTTCCAATCCTGGAGCTCCCCACACCCAAGGACATGAAGCAGGAACATCCATTCTATAACAGACCTGCTAACTCAAGATTTATCACTGTTAAATTTTCAGAAATTTTGCAAGCCAAATCTTAACTGTTGGTTCTTGAAATTTTGCCATAATGGGAGTATTTACACCACAGTAATCAGCATCTGCTATAAACCAGCACATCATGGCACATATTCACACCCTGTGCAGTAGCTTCCTCATGTGGTAGCCCACAGACAGCTTCAGTGGCATATTCTTAAACTGACGCTTCAAATCTTTGCTCATAGCAGATGAAATGTTCACAGGTAAAAGCACAATTATTTCTCACAGGCTGACATTAAATTTTAAGTAGCAAGGCCACGTGCGATGACTCACGCCCATAATCCCAGCTCTTTGGGAGGCAGAGGCAGGGAGGATCACTTAAGACTAAAAGTCCGGCCAGCACAGTGGCTCATACCTGTAACCCCAGCACTTTGGGAGGCCAAGGTGGGCGGATCAGGAGATTCAGATCTTCCTGGCTAACATGGTGAAACCCCATCTCTACTAAAAAATACAAAAAATTAGCCAGGCGTGGTGGCAGGAACCTGAAGTCCCAGCTACTCGGGAGGCTGAGGCAGGAGAATGGCGTGAACCCAGGAGGCGGAGCTTGCAGTGAGCCAAGATCACGTCACTGCACTCCAGCCTGGGTGACAGAGCAAGACTCCGTCTCAAAAAAAAAAAAAAGACTAAAAGTTTGAGACCAGCCTGGGCAACAAAGTGAGACCTCATCTCTACAAAAAATAAAAAAAAAAATTAGCCGGGCATGGTGGCATGTGCCTGTGGTCCCAGCACTCAGGTGGTTGACGTGGAAGGATCATTTGAGCCCAGGAGGTTGAGACTGCAGTCAGCCATAATCATGCCTAGGCAACAGCGCGAGACTCTGTCTCAAAAAAAGCAAAAAAAAAAAAAAAAAAACCTTTTACCAACGAGATCAAGATTTTTTGCCTTATTTTGCAGGGAAGTCAGGCAAACAAATACATACTATATATGTCCAAAGAACAAGATTTCAAAGGCATTTTCTTGTCTAGTACTGAGGCATGCCTTGCACATAACACATAGATCCCACTTGACCAGCTTGGGAATAAGCCAGCACTGTCCCACAACCAAGTACCTGCCCAGTTGCTGGTCGAGCTAACAGGGTCTCCCTCAGTGCCCTGTTCAGATTCTGAATGGAGGACGCTTCAACTGCAGCTCCATCTGTTGGCCTGGGCAAAAAGTCAGGCTGTTCTTCCTTGTCGCTCTCCACCAGGGATGACCGGCAGGGTTCACTCAGGACTGCTTCAAATTTCTTCATGAATTTAAAGAGGGTCCTGTCCCCAGGTAATCACAGAGATAAGAAGAAAAAAACTGGATTAGCAAGTGAAGAAATATAAAAAATACATGATCATGCATGCATACATAATTTAATACCCTGTACCTTTTATATACAGTGATCTCCTTAAATATTAATAGTTGTTTTATTTTTAAGAGAAAAAGTATGGCAGTTATTGTTATCCTTCTTTTCTAGAAGAGAAACTAAAGCCAGAAAGAATGGGATTGCTTTGCTCAAAGTATACAGCTAGTGGGTGGCAGAAGACTTGAGACACAGCCTGCTTTGTCTCAAGGCACACCAATCCTTACTGCAGGTAGACTTTGCTCAGAGAAGAAGAGGGTGGTGTTGAAAGCAACATCAAAACAATCAAAGTGTTATTTTTTGAGAAGTTTAACACACTTAATATTAAGTCAGGTTATGGTAACTATGTAGTCTTGCTCCCAACCACACAAAATTCTATTTTGGTTGTCCCCAGTTTTAAAAGACAGATTACCTGTGTGTCTTTTCTACAGATTGTTTAATGGACCAGAAGCTGACATCATTCCACCTGGAAATCTTAACAAATTCCTGTAAGATAAATGATGTTCAAGAAATGGCTTTATAAAGCTACTGTCATTTTGTTTCTTTCTAGATTTCTGTTCAGCAAAGACCAGAGCCCACTCTATCCCAAACACAGGACTGTGTGTCAGTGAACAAGTAAAACAAGTCTAAAAAAGAAACCATGGGCCAGGTGTGGTGGCTCACACCTGTAATTCCAGCACTTTGGGAGGCCACAGTGGGCAGATCACAAGGTCAGGAGATTGAGACCATCCTGGCCAACATGGTGAAACCCCGTCTCTACTAAAAATAGAAAAAACAGCCGGGCTTGGTGGCGTGCGCCTGTAATCCCAGCTACTCAGGAGGCTGAAGAATTGCTTGAACCCGGGAGGCAGAGGCTGCAGTGAGTTGAGATCGTGCCACTGCACTCCTGCCTAGGCAACAGAGTGAGACTCGGTCTCAAAAAACAAAAACAACACGTTTTGGTCTCAAAGTGATAAAAAAAAAAAAAAAAAAGAGTGCTGCTACAGTCACTAAGTCACCTGACATATACTCCAGCTTAGGAACCGCCAAGTTAGTCATGTCCCTTGTACCATGGTTGGTTCCACAACCACTGGGAATATCAAAAAGAGAAGTCCCTCCTTCCTCCGTGGTAATTCAGTGGTGTGTGGACCAGCACGCCATGGCATAGCTCTGAGGTGGGAGACAGGCCTGGGCAAGACCAGGGGAGCACAAACAGATTTCTGTGGCAGTTCTCTGAGGAGGCTCTGACTGGCCACTCCACCAATCCCTCACACACTCTGCAGGTGACAAAAAAAGTCAATGCCACCGATGTATATATTGCCATCCTCCCTAGCAGTCAGTGGCAATGCTTTCCTGTATTCCCCTAGGTCCCTGCCTCAGTGTTAAATGGACAACAGGGTTAACGAAAGAGAATTTGCTGATTTTGTCCTCCCAAGAGTGATCACGACAGCTGTTCATCTTACTTTAAGTTCTTTTTCTAGGGGGGAACGAAGTTCCACAATTTTGGCCTGGACCCGGTCAAAGAATTGCTTGTAATAATGGTACAAATTCCATAGAACACTGCAAAGTGAATCTGGAAGAAATGAAAAGGAAACAAAAACACCACACTTGCTGCATGTGCTACTGATGCTAGCTGTGGCCTTCATATTTCAGTGATGATCCTTCCTCATTACTCTCTATGCCATGAGATTATACTGAGTTTCACAGGCATGTTATTTAGGGATCCTGTCTGAGTTTAGCATTTCCCAGAGATGCAGGCTGTCAATACTCCCCTATTTTTCACTTCTGCTTATAACAGATGTTTTTTTGCACTTTTTTTTCTTGAAGATGATGTACTCCTAGGTTCTTCTAAAATCACAATGTCAAATTCTTTCTGTGAATCTTATTGTAAAATCAGCAGAAACTGAGCTTTTTTAAAAAGATGGCATATTAAGCAGTTCACCTCATATGCTCATTCATGTAGAATCTATACTCATCTTGTAGTGAGACTTTTATCCCAATTGCTGTGGTCAGGGATAGTACTTGACAGCGGGCAGTTTTATGTGCAGTTCCTTGATGGTTGGCAGTGCTTTCACTGGATGAAAGAAACTAATAATGGCCTGGATCAAGCAGCAGCTTAGCAGGACATTTATAGTGTCTAGACAGAGAGATGTGCTGCCTCAACATGCTAGGTCCTGAGATCTTCACCTGGCAATTTACTTCTGCCAGAGCTCACTAGTCATCTGCACCTCATTTTGAATGTTCTTCTCTATATCTAATGTGAATTGTATTAAACATAACTGTGTCTTATTTAAAACCTAGAGTGCAACGAGGCACCTGTCTCATGTAGAAAATTCAAAGCCTAACTCATTTTAGTAATGCAATGTCAAAGGAAAGGAAAAAAAAAATCCTCACCCTTTCCTTCAACCTGTGGCATCAGCAAGACGTGACAATGGAAAACCAGTAACATCTGAAGTCGCACATGGAACTCTCCCAGCGAGGATCCTTCAATAAATGCTTGTAACGTGCTGACCAACAACATCAAGGTCATCTGTTTATCATCTTTAAAAATTCAAAGAGGAAAATATATATGTTCCTTCGACCATGACTCCCTATTCCTAACGTGCATGCAATCTATTTGGGATACTATGGATGGCCAAGAGGTAGACATCACAATGTGAAACTCTCAAGCAAGGACCATGGCTAAATTCTAAGCTGATTTAAAAGTAGCAGGCCAGGTGTGGTGGCTCATGCCTGTAATCCCAGCACTCTGGGAGGCCAAGGCAGGCAGATCATTTGAGGTAAGGAGTTCAAAACCAGCCTGGCCAACATGGTGAAACCTCGTCTCTACTAAAAATACAAAAATTAGCCAGGCATGGTGGTGGGCACCAGTAATCCCAGCTACTCAGGATGCTGAAGTAGGAGAGAATCGCTTGGGCCTGGGAGGCGGAGGTTGCAGTGAGATGAGATGGCACCACTGTACTCCAGCTTGGGCAACAGAGCAAGACAAAAATAAATAAATATAAACAAAAGTAGCAGCTGCACACAGGGCATATGTTAAATGCACTCACAGCAAATTATGAAAATGAATTATAAGATGCTTGTCACAAGTATTAAAAAAAAAGACTGTTCATTCAAGCATATTGGCTACTACCTACCAAAAAGTCAACTTTCAGTTTGACTTCTATCATGAACATAGAGAAGAAGGAAACCTTATCATATGACTGGTTCTCTAGACTTTTGGAGAAGACATTTAAACCTCTCAGACTTTTGTTACTATTCTCTCAGTTAGACAAGCACGATTTACAGTTTTCTTGGCTGACCTCTCAGAAATATCATGAAGTCAAATGGGAGGCATTCCCATGAAAGCAATGTAGCAGGAGAAGCGGGAGCAGGAAAATGTTACACTTTACAGCACTCCATTTAGCTGGGAAGCTCTAAGTGGGCAGGAAATGTATTGCCAGGCATTACCTTCCTGTTCTTCTGTTTGTTCCTGCATGTGCTTCTCAAGCATTTGATAGATGGAGAACCAGTGCTTGGTCGATTTCTCAGTGTGGCGCTTCATAGTATTATCTAAACTCATGGACCAGCAGCTGAAACGAGAAGAAGCCAAGGAGGCATTTAGGGAAACCCATTTGAAATATCTGACACCAGAGATGCAGAGGCTACACGCTCACTATCCTCTCCTCCCAAATGGAGATGGAGGAGCCACCCAGTTTCCTCCCTCAAGAATATATGCTGTTGTCTGGACTGTATTCAGGTGATTTTAATGCCCTACTGTTAACGCTGTGATTAATAACTGAAAAGCACATTCTGTAGCTGTAATACTATATAAATCCTGAAGAAATTTAAACTAGCAAAAAAAAAAAAGCCCTTACAACCTAAGTTTGGGAGAGGGAAGGAGAGTCACTTACTTCAGCTCCAGTTTACGCCACCGAATGATCATCTGACTGATCAAATCAAGATGTTTCCGCAAAGACAAAGTTCGACTTGCATTTTCCTCCCAATCCTAAAGATAAAATTTACTATGGACATTATTCAATGCCATAATCACCTCCTCCCTCAAGAACATCTTGAACTTTGCTTGACTGAAGACTACTGGGCCCTTAAACAACTTGTACCAATTGCAGGAATGAATTTACAGTGTATCCAGCTTCAAGTTCTTTCTGTTCACATGACAGAACTCCATCAGAGCCAAGTTTAGAGGCTGGCAAAAAAGCACAGTGTTTACAGACTGGAGTCTGAATTTGTGCTGTTTGCTATCTGACCTAGAGGAAAGACATGTGGCCCTTTCCTGTCCAATGGGGAGGCAACAGCTAACTCAGAGGCCATGAGGGCACTGAAGGGGATAGTGTATGTGGGCACTCAGTTGGACTGAAGACCCACCTGGAAGGCCGGAAGGAGTGCACCCTCATTACCGGTGGATACTGCATCCCACTGGATAAAAGGCAAGGCAGCTAACCCTCACCACAGGGGCAACGGCCTCACTGGCAATGATCTCACCCCATGCCAGAAAAACCAAGGATGTTTATCTTTTTCCAGCCCAAACTATAATTTTCTGTCTAACAACAAAGGTGCCACAAGATACATCTTTTGCCAACTGACCACCAACAAAAATGAGGAAGAGAGGGATTAGCTCACCTGTGCCTTTGCCAGAAGGATCTCTAAGCCATTCAGGAACTTTGAGATGGGACTGGAAAGTGGGAAACTACGAATTCTGTCCACTACAACCAGGAGCTGCAGAAATAAAGATTTGGGTATCTCAGTAGGAATACCAGTGATCCAAAGTCACAGGGTACTGAAGAGAGTCCTGACCAGACGTTTCCCCACAATTCTCTACTTTTAAAACACCTCTGAATAAACAGAGCAACATGGCAACATTTTATTATGTGGTCAGCAACTCCTAACCAACAAATAAAATTAACAGAATCCCCAAACATCATTTATAAAAGAGAAATACAAAACTGGTATGTTCATCCTACAGTTAGTAAGTAGCATCTCATTGAACTGCAGTTCTTTAAGCTTTTGTTTATACGTATGCATGTGCAAGTGGGTGCCCCCAGGGATAATGGTGAGGCTGCATCCTCCTTGCAGATTCAGTACTGTGAGCATTCCTTCCTCAACAGCTGCCCTACCTGTTCAAGCGCTGGGTGTTCTGGCCAGTCCCGCAGCAAGTGACTGACAGCCTCTGAGAAACCTTGAAGCACAGGTTGACACTGCCGGGCTTCTGGAACATTGGGATGCTGGTAGAAGTCATAGGGCCCATCAGGTTTCACCATCAGGTCTGAAGGTACCTCCCCAAAGAGTGTGTTATGGGAGAGGGTGCAGGCCAAAAGTTGGCTTCCCAAGAGTCGGTCATTCAGTTCAACTCCTGTGAAGTTAACATCATGGTAAAGTCAATGAACTCAGTAAGTTGATCCATCAGCATGTCAAAAAGATGTCAGCAACGTGGCCAGAAACAGTGGCTCATGTCTGTAATTCTAGCACTTTGGGAGGCCGAGACAGGTAGATTGCTTGAGGCCAGGAGTTTGAGACCATCCTGGCCAACATGGTGAAACCTCATTTCTACTGAAAATACAAACATTAACCAGACAGGCTTGTGCCTGTAATCCCAATTTCTTGGGAAGCTGAGGCACAAGAATTGCTTGAACCTGGGAGGCAGAGGTTGCAGTGAGCTGAGATTGTGCCACTGCACTCCAGCCTGAGCAACAGAGCAAGACTCTGTCTCAAAAAAATAAATAAATAAATAATCAGCAACAATGAACTAATTGGGGACTGATGAATGCTATTCTCCCCCAAAGCAATACCGGCCTAGAGAACTGTAATCCTAATACCATGGTAGCTACCTGAAGCTCTCAAGTTTCTAGAATACACAAAGGAACTCAGAAACTGCCTAGGTATAAACAAAATGGTGTAGGGGTTAATTCACTGCATCCAAATTCCCAGTTTTTATACCTATTCTAGGGAAACAGAAAGGAAACTTAAAGCCTCCTTCCTACTTGTATGAAATAATGCCATGAAATCACGTAGGAAACTGCACTGAACCAACTATTAAACAATATTCCACGAGACTGGTTGCTCCCAGGTATATATTATTTCATTTGAAAAGCACTAACGCTATTTGACAGAAAGCAGAAATAATGCTAAGGAAAACACACACACACACACACACACACACACACTTAAATTAAGTCCTTATCCTTATTAATCCCTTCCCCCAAAGGATCGAAACAATAAAAATCCATCTTTTTCTTGACCCATTTGTACACTCATGAAAATCCATCTTATTACAGAATCCTAAATCAATTTTCTTGAATCAGCTTAAGTTCTTTAAGCCAAGGAAACTCCAATAAGGAATTATGCGAAAACAGGAAATTCGTGAGTGCGATTGTTACAGAAGTAGCAACAGCATCTATTTGCATTTGCTTTGATTTCCCAACTGCATAACAAAAGTAAATTACTATACCCATCAGGGGGTAGAAGTGTGTCACAAGTGATGCCCCAGTCTGATAGCAAGACAGAAACAGGCTGAGGTAATGCTTTGCTTCATGTGGCGGCAGAGTCTGTTGATACCAGAGGGATCGAGCAAAGTTGAGACATAACTGCTGGTGTATCAGCATTACCGCCTGCATTGAATTCTGGGAGAGGAGAGCTGGATTTGTGGCTGCTTCCTCTTCTTGCCCATCTGAAGTTCCTTTGTTCTCCTCTAACGTTGGCTGTACCAAAATATCTGCAAAGTCCTATAAATAGCATTAGAGCAATTGAACTTTTAAAAATCAGAATCTACTTCTAATCAGACTAAAAGGAAGAAAGAAAAAAACAGAATGATTGAGAAAATGAAATAGGACTAATATATGTATTAAAATATATTTTAAAAGACTACAGGCTGGGCACAGTGGCTCACACCTGTAATCCCTGTGCTTTGGGAGGCCGAGGCGGGAGGATCACTTGAGGTCAGGAGTTTGAGACAGCCTGGGTGAAATACTGAGACCCTGTCTCTGTAAAAAATATAAAAACTGGCAGGGTGTGGTAGCATGCGCATGCAGTCATAGCTACTTGGGAGGATTGTTTGAGCCCAGGAGTTTGAGGCTGCAGTGAGCTATGATTGCACCACTGCACTCCAGCCTGGGAGATAGAGCAAGACCCAGTCTCTAAAATACATACATACAGAGAGACAGAAAGAGAAAGAGAGAGAAAGCCATCAGAGGGAATGTATATGGCATCAAGGGAATTCATTCCAAAACAAACCCTGCCACCACTGTCCTACCTTTTCATGCAGGGGGAACTGTTTTCTGAACTCCTGTTCTTCCTCCTCCTCTTCGCTCAGGGTTGTCCTAGAATTCCTGCTCCTGTATCTATATAGGCTGCTTTCCTGCTCAGCCTTCTCTTGGGCTATGCGTTCCTGCTCATCCCACTCATTGATGATTTCCTGAAAGTCACATAGACAGAAGCTGAGCTTTCCTTGCTGAGGCACTCACAAAGGGAAGATTTGCTATTAATTTCTTGTGAAAATGAAAGTATCATGACTCAAAAACAAATAAAAGCCAACATCCAAGAACTAAATTCCATGTAATAAAGAGCAAATGGGTTTTGTTTTCCAAGTGTGTAGCCTCAGCAACCAGTTTCCTAAATTCCCCCTGCTGTGTCATTGTAATTTTGAAGGTGTAAAACTTGCCACAGTACAGCTAATGGGAACTTCCTGTCAAGAGATAAAGGTGCTTTGTAACAAGGACCGACTCAGGGTTGGCCATGAGAGGGCTGTGGTTCAGACAGCACTTGGGTGGCACCCCAAGGAGCTGGCCAAGGGGTTCAGAAAAGAAACACTTAGACTAGGGACTGGGTGGTCAAAGGGCACCAATCAGGCAAAACTGGAATGTGTCTTACCAGACACTTCTGAAATTCCCTACCACTTCTAAGATTTTAGATCTTTAAACTGGCAAAAACTGTAAATTAAAGAACCATCCAGTACTGCTGAGGTTGAGGAAATAAGCACCCACCATCTAGGAAGGTAATTTGCATGTAAAGCCTAAGAAGTGTGTTTAGTCTTTGTCCCAGCAATCCTGAGCTCTAAAATTTGTATCCAAATATATAGCTGTGAGACTATTTACTGTGGCATTGGGTTTTTTTTTAAATTTTGGGGGGGGGGCGGGGCAAAATAGTAAAAAGTATTAAAAAGTATATACAAATGTAAATGTTCAATGATAGGAAAATAGTTAAATTACTTGTGGCATAAACATACAATAGAATACTTGGCAGTCACTAAATATGAAGCAGGTGAAGAATACAGAATAACAGAAAAATAATCACTATACATGAAGTTTTTAAAACCAAACAGAGTTATCAAATAGAATAAACTTTATTAGTGGTTTGTTGTACATTTTGTGGCAATTTAAGGACATGTCTCAGGGGCTCGGCGGGGGATCAGAATCTACCTCAACTGCAGCAATTCTTTTTTTCTGTCAATTATGCTAAGATTTGTATTTTTTAAAAGCTGCTGCTGCTACTAAAAAAAAAAAATTTGTAAGCCACTGGAACAAATTTTTAAAAATTTAGAGTGTCATAGACATACAGCTACAGGTAAATATTAATATATATACACACACAAGCAAGCCTGGAATGGGATACCTGATATGTTAGCACCATTTATACCACTTTAAGTGGTAGGATCATTAGAAATTTTAGTATTCTCTTAATTGCATACAATGAGAGCAAATTACTTTTATTAATAAGGGAACATCTTAATGCAAGTTGACATAAGTATCTGGCAAAATTACCATCAACAAAGTCAAAAGACAACTGACAAACTGGGAGAAAACATGTGTAGTGTATAAAAAAGGGTACTCTCATTTTTTTTTTTAATCTCTTAAAAATTGAGAGGCAAAGGTCCCCAAACACGATAGGTAAACAGAGAAAAAGAAGGAACAGAACACAGAATGCCCACGCCCCAACGACACTACCTGTGCATCTACTAGGCATGCTAATGTCCTGCAGGCTGCCCTGCTATGAACCTGACTCTCTGCAGGAGGGAGGGCAGGGCAGGCCTCCCAGAGATGGCTCACCTGACACACATGTCTGAAGAGCTGCAGGGCCCTCTGGTCCAACTCTCCCTTGCATAACACATGGGAGCGCAGGTAAAGGAGAGCATTCATCAGCAGCTGCTCCCGAGTGGGACAGGCTTTCTGGCCCTTGCCTTCCAGCTCCTTTCCTCCTGAGCACTTGATGATTAGCTTCCCAAGGCCTCGTAGAACCTCCTCAGATTTCACAGAGCACAAAGTGTCTGCATGAGCATAGTAAGTGGGGAAGGTGGGGCCCACCGATGGGAAAGCCAGCAAGGCTGTGGCCAGGGTCCCCAGCCTGTCTGCACCAACCATACTGCTGTAGAGTGAGGTGTGGAGCTCATAGGCCACCAGCCTCATGCCATGTTGTAACTGCAATATGGATGCCTGCAGTGGGCTCACGGCATCTGGATAGAAGGTATACTCCTCTGCCAGCCGCTTCCGGAACTGGTGGTGTGACTGCTGCCAAGAGGCCTCCTCCTTTAGAAGGCTGTGGGCTACTTGGGCAGACCGTGGCCCATCCATGTGGAGGGCCTGCAGGAGCCGTGTGAGCAGATCCTGAACGGCAGGGGCCTTGGCGATACTAGTGACGTACTGGTGGATCTCCTGCACCAGGGACTCGTAAGCAGGCAGCTGGGGTCTGAAGGCCTGTTTCTTCAACAGGTGACAGGTTAAATTATCCAGCCGATCCATCCTTTGGCGCAGCAGCCTAAAGGGAAATTAACACAATATGCAAATTATGTCAGAAGAAGAGCAGCAAATCTAGATTGGATCCTCAGCTAGGAAAACAGAAGGAAGAAATATCAGCTGCTGCTAAATAGTATTTGCAGTATCATCTCAGTTGTGATAATAATACCGACAGTTAATGAAAATGGATAACATTTACATAGCAGTTACTGTGTCATGTATGTTGCTGGTGCTCAGATGCATATCTTACTGACGCCTCATCATGACTCACTGGAGTAGATAACTACAATTATTCTTCTTATGCTGATATGGGACACTGAGATGTAAGGCATTAAGTGATCTACCCAACGTCTAAAACCAAAGGTCAGGAGTAGGACTGGAACTCAGAACCTACTAGACTATAGAGGCTGAGCATCCCAAATCCAAATATCCAAAATGCGCCCAACTTTTTGACTGCCAGTCAATATGACACTTAAAGAAAATGCTCATTAGAATATTTTGGATTCCAGATTTTCAGACCTGGCATGCTCAACTGGTATAAATATTCTAAAATCTGAAGAAAAAAACAAACCCCAAATCCAAAACACTTCTGGTCCTAGGCATTTTGGATAAGGAATCCCCAACCCGTATCGTATTTCCTAATAACAGACCTATAGCCAAGAATAGCAGAGAAATATAGTGCATACCATCACACCCCACTTCTTCTATGCTGAGACTAAGTTTTGGCTTCAAACATCTTAGTCCCATGCGAACACACGCCTTGAATAGCCCCCCTCCCCTCCTTTCACAAGGCATATATTTTTCCTGACTATAAACAAGGCTTTGGGATCTAATTACTAATGTAGTTTAGAGGTGTGTATTATCACTTCTACTCACACCATAATTACATTGCAAAGGTCAACTCCATCAAAAGGACAGTCAATAAACCCCGAAACAAATAATCACTTTGCTGTGTTACCTGACGTGAGGATGAGAGTAGCTGACAACGACTTCATCTTCCAGGTCTCTTCCAGTCTGCAGCTGGGATGACAGGTTCCGGGTCTTCCATTCACACTGCAGTTGGTGTAACTAATGGAAAAGAGAGAAACTAGTCCACTGTGTCCCAGCTATGACCATGCACATGAGGACAATGTTCTGGGGACATGTAGAGGAACAAGATGGAAGGAATCTGGGTTCCTGAATGACCCAAGGAGAAGTGGCTCTGCTCCATTAATCTAGATCATTCACATCAGAGTTGTGAGGGGAAAGAAACAATCTTATTTACACCACTGAATTTTTCAGTCTCTCTGCTATAAGAGCTTAGCCTTCACTCCAACTAATATAATTTTCCTTCTTCAAAATATGTACTAACGTACCATTATCTTAATGTATTTAGTTCCTGAACTTGGTTCAAAACTTCAAATAGCAAGAGATACCACATTACCCAAATCAACTTGATTCTTTTTTAAGACAGGTTCTCAGCCTGTAGCCCAGATGGAGTGCAGTGGTACAATCATGGCTCACCAAACCCTTGACCCCCCACCGCCCAGGCTCAAGTGATCATCCTGCTTTAGCCTCGGGAGTAGCTGGTACTACAAACACATGCCACCACACCCAGCTTTTTTTGTTTTGCTTTTTTTGTAGACAGGGATCTTACTATGTTGTTGCCCAGTTAGTCTCGAACTCCTGGGCTCAAGTGCTCCTCCCACTTCAGCCCCTCAAAGTGCTGCGATTACAGGGTGAGGCCTCCACATCTAGCCTCTACTTGATTCTTGAGTTTTGGATAGCAAGCACCAATAAGTTCAAAATTCCTAGGACACAGGGATACTATATTCTATCTAAAGAAATATCCAAATCCAGCTCCTTTCCTCCTGAGCACTTGATGATTAGCTTCCCAAGACCTCGTAGAACCTCCTCAGATTTCACAAGAGCACAAAGTGTCTCTCACAGAGCACAGGCATGGTGGCTCACGCCTGTAATCCCACCACTTTGGGAGGCCAAGGCGGGTGGATCACTTGAGGTCAGGAGTTCAAGACCAGCCTGGCCAAGATGGTGAAACCTCGTCCCTACTAAAAATACAAAAATTAGCCAGGCGTGGTGACAGGTTCTAGTAATCCCAGCTACTCGGAAGGCTGAAGCAGAGAATTGCTTGAACCCAGGAGGCGAAGGTTACAGTGAGCCGAGATCGTGCCACTGCACTCCTGCCTGGACGACAAAGCCAGGCTCCGTTTCAAAAACAAACAAACAAACAAACCGAAACAAAAACCCAAATACCCAAAACGGAGCTCAGGTAGAGAGAGTCCAGAGACAGTGAGAGATGCCACTATTTCTGACAATGGCTCGGGTTTTCTACCTGCCCTCTGCCCATTGCACCTATTGGCAGAGACCTCAGAACCTTAGGAAGGGCTCCTCCCAGAGCCTGAGTATAGTCAGGGGAACTCTCAAAGGGGAAAATACAGTCTCTCAAACAGACTCGTGGGAAGTCACAAGGCAGCTTATGCAATATCATGCTTCTGATGATCTGAGCACCCAAGAGGGAATAAAAGGAGTAATACAATAAGCAAACCCAGCACGTCAGTGAAGGAGCCCATGCTCCAAACTCTTGCCTTCCATACCTCTTCCTTGGCATAATTGAGCTTGTACTCCCTCTTCACCGCAGGGTCAAAGCGTGCCTGGGGAAGCCATGTCTGAATTTGGAGCAAGCCAAGGCTCACCCAGAGGCTCCCACGCTGGGCTGGCTCAGGCAGGCTCCTCTTACTCTCCCCTTCACCAAAAAGGTGGTGCAGGGAGGTGAGCAATTGGCAGATTAGTTCCTTGGGCAGCGCCTCCTGACCAGCCAGGTCCCCAAGTGTCTGGCCCACATGCTGGAAGGCCTGGCTGCTCCCAAGCAGCAGCTGCTCACAGTTCTGCATGTACTCCTGCTGCCGGGACTCTGGTAGCAGCTCTACTAGGCCTGCCAGGTGCCGGAACAGCACCTGCCCCTGGAGTTGGGAATCCGTGCGTCTGTGGGGACAATAAGAAAGCAGTGAAAGGTTTGCAATGTATCAAAAAGCATTCCTTTTCATATACTATAATTCTCTCAAGAAATGATAACCACAGAACGCAGCATCAATATGTGGAGGTGAATTTCTGTTCTCACATGGTCTTATTTGGTTTACTAAGTTCACCCTCTTGATCACAATACGCTTAAAACTGACAGACGAACCAGCCAGCTCATGGTAGCCTGAAAACATGCTGATTCAGGCAGAAAATACCCTCACTTCAAACACCAGAAATAGCCACTACAGAAGGAAGTTCTCACTGGGTCTTTGCTCCATGCTCTGGAGAAAAGACAGGAACTTTACAGTCTGCTTTCCAGGACGAGGGAATACCTGAATTCTGCTACTGAAGAGATAGCCATGTTAGTCCAAAGCATCGAACTGATGTCCTGGAGCTGCTGGGTTCTCTCAACCCACTCTCCTAGGGTCACGTGAGAGGAGGACAGGATGGGGAGGCCACTCACATCCCAGGGACTTGCTCTCCAGCTGCTGGTTAAGACTTCAAAGCAGCACTTAGAGAATATGGGTCTATTGAGATTGCCAGGGCCCTAAAGAACAAGAAAAGAGTCAATAACTTTTAGAAATTAACTAAGACAATTTCCAGAAGCAGCATTAGGGAACCTGAGAGGAAAGAAAGACAGTTCAGGTTGCTTGGAACAGGAAAGCATCACTCAGAGATTGGACTAGAAGGACAGAATGGGTTAGTATACCTTAAATGAAAGTGGACTCCATGCTTTAGGAAATAGGCAATGGATGCTTTAGCAATGCATGAGGAAAGCCTGCAAACCTGGGAATCAGGGAGAACATTCTTGCAGAAGGGAAAGAGACACACTGCAGGTGGATGAGAGCCAACTCAGGGTGCAAGGAAAGGAGTGAGAGACAAATTTAAGAGCCAGGGACAAAATGTCCTTAGACTGTCTGTGTCCTTAGACTGTTAAATGGGACACAGTAATAGTTGTCCACAGCAAAGGGTTGTCAAAGGGTGACAGCCAAATGTGTGTGATAGTCAACTCTCTATAATGCCATACAACCCTCAGGGATCCAAAGTTTATCACTAAAGGCTTTGAGAGGTGTTTTATAACAAATCCATTTTGATAGTGCAAAAGAATGGAATAGAGTTCAAGTAAATCCAAAAACATTTGGGGCAATAAGGCATTTCACATGAGAGTGGAAAGGATGAATTAGTGAAAATGGTGTTATCACATCGCTTTTGGATCTGTTTTCATAAAAGAAAAAATTTGCATCCCTATATCATAAAATAACATATACAGATGAAATAGATTTGAACATAAAATAAATATATAGGAGAAAATAATGGAAAATAGTTTTGAACTCTTGAGGTGATGAAGCAAGACATTTTTTAAAAGCATGACACTAAAGTCAGTAAGCAGAAGGCACTGGCATATTTGGAGGGAAAAAATTATAAAACTTGTGACATATAAGAAAACAAACTTGAGAGACGACAGAAAACTAGAAATATACTTCCAACCTATATTGGGCAAAGGCTTAATATCCATAATATATAAAAAGATCTTCAATAATAAACTAATGCTGAACAACCCTTTTTTTTTTTTTTTTTTTTTTGAGACAGGGTCTCACTCTGTCACCCAGACTGGAGGGCAATGGCGCGATCTCGGCTCACTGCCACCTCCGCCTCCCAGGCCCAAGCAATTCTCCTGCCTCAGCCTCCCAAGTAGCTGGGATTCAGATGCACACCACTACCGCCCAGCTAATTTTTGTTTTCAGTAGAGACAGGGTTTCACCATGTTGGCCAGGCTGGTCTTGAACTCCAACCTCAAATGATCCACCCGCCTCAGCCTCCCAAAGTGCTGGGATTACAGGTGTGAGCTACAGCGGCCGACGAACACAATTTTTTTTTTTTTTAAAAGCACGAGTATTACTGGAAAATTCAGAGAAGAACTAAAGGGGATCAATAAACATGTGAAAATATGTTAAATTTTCACACTTAACAAAGAAGTGCAAATGAGTTCTTTTTAACTCTATGACAGAAACAACTGGAAATGTTTATAACACCTAGTGTGGCAAGCAGATGAAGAACAGGTCCTCATCTCTATGTTAAAGGAAACTTAACCTCACTGTGGTCATCTAGGACTTCAGGACTTCCCTTTTCACTGGCTCTTCACATATTTAAAAAAGTGAAAAGCAAAAACCACATCTCCAGTCTAATAATAACCATAATTGTGTTTTTAACGTGTAGACACTGTGACCAAGGATTCAATTCTAATTCTAATAACTTATGCACAGAAATGCTCCAACAAGTGAACAAAGACATATACTAGGAGTCAATGTGGCACGCTTATTATAGGAAGAGGGAGAAAATGCAAGAAACTTAACATTTTATCAATAAGTGATTAAAATAAATTCAAGCACATTGATACAATGGAATAACTTTTAAAAATAAGCTGGAATGACACGTTTCTATTACATATATGTGTACTTATTTTTGTTTACATATGTATTTAATATAAAAATATATATAAACAGAAGGATATAGAGCAGAGTGGATATTTCTAGTGAATTATATATTATATATACATATATCTGTACTGTTTAAATGTTTTTACAGAGGGAAAATGTTTTAATTTGAAAAAATACAGACTTTTTCAATAAAACCTTTTTTGACTTATCTCAGAATTTCACAAATTATTTAACACGGTATACTTTTACTGACAGTACACTTATTTAACATCCTGCAGAAAATAAAGTGTTGTAATCAACTATTTAGTTACTACTCTATGCTAGGAATAAATGTTTATTGATAGATCCATTCAGAAACTCTTTTGCCACTATCAAACATTTTTTATTAGACCAACAAACCTTCAATGTGGAATCCAAAGCAGACTTGGGTGCCTCCCTCTGCTGCATACCAGGCAAAGGGTTCCACATTAGCCAGTACTCTGGATTTGTGGTCACAGTACTGTTCCAGAAAGACGTAAACATGGAATTAAATAACTCGGACCACAAAGATGTAATTTCTTCAGGAGACACCTAGAAATAAAGGAATAATTAGGTGAGAGAGAATATTTGAGAAAGACTCCATAAATCAAGTTATTAGGTCCTCTGTCTTCTAAGACCCATCTAAAACTATCATAAGTTTAAAAATAATAATCCACATTTTCTGTTTCTCTGCCACCCCGGTCATCTTGGTCAAGGAATGTGACATGTTTACAGTTTTATTTAAAGCTGTACTAATGAAATTCTATTAACCAGAGTGTACCAGTATTCACATTCAATTTATTAGGGAGGAAGAGTAGAAAATACTCTCACAATATATTTTTGAGCAATTGGGAAATTTTAAGAAGCAAATATTTTCATCTCAGTTAAATGGAAACCAAATGAATACTCCTGTGATAAGAGTTGTAATATACCCTCATAATTACTACGAAAGAATATTTAAAATTCTTCCCTTTAAGAGGCAATTCAAAAAAACCTGAGGTTTCCAACATGGAATTTTGAGAATAAATAAAATGTTGTGCAACCAGTTTGTCACAGAAAATCTAATCAACTCATAGTGTAAAGGAGGCTTATGTCTCATTGTGATTTTTACCTTCTGATGATGCAGCAAGGACCACAGATCTCGAAGCTCTTGAGGTGCAACTGGTGTGTGATAAAGACAAAATGAGATGAGATGACTTATCTCCTCATTTATCTGGGGTTGTTGATTTTTGCTGCATCTGTTCCAAAAATAAAGAGGGAGAGGGTGGAGTATGGACTATGAATGAACTGCTGGAAAGCTGCTACATTAGGGAAAGTGTAACATAAAACTTACAGTACATTTATCTAAAAATGAACAACTCTACTGATAAACTTCCCAGTGACTTTTAAAGTAGAATCAAAACTAGCAAAAAACCTTCAATAAATTTTGGTTTTCCAAAATGGCAAATCACTTCCCTCTGCTTCAGCAACCATCCCCATCAAGTCTGTGGTTTGTTTATGGGTATAGGATACACAGAATAATCAAGAAAAAAAGTTCCCGCATGGTTTACCTTCTGAGACAAGCTTGTGCCATAAAATCAGCTGTCACTTTGTACTGCCAAAGCATAGCCAGGTACTCCATTGCAGGCCACAATTGAACACTCCTGGTGAGGTGGATTACAGAGGTCAAGTCTGGATGGGACAGGGAGGAAGCTTCACCATGCTTTTTCTCCAGAAAACCAAGTGAGAGTCCTTTGGCTTTCAGTTCTAAACAGTGAGCATGCACAAAATTCTTCAACTCATCTGGACAAAGAGACAAATGTTGTATTACAGCACAGTGGTCAAGAGTACAGCCTCTAGATTCTCAACAACCTGCTAGGTGACTGCAAGCTTAACTTCAGCTAACCAGAGTTAAGTTCCTTAACCTGAGCTTTGAGATTCTCATCTGTGAAATGGTATTAATACCCACATGATTCTACTGATGGAATTAAAAATATATGTGAAGTGTAGCCCTATGCCTGACACTTATTTAAAGGTATATATACTTTACCCCTCACATTACCCAGAAAAGAAAAATCTAAGGGAAAACTTATTAGCTACCAGCAAGAGGATATTTTCAGAGCATCTGTCAGCTAGCCAAGTGCTAGAATATTTTACCTAGGTTGACATCTTCCAAAATATTAGCTCTGAGGATCAATCCCCAGGCTTGCAGGAGACTTTTCTTTAATGTCCATTGAGAAGCAACCACTTGGAGACGATTAAGGTCTTCCTGCCATCCATTCTCCCCAAGGGCAGGCATTTGCTCCCTGATGGCAAGGACTTTGTTAAGGACCTTCAGTTGTGAAAAACACTCCACCACCAGCTTGTCCTGAAACAACAAAACCCACAAGAGCATACTATAGAACACAAATGTGGTTTTCTTTAGTAGCCTATACAGGTCTCAGAATAAACTTATGATATATTCTTAATGTTTCCAGAAAACAAAGGACTTGTTTATTCCTGTTGCTGTCAAGAGATTTTACAGTAGTAATAAAGTTAACTGTCTACTCAGCCTTAAGGGTCTCAGGAATAAGTAAGATGATAATATGTAGCAAATTACTAAACAGGATTCATGGGATAGAGCCTGCCCTCTTGTTATCTGCAGGTTCCGCATCAATTCAACCAATCGTGGGTCAAAAATATTCAGGGGGAGGCGGGGTGCGGTGGTTCACGTCTGTAATCCCAGCACTCTGGGAGGCCAAGGCGCGCGGATCAGGAGGTCAGGAGATCAAGACCATCCTGACTACCATCTTGACTAACACGGTGAAACCCCATCTCTACTAAAAAAAAAATACAAAAAATTAGCCAGTCGTGGTGGCAGGCGCCTGTGGTCCCAGCTACTCGGAAGGCTGAGGCAGGAGAGTGGCGTGAACCTGGGAGGCGGAGCATGCAGTGAGCCGAGATGGCGCCACTGCACTCCAGCCTGGGTGACAGAGCAAGACTCCGTCTCAAAAAAAAAACATTCAGGGGGAAAAATGGATGGTTGCGTCTGTACTGAACATGTAAGGACTTTTTTATCTTGTCATTATTACCTAAGCAATCCAGTATAACCACTATTTACACAGCATTTACATTGTATGAGGTACTGTAATTCAGAGATAATATAAAGTGTACATAAGTTATATACACACGCAACGCCATTTTATATAAGAGTCTTGGGCTTTCCTGGATGTCTGTATCCAAGGAGAATCCTGGAACCAATCACCCCCAGATGCCAAGGGAAAACTGTAAGAGTTAGGCTTTGAAGACAAGGATTAATCTTATACAGGGTCAATTCCCAAGTTCCAGAAGGACTTCAGAAGAAGTAGTCAATTTCTTTTTATTTACTAAATGCTTCCAGGTATACCTTAAAAGGAAACGGTCGTCCCAGGAACTTCTGCAACTTCTTTACACCAGCGAAGCCACCAGTCTGGCTCCCCAGACAATTCTGAATATGTTCTGAGACAGTCTGAACTTCTTTGTAGTATCTAAAGGAGAACAAGGGCAGAGGGGAAATAAAGAAAGGGGGAAATGCTAGACAGTAAGAGAAGCCATTAATATTTTCCTTCCTTTTTTTTTTTAATTGTACATTTACCAATATGCCAAGGGAATAAACCAAAATAAAGCAAGAAGAAGCAGTTTTGGTTCCAAATCTTATCCTTAACATCATCTGTCTGTAATCATTGACATTATTACTCTAAATATGAATCTTACTTGTCTTCATAATTCATCAGAAGTTGGGGGATCTGGTGGACCAGATGTTTTAAAACCCAGTGCCAATGGAGTGCAAGAAGGGCCAGACCTGGGGCATCTACTTTTACTGTGTCGGCTACAGTCCAAAACCGGTCCCGCCACCGCAGAGAACCTAAGATCTAAAAACAAAGTCTCTTAGATAAGATGGCATGAGGAAAGACTAAAAAAAGAAGAAAATATAAAAACAAAGTGAACCAAGACTGCTCAGCAGCATCTCCTGGGAAAAGACACACAACACAGACTATAACTGCTAATCAATGCTCAACTTGCATAAACGAAAAGTCTAAGACTGGACTGGAATATATGTAGGAACATTAAGGCAGACAGAGGAGGCTAAAATCTTTTCTCTTAGTATTTATGCTTAGTTATAGCATAAGTTATTAGACAAAATGGAATTGTTGGGTCAAAGTATAGGTCATTTTATAAGAAACTACTAACTGTATTCCAAAGCAGCTGTACCATTTTGTACTCTGACCAGAAGTGCAGAAGAGTTTCAGTTGTTCCATTTCTTTGCCAATACTTGCTGTTAATGATTTTAACTTTAGTTTTAATTTTAATTATATTCTGGTGGATGGTACACCTCACTGTGGTTTCAAGTTACATTTCTTTGATAACTGATGACATTGCAATTTTTAAACTTCTTACTGGTCATTCATATAACTTGCGAGAAGATACTCTATTCAGATGTCTTGTTCATTTTAAAAACTGGGTTGTATTATAGCTAGTTTATGGAATTTATATGTTTTGTTAGCAGTTTTTCCCAGTATATTCATTTCCTCACAGTATGGTCATAAAGGTATCTATGAAGAATAGAAGTTTTAAATTTTGATGAAATCAATTTTATCAATTTTTTTTTTCATTTAGAAAGAATCCTAAAAACTCTTTGCCTATACTTAGATTGTAAAGATCTTCTTCTATGTTTTCTTTTAGCCAGTTCATAGTGTCAGTTCTATTTTTAAAGGTTTCATCCATGTTGAGGTAACTACATATAATGTGAGGTAGGGGTAAATGCTTTTTTTTTTTTTTTCTTTTTTTGAGACTGCGTCTTGCTCCATTGCCCAGGCTGGAGCGCAGTGGCACAATCTCAGCTCACTGCAATCTCCGCCTCCCAGGTTCAAGTCATTCTCCTGCCTCAGTCACCCAAGTAGCTGGGATTACAGGTGCCTGCCACCATATCCAGCTAATTTTTTTGTATTTTTAGTAGAGACAGGGTTTCACCATGTTAGCCAGCCTGGTCTCGAACTCCTGACCTCAGGTGATCCACCCACCTTGGCCTCCCAAAGTACTTGGGATTACAGACATGAGCCGCCGTGCCCAACCAGGCTCATTTTACTTTATATGGACATCTAATTCTTCCGCCACCCTTTACTGAATAGACCATTTTTTGCCATTAAATTACCTTTGCATATTTAACAAAAAAACAAAACAAAAATAACTGATCATGTGTGGGAAGGGGGGTGGGGTCTATCTGTGAATCCTCTCTTTTGTTTTATTGGTCTAAATGTCTATCCTTAGACAATACCATATGGTTTTGTTTAATACAGGGTTGTAATGCAAATCAGGTAATGAGTCTCCAACATGGCTCTCTGAATAATGTAGTTTTACAGTAACATTGTTTCTAGATTAGTGATTTCCTACAGTGGTTCCATGAAGTCAAAACTATTTTCATAACATCATGCTATTTGTCATTTTCACTATGATGACATTTACACTAATGGTACAAAAAAAGAAGGACTGACAGGCAAATTATGACTATCTGACAGACACTGCATTGAAAATCAATGATGTGAACCTGTCACTTCAAGAAAAACAATCGAGAGGCCAGGCGCGGTGGTTCACGCCTGTAATGCTAGCATTTTAGGAGGCTGAGGCAGGCCGATCATCTGAGGTAAGGAGATCCAGACTAGCCTGGTCAACATGGTGAAACCCTATCTCCACTAAAAATACAAAAAATTAGCTGAGTGTGGTGGCACGAGCCTGTAATCCCAGCTACTCAGGAGGCTGAAGCAGGCGAATCACTTGAAACCAGCAGGCGGAGGTCACAGTGAGCCAAGATAGCACCACTGCACTCCAGCCTGGGCAAGAGTGAAACTCCGTCTCAAAAAAGCGATTGAGAATATGTGTTGCCATGATAAAATCTGAGCTTTTAAGCAAAACTTAGCATTCTGGAAAACTGGCCGGGAACGGTGGATCACGCCTATAATCCAAGCATTTACGGAGGCTGACGCAGGTGGATCACCTGAGGTCAGGAGTTCAAGACCAGCCTGATCAACATGGTGAAGCCCCGTCTTCACTAAAAATACAAAAACTACCCAGATGTGGTGGTGCGTGTCTGTAGTCCCAGCTACTCGGGAGGCTGAGGCAGGAGAATCGCTTGAACCTAAGAGGCAGAGGTGGGCAATGAGCTGAGATCATGCCATTGCATTCCAGCATGGGGGACAGAGCAAGACTCTGTCTCAAAAAAAAAAAAAAAAAAAAAATCTGGAAAACAGAGTTTGACGACTTCCTGGTAACGATTTTTCTGATGAGATTTGTGATTTTTCACAAGCATGACTTTTTATTTATTTATATTGAAGAATGAAATGTGCCAACTCAGTGAACAAATTTTCCAAGTTACCAATGCACACGCTATAAACTAATGCAGGGTCAAAGTCCATCCAAGGTGCAAACTAGGCCAATGATTTTTCTTTTTTCTCGAGTCACTGCAACCTCTGCCTCCTGGGTTCAAGCAATTCTCCTGCCTCCCGAGTAGCTGGGACTACAGGTGCCCGCCACCATGCCTGGCTAATTTTTTGTATTTTTAGTAGAGACGGGGTTTCACCATGTTAGCCAGGATGGTCTCAATCTCCTGACCTCGTGATTTGCCTGCCTCAGCCTCCCTAAGTGCTGGGGTTACAGGTGTGAGCCACCACACCTGGCCGTGGACAGTGAATTTTAACACGAGAAGTTCACTGATTATTTGCTCAGATTCTCCATTGCTAATAACCCTTACAAAACTATTTGTCGTTTTTGGTGAGCCATCAAATAAAAATATTTGAAATCATATGAAATGGTTACTAAAATACTCCTCCCCTTTCCAACCTCCTAACTATAGGAGGCCAGTTTTTCTTCATAAACTTTATCCCAAACAACATACCATAAGAATCCATCTTCTCACAAGCCAGACATACAGAGACTTGCAGGAATGTAAAACAGTTCCACGTTTCTCAATTTTTATTTTAGAAACTGCTATTTTTTATTGAAAATAAGTTATTCATATTAACATGAAATTCTTTGCTACTGTATTCTGAAGCAAATTTATGGGTTTTTAAATATTTTTCAGATTTAGTTCTTAATATGTAAAAACTGACAGATGTAACATCTTTGAGGTTTCTGAGAACCTTTAAGAGTACAGAGGCAGAGATCAAAAAGTTTAAGACTGGCTGCTCTACTTTACTAGACTTACTAGAATAATCTGGATTAAAAACTCCATGTAACCCACATGTAACAATAATGTCTAAGAGGACTTAAGTGGATTAAAAAATAACTGTTACAATCTAACACAGGTGAACAAATAAAAAACTGTAGTAGATCCATGCAATGGAATACTACTCAGCAATAAAGAGGAATGAACGACTGATACATGAAACCACATGGATGCATCTCCAAATCACAATGCTGTGTGAAAGAAGATAAACAAAAACGTATATATACTGCATAATTCCACCTATAGAAAATAAAACTGATCCACAGTAACAGAGAGCAGATCAACAGCTACCTGTTTGTGGGTGGGAGCAGGAAAGAAGAAAATACAAAAAGGGAATGAGGAAACTTTTTGGGGTAATGGATATGTTCATCATCTTGACTGTGATAATGGTTTCACAGGTGTATACATGTCAAAACTTACACATTTTAAATATATGCTGTTTATAATATGTAAATTATACCCCAATAGATTTTAAATATGTGTATAGGTATATTTAAAACTGTTAAGAATAAATTTATTAAATAACATTGGGCATATATCAACACTGAACTTAGTCTTAGCCCTAAGAATCTTTATACCAAGAAACATAAATTTTGTTGTTTAAAATAAAACAAGGTGCAGTTCCTTACCTCATATACAATGGCATCAGACACCATTCCCTGGGAAGACTGTACCCAGAGCAGGACTAGTGCATCACAAAGTTCAAAAAAAGCAGCAAGATTGACCACAATTTCATGGGGCAGAGTGTGATAGCTCTCTGGATCTGAGAGTCAACATAAATGAGAACATTTCATCAGATTTAAAATAATCTCTAGACATTTTCCAAATAAGTTGTAATCTACAACTTAAATGTTATTCCCAGTACAAAGGTCAACTTTGAAAGAGCAAAAGCAAATTCTTTGCCTACTACAGGTTGTGTGTCTCTTATCTGAAATGCTAAGAATCAGAAGTCTTTCAGATTTTGAATTTTTTTTTTTGATTTTGGAATCTTTGCATATACATAATGAGGTATCTTGGGGATATACATAGTCCAAACTTTCTATTTTACAATATTTTTAATAATTTTATGCATGAAACAAAGTTTGGACTGTATTTAGACCATGGCTCATCATATGAGGTCAGGTATAAAATTTTCCATTTGTGGCATCATGTCAGTGCTCAAAAAGTTCCCAATTTTGGAGCATTTCAGATTTCAAAATTTTCATATTAGGGATGTTCAATCTGTATTATTAAACTTGGCAAATGAGGCATGTATACCTACAGATGTAAATAATGTCTCACTGAAAAATGCAGATTATAAAGAAAAAAATGTACATTTTATACAAGTATTTAAGTATAAAATGAAAACTAAGTACTTATGTTTAGATGGATAGTTAACACCAATAGATATGAGAAAATATAAATGAAATTATTACTAACACTAGCTGATGTAAAGATCAACTTTTTCAATTTTTATACTTTAATAGTTTGAATTTTTTCCAACAAGCACAACTATCTTTTCAATTAACAAAAAATAAAGATGGGAGAAATGCTCCCTTCTATAATAAATGCTTATGAATATGCACTTTTTCAGCCGACAGACCTAGTTTTCAAGTGGCTCTGTTACTTGCTAAAGATGTGACCTTGAGCATCTCCATGTCTCCCTGTCCTCACTAATAACATGGGGACGTATATCACAGGTGGCTATAAAAAGTAAATGAGATCAAGGACACATAAAAAGCATTTAGCTAAGCACCTGGCACAAAGTAAGTGCTGAGTAAATGTTAGCCATTACTATTGAGTAAGGGGACATGTTTAAAATCAGGTCAGCAGATTAAAAGGAACCAGTAAACAGCAGCAGCTGCTGAATATGCCTCAACTTCAGCAACATTATGCAATAAGATACTTAATTAGAGAACACAAAAGGTTCTTACCTTGATGGAATTCAAAGGACATTCTCAAAACACTATCTCTTAGCTTTCTGCTACCAACAGAAACCAAATTTGCTTCAGTAAAAACCCGTTTTTCCCGATCAAGATATATGATTGTCCTAGAATGAGATTCAAAAAACATAACAAATAGTTATCGGTTAATAACATTTTCAATCATATCCTCTATTTGCTGGCACACTTGGAACATCAGGGTCCTTCATCCTGCCATTCCTCTCCTGCATCTGCAAATCTTGGACTAAAGAGATGGGAGATGAAAGTGGCAACTACTAAGGTGAAAGGAAAGAAAATCGATGGATGGAGAAAGTTGGGTCTAGGCAGACTGCCAGGCCTTGGTCTGCCACGATCTGACAAACTGCACTGTGAACTCTTCAAAGTGGCCATGGTAGAAATGGAGGAATTGGGGGAGTAGCGGAGTAGGGGCTGGTAGCTTGCAAGGCAACCTCTGAGGTACACACTATACTTGTGGATTCACTTTGAAAATTACGTAAATTCATATGTGAGTGTGTACATAAGTATGGAGGTGTTATTATGTCTCCAACATTTGAGGACAGGAAATGATGTGGACAGAGAGATGGCTAAGGAAGAGACAAGTAAAAACAAGTAGGTGAAAATGGGAGGAGCTGCTAGGAATTAAACAAAAACCAGGCTGGGCACAGTGGCTCACACCTATAATCCCGGCACTTTGGGAGAATGAGGCAGGTGGATCACTTGAGCTCAGAAGATCAGTCTGGGCAACATGGCAAAACCTTGTCTCTACAAAAAAGTACAAAAATTAGCCAGGTGTGGTGGTGATGTGTACCTGTAGTCCCAGCTACTTGGGAGGCTGAGGTGGGAGGATGGCTTAAGCCCAGGAGGCAGAAGTTGCAGTGATCCAAGATTACGCCACTGCACTCCAGCCTCAGTGACAGAGCTAGACCCTATCTCAAAAGCAAAACAAAAACAGAAAACAGTAGAAATGTGATTATCATATGATAAAGGCAATCATGTCCAACACCCCACAACTTCCCAGGTTCACAAAATTCAACACACATAAGCTATCTGACAGATTCTTAGGAAAGGTATAATCTGAGAAGCCAGTGAGGCAAACAGTGCCCAGAGCAGCAGGTTTCACTTACTTGTTTGCAGCTGATTCTAAAAGGGCAAAGAGCTGGTCAGGCTGGTCCGTTTGTGGGTCAAAGTCCATCAAATTTCTAATCATGTCCAGAGCCTGCATATTCCATCGGGGGTCCAGAGGGATCACAAATTCATCTAGTTTAAAAACAGAACAAAACAAAAATCAGAAATATTGGAGGTAAATTCCTTGCCTGGGAAGTTTCAGTTGAATATTTTTATTGCTTTACTTTGAGCACATTGAATCCTGATGGGGAAGAGGTTGAACCAGTAAACACCATGAGTTTCATCCCATAATACTAGAACAGCAGGGTTTAATAGCTTTTACACTCTTTCTTTTCCAAATGCAAAGTATCTGTATGTACTGAAAGTTCATCCCAATGCAGGATATAAAGGTAATCCCTACTAGAACACAACATTCCAACCAATGAATTCACTTCCTGATATCACACTAATCCATGGGCTAAATTACACAGTGGTCACCATTAGCTTAAAAAAAAAATTACGTACATGGCAGAAAATGAATGAATACACCTATCTGTTTTCATTAAGAAAACAAGGCAATTTTTTTAAACTTAAAAACAATTTCTCTATAATCAGAGTGTGCCTGCTGCTGTGGCTGCTGCTGCCCCATAATCCTCTGGCTCACATCTGACACAACTTCTGTGAAGCAGCAAGAGGAGACTGACACTCTCCAGAAGTTGTGAAAACCCAAGGAAGGGAGGCAAGACACAAAAAGGGTAATATTAAGTTGAAGGTGGCTGTCAGGACGGTTCAGTGGAGCACTTTAAGTTTTAAAAGCATCCACCATATAGTAGACTACTCAGACTACCCAGAACATACTGTGAACAGCAGGTACATTAAGGAGGGAACCCATATTCCAATACTCAGTAAGATAAAAAGGTTACAAAACAGAAAAGGACAGTTAGAGTTAATGTGTTCCAACAGACAAGTGATGCCTGCTGAAAATGAAAGCTGCTACTCTATAACTGTGTTTGTAAAAGTTACAATCCTCTCATAGTGGAAAGCCATGACTTAGTTCAGCCACAACTTGACTAGCAAAATATTTTTCTCTATTGTTTGATTTCCTCCCATTCACTCCATGATCTTTAGTGCACATAAAGGAATTATTTAACACAAAAGCATCATGTATATTTTTTTCTAAACCAAATGGCCAGTGGTATATTTTGATCATCAAATGAAGATGGAGGTAGAAAATTTTAAATCTGGTGTTGTGAAAATGCCCATTTTCCTAATTAATGCTTGTGTCAATCAAGTTAATATTACACTGTTCTAGGAAATGTTTATTCTCTCACTCCTTATTTTAAAAAAATAAATCTTGAATACTTCCTTTGATCAGATATCTTAGATGTCTATTTCTGTCATCACTATGGTTTTATAACTTTGTCATCAAAGCTTTCTCAGAGACACAGTCTGGCTCTGTTGCCCAGGCTAGAATGCAGTCAGTGGCACTATCACAGCTCACTGCAGTCTCAAACTCCTGGACTTAAGCAATCCTCCTATCTCAACTTCCCAAGTAGCTGGACCACAGGTACAAGCCACCGCATCTATCATTAAAGTTTTATATTTTCTTAAATTAAACGACCCTGTTTAACTTTCCTTTAAGTCAAATATCTCATGGTTTGAAACTCTTCCTACTAACAATACTGGTAGACAACACAAAGTTAAGGGTGGAAGGGACCTCAGAGAAATAAGAGCTTAATTCCCCTAGTTTCTAAACACAGGCAGAAACAGTAAATGATGAGCCAAAAATCTACCAAGCCAGTTTGTGGCAGAGTTGGTACCATGGCCCAGTGTTCCAACTCCTAGATTCTTTTCACTCCATGGCGTATCATCAGCCTCCTTCAGAAGCTGGAAGATAAATGGATAGTTTCAGGCCAGGCATGGTGGCTCAAGCCTCTAGTCCCAGCACTTTGGGAGGCCAAAGCAAGACGATCATTGGAGGCCAGGGCAACTTAGTGAGACCCTGTCCCATTGGCGGGGGGGAAAAAATGTAGTTTCAAAAAAAAAAAAAAAAAAAAGAGGGAAAATTTGCTTCTGCATATCATGAGTCTTCTAAAAACTACTGTTATGTTGAGACCTCTTTTCCCCATAAACTCAAAAGATAAGTTTCCAAAACAGTGCTGAGAGCTAGAAATCAAAAGCGCATACCTGTCGTATTTGGTTGTAATATTTTGAAAACATTACTGACTGCACCTGAGAGGGAATGTGAGTAAAAATTCCTGAGAGATGCAGCACTGGCTTCCAAATGAATCTGTATGGACTCTGTGGAGGAAGGAGAAACCAGTGTTAGACTCTAAGGCAGTGCTATCCAACTGAACATTCTGCAGTGATGAAAATGTTCTACAGCTGCATAGAATAACCACTAGTTATATATGAGGACTTGAAATGTGGCCAGTGCAACTAAAGGACTGGATTTTTGATTTTTTTAAATCTACATTTACATTTTAGTCGCTCTCTGTGGCTGGCTAGTGGCTATGATATAGGACAACAGAGACAAAAATATTTATAAAAATTCTCTACACATATTTAGACAGATGACCACATGTGTTACAAAATATTATAAATATCCATTGGTTTATCGACAAATTCTCATGAAGTAGAAAGGCTCATGTAAACTCAATTACTTAATATCCACCAACAAATTCCATGTTCCGTACTTTACAATTCAAGCAATGTTGTTATTGTTGCTTTGTCCTCTCTTAAAATGAAAGAACTACAAAGAAAGTACAGGTAGCTCTCCATATCTGAGGGTTCCACATCTGTGGAATTCAACCAACTACAGATCAAAAATATTCAAAAATTAAAAAATAAAAATAAAAAATAAAAATACAACAAAAATAATATAAATTTTGAAACAACATACTACAACTATTTACATAGCATTTACATTGTATTAGGTATTATGAGTAATCCAGAGATGACTTAATGCATACAGGGGGATGTGTGTAGGGTATATGAAAATACTATCCCATTTCATATAGGGGGCCTTAGCGTCCACGTATGTTGGTGTCCCTGGGTGGGTGGGGGAGGGAGAGTCCTTGTATCAATCCCCCACAGATACCAAGGGACAACTCCAAATGGGACAACATGGAGCACTGGAACTAAAATAAGATTAGAATCTTATATACTTTTAGAAGAAATGCATTTATCAAAACTAATACCTTTCCCAGATAGAATGGTTCTGCAGCAGCAGTACAGCACAAAAAGCAGATGTTCAAAACTAAAAAGTAAAATAATACAGTATGCTTTCCTTTTGAATTTGTTAGGAAGGTGAATATGTCCTGAAATGCTAAGGATAACATGGAAACAAAAGTTTATCTTGTGACACATCTATAGGCAGACTTGCTCCTCAACAGTAATGCTAGGCCACAAATTTCTTCCTAGGAGATCTCCCAACTGTAATTTTAACAGTGTAGTCACAGATTAACACAGCTGCTGAGGCACTTAAATAGCATCAATATATATAAATCACATCACTGGACAAATTAAGCTGTTCTACTCACCAAGCCCCTGCGGTATATTCTTGGCTAAATGATAAAGCCATTTAACTCTGAGCATCCAATCCTGGTTGGTTGCTCTTTCTATGAGCAATTTAACAGCCATGGCCAAAACATCTGGTTCATCGATCCAGTAAGTATTCACTTCGACTGCATTGAATTTCAGGTTCTCAGGGCTGGAGGACTGCATAATTTTCTCTAAGTCTTGCAAGGTAAGAGGCTGACTCCTGAAATTCATTTAAATGAACAAACTCAGTACTAGAATAACCTTTTATTTCACATTCCAAATAACTGAGAAAACCCCTTTCACAAATATTGGATCAAAGGTAAGAGAGAAAAGGTGAGTCTCCCACAGAGGAAAAAAGGTAAAACACACCTAATAAATAATAAATAGTGAGCGATATCACAATGAACAATAAAACTATGACGGCTGCATAATAAATGGTCACAGAATGCTCCAGTTAAATATATTGTGTCCTGACCATTTCCAGCAAAAACAAAAACCAGCCAAGAAACCAGAGACACAAGCTGAAGGCTCCACTGACCTTGTCCAGCTGCTGGTTTTCATGCTCATCCTGTTGAGACAATATGCTAAGATCTGTCCATCACTTCGGACTGTGGACAGGTGAGAATCTTCAGTAGCAAAGAGAGCTGAGGGCACAGAATCTGGCCACAGTCCCATGCCAAGAATGGAGTCTCCCCAGGTTTCATGTGCTCGCAGAGAAGAAACATGTTTCTCCAGTAAAGCCTGTACAAGCTGGCAGGAGACAAAAACACAATACAGTGGTACCAACATAAAAGTGATATTCGCCAAAAAACAGCTAAGTAATAATACTCCATGTGACTACCTCACAACAACCCGTAATACACTCTTCAATGAAAAACACAAGTTAAATTCTACTTTTCCTGATGACATGTAAGTTTCAAAAAAAAAAAAGGAATATTTATAGTCAAGCTATTTTCCAGAGAAGTACCTGGATACCAGATCTCTATTAAAGCAAACTGTGGTGGTCAACTCTCTCAGGTCACTGGGTTGCCACCTTTAAAATTTCCTTGTACTGAATAATGTACGGTATTACAACTTAGAAACATTCTGCAATACTTCATAGTACCTTCCGGTTTGCTGGTGAATGCTGGGAACAGACATATACTTCCCAGCATGCTTCAGAAAAGGCTCTGTCTAAACTCAGCCCTCGCTGCAGGTACTGGACAATTAGTATGGCTGTCCGGATTAGAGTTGATACAGAAGATGTTGGAGAACCTATTAAAAAAAAATGCCATCTATAAACAATAGTCTTTAAAATCTCCAATGAAAATGGATAAATTCTGTCCTTCTATCAAACCTCCTTCCACTCAGCCCCACCCAAATACTTACTTTACAAAACCTTCTAATCTAAGTAGACTCTAGAGCCCCCCAGGGCACAATGGACCTGTAGGAACCTTTGTATTCCTATCTCCCCTGTTTCTCTCTGGCTGTCTGCAGTTTATTATGGAGGACTCATTTATAGATGTGATAAAGCCTGGTCACATATATCCTTAATCTAATGCTGACACACAATGAAGGTGGCAAGTTGAGTGTAACCTCATAAAAGACCATGGGATTTGAAATCCAACAGACCTATTTGCAAATTCCAGCAGTTATTATTAACTGATAAATTACCCAAACTCTGAGTCTTTTCTCGAAAATGAAAACATATGCCTTGCAGAACTAATGTAAAGATTAAATAAACAATCTGCATGGTACCTAACACAGAGTAGTTAACCAACAAGCAATACTCCATTTATTATCTCGCTCCTTTTTGTGTAATTGAATATTTAGAAAAAGTAACACCTGTCTGCTTTAAATAACTCAGTTTCCTCTTTATTCCAACTTCAAGAGGCTGTTGATGACCCTGGAGAAATGATGGGCAAACTTCATAAACCTCAGTGCGTAAAGCAGAATTACTCAAGGGTTAGCCTCTGCTTACTCGCATCAGAATGACATAGGAAGCATCTTTCAGATACTGATTTCTGTGCCTCGCCCTGCCCTGCTAAACCCAACCTCTTGGGGTGTCTAGAAATCCACATTTTTAACAAGTTTTCCTGATAATTTCTATATACATTAAATGTAAGAAATCTTTGACTAGCAGTCCAATGGAATAACATAAATTTCTTGAAGACTAAAACTCTGCAAAGGCCCAAAAGTCAAGCACCTCACCTACAACAGTGCTCCGGGTCTGTGTGTGTAGAGCCAAGAGGATGTCACATACACTGTTCCCCACCAATCCAAGGCTGTGCAGCAGAACTTTCAAATCCAGGTTGTCTGGGGTGCTCACATCCCCTTCCCCTGAAATGTAGATTTCGAGTCCACGATTCCTCATAGCTCGGGATATATCTCCATGAACAGGATCCATCGAGAGGAAAAGTCTAGAAAAATAGCAATTCAAAGAAAAAAACTATTTTAAATCCCAGTGCAACAAAAGGTGTAGCTCAGCATAAGTCAGTGAGGGCAAATCCTACGTGGCTCATTGTCAAAGAATTCACATCAAGGATCTTTTATTTCCAGTATGCATCAATATAGCAAAAGATTTTCCTTAAAACTACTTTCCTAAGGAACTGTGTATGATATATATCCAGTGTACCTTTAGTATTGAGAACTCTAAAAATTTAACCTTCAGATATTCCCCAAAGTAGGCTGTACTAATTCATTATTTTAACTCAACCTACAGACAGCAGAACAGGAAGCAAGTGTAGTCTCCTGAAACAACTGGCTTCATATATTGAATGCCCATCAACATCTTCATCTAGTTATCTGACACTTCTCATTTATGTCTGAAAGTAAACAGCTGATTCCCTGTAGACCCTCCCCAAATTAAACCTGCTCTTTTATCAATGAATGGCAACCCTTTCTCAATGAATGTCAACCCCATTTACCCAGTTACTCAAGCCAAAAACATAGGTGTCATCCTTGATTCTTCTTTTCTCAACCCACATGTCCGTCAGCAAATCAACTCATCAGACCACCCTCATCTAAGCCACTGTGATGTGTTGCCTAAATTACTGCAAAAGGATTGTGACTGGTATCTTTGCTTCCCACCTTTGTCACCAATTCAAGGCAAGGACCTTGCTCCTCTTGTTTATGCTATGTTTCCACAGCCCAGCAGTGCCTGGCAAATAGTAAAGCCTCAGTAAGCATTTGTTAAGTGAATTAATAAATGGGTGAACTTCCCCATGATTCAGTTTATAAATAAAATACAGAAGCAAGTCCTACTGAACATCTACCTCTGCTACTGAGGCTATTAGATTCTGAGGCAGAAATATAAGAGATATAAATACCTGAAATTGGGATTTGGTGTTATCGTGGGAGTGGATCCATCTATCATTCCTCTCTCACTAATAGTGAGGACACCTCCAGGTTCAAGCAAAGCATTCAAACGATCCAACACTGATGGGCTGCAGAGACAGAATTCAGATGGTGGATAGGTTAACATGCTGCATTGACTCTTCTTTCCTTCCATGCATGGGGCTCCAAATGCTTTTGACTCACATTTCCTTTTTGCACAATCACTCACCCAGATACAATAGTGATCTCTCCAAAGTAGATTCCCCATTGATTTCCCTTCTCACTTCCCTAGGCACATACCCCAGGGCCTTATACACAGTAAAACATAAGATATTTTTGAATAAATGAAATTAAACATAATGATAAGTTCCTTGCACTACAACCTTTTCACTTTTTCCTTTCCTGCCCCCCTTCCCTCCACATTATCAAATCCATTTAAGGTGGCTGGATTTCAATTTGTAACATTCAGATAAATGCTCCATGAAGAAATAGCCATCATCTAACTTGTAGTAGCTTCTATGTTAACTGTATATGTACAATAGTTTCACACTTGTCCTTTGCCTTACTGTAAGATCAAGAATGATACGTGGTTGAATCGCTGTGTCACTGATGGCCATTTAATAAATGCCTGCCCTATGTCAGATCCTGCATTAGAAAACACTGCACTGAAGAAACCCTAACAAAAGACTTCTGATATTAAAAGGCCTAACTCAAAGGACATTGCCAGAAGTAATCCAATTTTGTTAGCCTTTGGTTCAGCTCAAAATTATCATACAGAGCTGAAAACTTACAGCTATCTGATGACAAACTACAACTGTTCACCATAGGGAGAAGTCTACAGACTACGGCTGAGGGTGCCTACATAAGTAAGAAAAATAGTAGCTTCAAAATACCAGCACTTCTATCTGGGTTTCTACTTTGACAAGCATATCCCAAATTTCAAGCTGGACCACTGATGATTAGGCGTAAGGTTCTTACTTGCAGAAGTTAACATTGTCCATCAGAAGCCAGTCTCCAGACTTTAGGGCCTGAACCAACATGCTGTCAACCCATTCAAATGTGCCATGGCTACGGCCACTGGCTGACTGTGTAAGCTTCACACCAAAGCTTCGGAACTCTTCAACAAGTTTGGCAAACTCTGAAATATCACAGGGAAGAATCACCATCCACAGCACTTAACTTCAAACCAAGAATTAAGTTTATGAAAAGGAAGCTTGATACTACTAGCCGAGGTTTTTAAGATTTCATAATAGAATAAATAGAAGAATGTTTTGCTTCTGTTTATACACAGATAAGAAAGTTAAGTTTAAGACAGAAAATACTTCTTAATGGTTCTCTGTATTAATAGCCAATCAGGGTTGACTATAGGGTGATAGAGGTGGCAAATGATTTTTCTGTATTATGGTTTCTCAAATGGCAAAAGGAGGATGTTTCCCACCTATCAGTGCATTTATACTAAATGAAAGTGCTATAACTTCACACAGTGCAAACTGCGCTTCCTTTATAATGAGCATATCATATGATTATAGTAATAACTGGTAATTACTAGACAAATGCTTTATAGTTTATATAGCCCTTCCCTGGAAAATTGTCAAATGATCTTTTTGGTTAGAAACTGTTTTATGACTATTTTTCATATCACAAGGTAATACACATTGGATTTCTACTTTGAAAGATGAGGGAGTAACAAGGTTTAGACTTAATATACCATAGCCCAACCACTTGCTAACTGTAAAACTGTAGGCAAGTAATTTCTACTTGCCTACACTCACATGAACACTCACATCCTCATCTATTAGATGTAGATAATCCTTCCTATAATGCAGTGTTGTCACGGTGATTAAAAGTACATATATTCAGTATAGTGTTTACAACAGAAATTCTTAACTCAATAATGAGTTTTACAATACCCATTAAAAAATACATGACACATGACTCCATCAGATATCTTTTATGATTAGAGTGAATGAGTAAAGGATTTCAAGTTCAAATGGCAGGCTTAAAGTGAGAAATGACGGATCAGCAATGAAGGAAGTAAATGAGTGGCCCACCGCCACAGATAAACGTTTGCTGGCCTAGAAGTGGGATGTCTGACTTCTTCAGCCATAAGGAATCAACACTTTGTAATCAGTTACAAGCAGGTTTTGGAAATAAAGAAAGACAAGCATAGTGACAGACACAACCTATGGGCCTTTAGGTTGAATCCTCCCTAAGAGCATGCTCACCACCACTCTGAAAGTGGCACCACAAAATCAGAGAAGTTTCCATGTTAATTGAATGGCATACAGAACGATGTATTTCCTCCATCTCCACACAAATGAATAAACACATCCTATGAATTCAGACTCCTATTCTTCAGTTTAAAATGCTCTATTTCCTGAGAAATTATGAGTAAAAAAATAGCCAATAACAATAAAAGTTTTACATGCTGTTTTATCATTATAGGTGATTACACACAAAATAAACCACAAAGCATGGTAACCAATTTTTTTTCCAATTTGATTTTTCATGATCAACTATTCTGAATACTTTACCTCAGCTTCATTTTACTTTCTGGGCCAAACTTTCCCACAAGTTCTGATCGTTAATAAGTATTAAATTAATACAAAACGTTTGTAAATCTGTTACGTGTAAATGGACACAATATAAGCAATGATAAGTGCCTGATACAGAGATCCAAATATACATACCTGCCTTCGAGTATGAGTTGATTTTATTGTTGAGTCGCTGCATAAGCAATAACACTGCTTCCAGTTTGTTGACAATCTCCATCGTGATAGCTTTACCACCTTCTCCAAGACACTTAGGCTTGTATGTCAGAAGGAAATGACTCCAGGCTCGCAGCACTACTTCTGCATCATCAGCACTGATAAGGAGGCTATCCCTTAACAGTGCCCTTACAATAGCCTCCACCTTCTCTAGCAGCTGCCTCCAAGGTCGTATAAGATCAACCTGTAATTTCCAGAGGACACAAACTCATCATAGGGTCAGAGAATGCCCTATGGTCAGAGTTGGTCACCACCAACTCAGAACACCCTCAGTCAGATCACGGGGTTTATTACGCTTTGCCAAAAAATATGAAGGCAGACTGGTTACCTGCTCAAATCCACCCAACAGCTCAGTAGTATCCATTGCACTGTTCATAGCCATGATCTTTAATGTGTGGCCAGTAAGGTGTGCCAGAAGCTGGACCAGGCTGGTCTTGCCCACAGAGGCTGGTCCGACCAGGATGACCATCCAGCTCATTTGCACACACTTCATGATTGACTCCAGGGGCTGGAATGACTGGTGCAGGAGCAACAGGGGATGGCGGGACGGGTGAGGAACACAGCTCCCACGGGAAAGGACCGAGTAGCCCAACTGAAAAGACATGCCAGTGAGATTTCATAAGCGCGCCTGGTAGTGGGAGCAGAAGAAACCATTAAAAAAAAGTCAAAGGATAAAGGATTATTCTAGTCTCCTTACCTGAACATCATAGGGAGTGATACGAAATAGTCTGGTTCCCATGTATGGGTTGGAATTTGAACCAAACACATCCTTGAATACAGCAATGACCTAAAGGAAGAATACAATGCAATAAAAACACAAATCACTCCACCTAATTCTTAGGCAAACTTGCTAGAAAACAAGCACAGTGATAAGAGTCACCATTCTAAAAACACTGGCCACAATTCCCTTATCCTTTTGAATTTTCTCTTATAAAAAGGATCAAATGCATTTATTTAATTCTTTGGAATGAAAGTAAATTTGAGATTGAGAACATAGCAGTCATATTCCAAACTATCTGAGATTCCAGTGAGAATGCACCATAAATTAAACTGAAGCCATGGACGCTGTAATATCGAAATCTAGAGACAAAAAAGACCTGTTTGCTTTCATCATTGAAGATACTACCTAAAAAGAAGATAGAACGGTAATACAAAGATTATAAAGAAAAACAACCACTCAATAACCATCTCCTATGTACCAAATACTGTATTAAGTGCTTTGGTAGATTATTTCTGATCTTTATACCCATGCAAAATAGTTATCACGTCCATTTTATATAGATAACAGCACTCACAAGAGTTATAGAATTTGCCCATGGTTAGTGACCAATTTTAAATCTAAGCTAGTCAGCCTCCAAAAACATGTTATACCTCCAAACATTTATGTAGATACGAAAACCAAATTTATTCCTCTAACCAATTATTTACATTGTTATCCTTTCGTTAGCAGTAATGCTATTAGAAAATGTTCCGTTAACTCTCTTTGATTTTGGATCTCTAAAAAATCTAAGAGTAATGGTGGAGGGGGATAGAGGTATATAAAAAACATTAATTTAGCCCATAAAAGTAGGGAAAATTAGAGCCAGAAAAAAAAAAGCATACAAAATAGTATTTCTAAAAAGCATCAATACTCATATAATTGAATACTGCAATGAAGTTAGAAAATAAAAATAATATAGATAAAATAATAATCAGTGTCAAACAATGGACTGTGAGACTAAAAGCAGCATAGGAAAGTGTTCCTGTCACCTACCTATGAGTCCAGGTGATATATGACCTCATGTTCCACACTAAAGCATATAACCTCCAACCCCTGATGTTCTACAAGAGGATTAAAATTACAAATATTGCTACTGGGGAGGCTGAGGTAGGAGAATCACTTGAATCGAGATTACAGTGAGCCAAGATCACGCCATTGTACTCTAGCCTGGGTGACAGACCAAGACTCTGTCTCAAAAAAAATTCCCAATCTAGCTTTTCAGTTTAGCTTTATAAAATCAAAATTCAATTCAACTGGACTCTTCTAGCTTTTACAGACTTTATCCTTCTATGATATTATTTTTCTTGACCTTGTCTCCCCCGCTAGAAAACACCTATAAGGTCCATTACAATAACCGTGAATCGGAAGAGTGATGGAAAACTTCCACATACCACAGTGACCCAGCACCTGACGAATCATTCATTCAACAACTGGCACATGTTTTGGTCATAATATACTATAATAAGTGGATGAAGAAATTAAAATACTAGCTGATTATGTGAATTATATATCAATAAAGCTATTAAAAACTACTAAGACTTTCTCCTAATCGAATGATTGAAAGTCACCTACATATGATAAATGAGTTATGTGTAATTAGTTTCTGAATACCACACTAAAGAAGATCTGGGTGGCCGGGAACAGTGGCTCACTCCACTTGTAATCACAGCACTTTGGGAGACTGAGGCAGCAAGATTGCTTGAGCCCAGGAGTATGAGACCAGCCTGGATAACACGGCAAGACCACATCTCTATTAAAAGTAAAAACAAATTAGCCAGGCCATGGTGGCATGTGCCTATAGTCCCAGCTTATCAGTGGGCTGGGGTGGGAGGATCCCTTGAGCCTAGGAGGTCTAGGCTCCATTGAGCCGGCATTGTGCCACTGCATTCCAGCCTAGACAACAAAGTGAGACCCTGCCTCAAAAAAATAAGAACAGAATGGGTAGCAGAATGAAAGGGCTGTGAAAGTCATGTGTGCTGTGGGCCAGCCACATCTTCACATTTCAACAAGGAGGTTACTGCTTCTAGTGCAGGCATCTATGTATCTATTCCTTTATTTTCAAACAGTGAAGTTTACTAGAAGGAAACAGCAGACAAACTGGAGAGGGCCTAAACTGGAAAGCTAGCTCTGCTACCTGTGACACTCCATAACTTTCAGCCTTGGATCTTCACCTGTAAGATGCCACGACAGCACCTCCTGCCTACAGCTATTGTGCGCATTCAGCGAGACAGAATTTTAAATACCATAAACTAAAATGCACACATTATTACAATTCCTTACAGTGGGAATTCTAGTTTTACAAACAGGTGTTTTTATTTTCACTTAAACGCAGAATATTCTGCCTTCACACGATTACACTTTCTAGATAAAATGCTTTGTAATTTGACATTTATTTAAAAACAAAACAAAACAGAAAATCTTCCTCTTCTACTGAGTATCACCTGTCTGCCTCCTCCTGCTTCTCACCTTGGTGCTTGTAAAGATGATGAAGACTTAGTTCTTTATTACTGGAGGGCAATATTGCTTTAAGGTTTGTGATCATGGGGATTTGGATAGATAAGCAAATTATGTCCTCTAAAGCAAGCTACTCTATATAGTGAGACTCCAAGGTAGGAGAACATTTAGTCTGTTCTTTTAACTTTTAAATTTTGAAGCAGCTTTAACAGGCTTGCTAGCTGGGCGTGGCGGCTCACGCCTGTAATCCCAGCACTTTGGGAGGCTGAGGCGGGTGGATCACCTGAGTTCAGGAGTAGAGACCTGCCTGACCAACATGATGAAACCCCGTTTCTACTAAATATAAAAAAATTAGCTGGACCTGGTGGCTCATGCCTGTAATCCCAGCTACTTGGGAGGCTAAGGCAGGAGGATCACTTGAACCTGGGAGGCAAAGTTGCAGCAAGCCAAGATTGCACCATTGCACTCCAGGCTGGGCAACAAGAGTGAAACTCAATCTCAAAAAAAAAAAAGGCTTGCTATTAGTGTGAGTATGTCCTTTCTCACCCACAGGAAATCAACTTTCAGATGGAAAGAAATACAAATACCAAGTGTGAAACTCACCTTTTTTTTGTCTTCTTCGGTTCTCATTCTTTCACCATAGACCAAAAACACATGCTGACCAGGATCATAACACCCAGGGGACTGGTCAACCAGCATCAACTGACACCAGCGGAAAAGATCCCGGAGGTTGAATTCCCAGGGTCCTCCTTTTTGCCCCCACTTCTTCTCAACAGTCACTTCATGATCAATCTAGAAAGAAAACATCCTGATTGGGAAACATGCCCTGCTTGCTACTAGGCACTGCATTAAGCACTAGGAATGTACTACAAAAGCATACATAATCTGAAACAAAAATTAACAGGCTTGATTCAGATGCCTCTTTCTCAAGACTTCCAAATGCCTGGCATATCCTCTAAGCATTAACACTGGTAGTCACAATACAGAAATGAATTACTGGACGCCTCCACTATGTAGTGTGCCTTCCACTAGAAACCTGTAGAATTCAAAGTAATTTTAGTTAGAGATCCTGATAATTTGGTAGAACCCTATGTTGAAAAAATGCTTGTTCAAATACAGTCAGAAAAAAAAGAAACCAATACAGGTAGGTACTTACTTGGTTATTGAAAGCAACCATTTTCTTAACAATATTTTTCTCAATGGCTGGAAACAAAGTACTGGCAATGAACTCCATGTCAATTACTGTAAGAGGATCAACGAAGACCTAGAAATCCAAAAATAACCTGAAGAAATGCCTCTGTTTCTCTTTAACACTAGAAATAACTCCATGTCTTATTATGTAAAATCTTTAACACCGAGTAACAATACATGAGAAAGATAATTTTCAGTTATAGAAATTTCTTTTTTGTGTTTTGAGAATAAAGAATCACAAAATCTTCTAAATACAGCACAGTAGAGGTTTTGCTTTTAAGGTCTACTCTAGTGAATTAAAGAAAAAAAGAGGCCCAGTGTGGTGGCTCACACCTGTAGTCCCAGCACTTTGGGAGGCCAAGGCGGGCGGATCATGAGGTCAAGAGATCGAGACCATCCCAACTAGAACAATGAAATCCTGTCTTCACTAAAAATACAAAAATTAGCTGGGCACAGTGGCATGCGCCTGTGGTCTCGGCTACTCAGGAGGCTGAGGCAGGAGAATAGCTTGTTCCTGGGAGGAGGAGACTGCAGCGAGCAGAGATCACACCACTGCACTCCAGCCTGGGAGACAGAGCAAGACTCCATCTCAAAAAAAAAAAAGGTAGATGTTATTAAAAATTTCCTATGTATAATGTAAAATGCTTTTAAATCTGGGTGGTACAATGAGTATTCACTATAAAAGTCATCAAACTTTTCCATATGTTTGAAAGTTTTCTCAATAAAACATTCTTCCTTTTTTGAGATGCAGTCTCGTTCTGTTGCCAAGGCTGGAGTACAATGGCACGATCTCAGCTCACTGCAACCTCCATCTCCCAGGTTCAAGCGATTCTGCTGCCTCAGCCTCCCGTGTAGCTAGGATTACAGGCACCTGCCACCACACCCCGCTAATTTTTGTATTTTTAATGGAGACGGGGTTTTTGCTATATTGGCCAGGCTGGTCTCGAACTCTTGACCTCAGGTGATCCACCTGCCTTGGCCTCCCAAAGTGCTGGGATTACAGGCATAAGCCACCACGCCCAGCCAATAAAACATTCCTAAAAGACACTCAGCCAATTCTTAATCATAAGGGACCGTGACACTAAAGAAATCTAGAGGCATTTCCAAACCTCTGGATTGGCCAAACTCTGAAAAACTTATGTTAAAACAAGTAAGCATACACATACACAGGTAACCCTCTGCAAGTAAGAATAAAGGCATAAGATACCAAAATGCTAATAATGACTGAATGGGGAATAGTGGATTTTTATTCTCCATGGTAGTTTTCTGTTCCTTCTTACTTTTCTTTAGTTAAAATGCATTATTTCAGTAAAAATTTTTCTTATATATTTCAATAGATCAGAGGCACAACTGAGGTCCAAGATTGGACTTCATCCCAGAGTGCAGTAACAGAATCCTGAAGAGGCTGGGGACCTTACTTTCTTCCAGCTGATAACACATCCAGTCTTCCGGGGCAAAAGATGAAGGACAGAAGCAATGATGGGAATCAGTCACATTAATATTGATCATATAAGGACAAGAAAGAGGATCGTTAAGCTGATCCTCTCTAATTCTCACAGTGAACATCCTTAAAGGCTTCATAATAGTAGTATTATCCCCTCACAGTCTATATTTGGTCTCTATGGCAACAACAAATCTTACCTGAGTGAATCTGTTAAGGAAAGACCTGGGCAAGCCTTTTCTCCCACCTCCTTGTCTAAAGGGATTCTGACACCCAAAAATCTTCGTCTTTTCATGCTGCACTTGAAAGCTCATTCCTAACTCAGGTACATAGATTTCTCCTCGGTGGTCAAAACAAGCATTGAGTCCTTCCAATACAGACTGAGAAGCCAGGTTAAGCTATTTAAAGAAGAAAGTACATATATTTATCTCAAATATGTTGTACAACTGAAACAAAAAGCAGGGAAATGATATGAAGCAAAAAAAGCTAGAGTTATCTTCAGAAAGGGAATTTCAAACAATATTGATAACCTTCTATATTTTAGGCTGAGTTATGAGTTGGTTTGTCTTCATTCTATTATTTTGTTTTTGAGACAGGATTTCACTCTGTCACCCAGGTTGGAGTGCAGTGGCACAATCACAGCTCACTGCAACCTCCACCTCCAGGGCTCAAGAGATCCTCCACCTCTGCCCGCTGCATAGCTGTGGCCACAGGTGTGCACCACCACACCCAGTTAATTCTTTTTTTTTGGTAGAGCCAAGGTCACGCTTTGTTGTCCAGGATGGTCTCAAACTCCTGGGCTCAAGTAATTCTCCATCCTTTGTTTCCCAATGTTAGAATTACAGGCATGAGCCACTGTACCTGGTTCAATTCTATTATTCTTTATTTCCCATGTACGTTAAAGAGATTTTGGCTGGTATCTTACATAGATACACACACACATACACATATCAATAATGTTTAAACTGAATAAATGCTCAAATTAAATTTTAAAGTTAAAAATCTTCTCAAAAGTTAAACTGTATCAATTATACGTACCTATATTAACCTACTCTGTAAGTAATAACTTGCAGAAAACCTTGCCAATACACAGACATTTCATTTTCACAATCTGAGTTTTTAAGATGTGTAACAGAAATTAGCCAGGCATGGTGGCTCACGCTTGTAATCCCAGCACTTTAGAAGGCCAAGGCAGGTGGATCACTTAAGGCCAGGAGTTCAAGACCAGCCGGGCCAACATGGCAAAACTCTGTCTCTACTAAAAATACAAAACTTAGGCATTGTGGCGCATGCCTGTAATCCCAGTTACTCAAGTGGCTGAGGCAGGAGATTCACGATTCACGTGAACCTGGGAGGAGGTTACAGTGAGCCGAGAACCCACCACCGCACGCCAGCCTGAGCGGCAGACCGAGACTCTGCCTAAAAAAAAAAGAAAAGAAAAGAAAAAGAAAAAGATGTGTAACACTAATTGTAGAGAACAGATAAGGTTTGCTAACTTTTTAAATACTTTCCCATCTCAAACACTGAACAAAATATCCAACGGGTTTCAAAGTCAGGATATAAAAGGAGTCAATACAGCTGATTTCCACCAATTTTGTAAACAAGAACAATTACAAGCGGCTCTTGGGCCAGGATGAAAAGAGCTGAATGTAGGTCTTCAGATGAGCAGTTCAGAGCTCAGGGATGGAAAGCATGTGTGGTTTGTTGGTAACACAGAAAAACAAGATTGGGAAAATACAAGTTAATAAAATGCAAATGGACAAAAATCAGAGCATACTATATTAGAATTTCAAGTGTCATGTTTACATATGCACCACAAAGCACAAACAGCTCTGTATATTCCCAAACAGAAGGCCGCTGTTAAGTGTGTTTATAAATCTAGAATGTCTTGCAGTCCCTGAATGCAATTCCACTAAATACACAATTCCACTAAATACTAAGTATGGTCAGTAGCCTTCAGCTTTAAAACTAGGCTTTCTCTTTTCCTGGCTAATATATATTCTATCAGACAACTTGTTTAAAAAAAAATCTGAAAAAAGGAAAAAAATTCCCCTTCCTTGTTATCCCAAGAATAAAAGGCAGAAAGCAGCTCAGCAGACAGAAGTCCTGCAGCACCCTCTCTGATGACTGGACCCAGGAATCTGAGCCTGGGGGACCCGTTGCAACCTGTGTCCAAAGTCTCACCTGTGACATGTACATCACTCTAATCATTTCAGCTCCCACAAATACTTCTAGCCTTTTCCTGAATATTGTATACCCCAAACTGACCCAGCTCCATATCTCTAGCTGTCAGAGATTCAGTATTTATCATGTCTCATGCTCTGCTCTTTCTTCTGATAATTTACCCAATATGCACATATAACTGATCGTTTCCTCATTTTGGTAGGTCATTTTGTATGTCTTTTCTTAGTTTCTCTGGTGCACTAATAAAACATGAAGTGGTTGACACTACTTGTAAAATGCCTCTAAAATAAATGCAAAAACAGCAAGCCTGTCAGAGACTAAATTAGTGACGATGCAGTTTTCCTCTGAAGGATAACTTTAACCAGTGGGAGAGTTTGTAGGTTTTATGTACAGGAGCCCCTTTTTGTGTATTCTGCCAACTGACCTTCCTTATTCTTAAAGGAAACTACAGAGGATCTTTTCATTAGAGAAAAGTCATCAGCAGGATCTTCCACTGAGAAATGGATTGTGAAATGGAGCTGTGAAAGGATGACTACTCCTTACACACATGATCACCATCTTGAGCATGACAAACAGGCTCCTCACCTCATCCAACACCACCCAATGGCCTGCCTTCAAAGCTGCCAGTAAGGGGCCATCACGCCAGGCAAACTCTCCTCCCTTGCCACCTTCAACAGGGAGATCTGCTCCAAACAGGTCTGTGATGTCCTTTGAAAGGGGAAGAAATGGAGAAAAGCCAGTATTACTTTAAAAATCAACTAGATTCTAACCCCTAAATCTGAAATGATAAAACACTTTGGGCTGGCATCACTACTCTTCCTTTCTACACCCAAGACAGAACTAACCAATCCCAGCCCTCTTTACCAGGAGCCGAAACATGCCCCAAGAACTTTCCCAACATGCTCCATATATTAATCAATTTGACCTGGTGCTCTAGATTAACAGTTCTCAACATTGGCTGTACTTGGAATTTAATTGACGGGCTTAAAAAGAAAAGAAAGCGGCCAGGCGCGGGTGGGCTCAAGCCTGTAATCCCAGCACTTTGGGAGGCCGAGACGGGTGGATCACGAGGTCAGGAGATCGAGACCATCCTGCTTAACACGGTGAAACCCCATCTTCTACTAAAAAATACAAAAAACTAGCCGGCGAGTGGCGGCGCCTGTAGTCCCAGCTACTCAGGAGGCTGAGGCAGAAATGGCGTAAACCCAGGAGGTGGAGCTTGCAGTGAGCTGAGATCCGGCCATTGCACCCCAGCCTGGGCGACAGAGCAAGGACTCCGTTCAAAAAAAAAAAAAAAGAAAAGAAAAGAAAGCAAAACTCCATTCCAAAGGAGTCTCAATTTGTCATCTGTACCATATTTTCCTTAGATTGTTAAAAGTCATTTTATTTCTACTACTTTTGTAAAAAAATTTAAGCAAAAAATTAAGTGGGGTTATATTACAATAAATATCAAAGTGGATAATTCTCTCTCAAAAGAGAATTAGAATAAAGCATCCAGAGAGAATTAATATTATAGGTGTCAGCAATGAACAAATCCAAAGAAGATTTAGTTTGGAAGGTCATGTTGCTGTGGTTTTTACTATGATATGAAATATCTGAGGATACAGGCCGGGCACCATGGCTTATGCCTGTAATCCCAACACTTTGGGAGGCTAAGGCAGGTGGATCATTTGACATAAGGAGTTTGAGACCAGCCTGGCCAACATAGTGAAACTCTGTCTCTACTAAAAATACAAAAATTAGCCAGGTGTGGTGGCGGACACCTGTAATCCCAGCGATTAGGGAGAGTGAGGCAGGAGAACTGTGCCACTGCACTCCAGCCTGGGCAACAGAACGAGATTCTGTCTCAAAAAAACAAAAAAAAGAAAAGAAATATTTGAGGATACTGATAATGTAACCATTTCTGATTAGGAAACTATAAATTGACACAGACATTACTATTTATAGCTATCTCCATCAGCTGTAGGATGACCGAGCTTACCGTTTGCTCTGACAAGTTGATTCTAACAAGGGTATTTCCTGAAGCCTTCGCTAATGCTCCCACCAAACTTGTCTTGCCAACACCAGGGGAACCCTCCAGGAGAATGGGTTTCTTCAGTTTGGTAGCTCTTAAGAGCCTCTGTGCATTCATAGCAGTGGTCCCTGCACTGAGTGCATAGTCTGCAATATTATTCCTGTGTAGGACAGGTCCTTAAGTGGAGAAAAGCAAAGCCACTTATAAGCAGGACACCACCAAATCATATGTACACATCAACTCAAGATTTTAAAATTCTACCACATGGGCTATCAGTTAGTGAAGTACCATTTGCAGTGAAAATGTTCAATCCCTATTTCAATATTTCCCCACTTTTAGATCCATAAAATGCTTTCAAGGAACAGCCAATAGCATGTTTTCTTCAACTGTGCCTACTACACAGATCTCTCCATCTCCTATACACATACATGTACATAGGTACATAAGTCTAATTGCAAACGCACACCTCTCCTTTCACAACCTACACCCTGAATCTCTATATGTACTTGTACAATTTACCTTCATAGTTACTTTCCTAAAAACCAAGTGTAAGCGAGGCGTATGGGCCACATGGTTCCACATAATCAATTTCATCCAATGTTTTTGGCCACCAAAACAATTCAGACTACGTCCTTAACTCATAAGTTAACTGATATGCAGGACTAATAATGGTCTTGCAAGAGTTAACATTTGTGCCACTTTCTCTTGGAAGAAATTTTTGTTTTGTTTTCGTTGTTGTTGTTGTTTTTGTACACCAGTTTAAAGAGAGTGAGGCTAGGAAAACATTTATTACCTTACTCTTACCACCCCAGTTCTAGGCCACTAGCATATATCTCCTACACAGGAGCACTGAATCCTATGATGGTGGCTTAGAGAAGGGATTTGATGGTTAGATAATACAGCCCATTAGGGATGAAGAGGGAATACTGCTAAGGAGAGATGGAGCTCTGAGGAGAGGGGAAAGGGCAATGGAATCTGGACTGGTTATGTTCACCACTGAAACCCTAGTAAATTGCCACTGCAACTCCATATATTTCAGGCATTCATCAATTATTAATGTAGAGAAGACGGTGGGACAAGAAACAGAAGACCCTGCTATGGAAACAACATCCTGAAAAAATAGGAGCACCTTAGAAGTAGCTAATCTAACTGCCTCATTTAAATCTTTAGTAGAGGCAATCTAGATAGAGAGGAAGAATTAGAACACAAACCCACTGTCTCCTAGACTACTGCATTTCCTATTTAATCATTCACTTATCCATCAGAAATTTTCTGAGTGCCTATGACTATGAGGCTAAATGTCAGATGCCAGGGACTGGATCAGGAATGACACATTACCAGCCTTCAAAGGTTCACAAAACCTGTTTCTGTAAAAGATGATGAGGTTCTACAGCTAAGATACATTATAGGCTAAATAGGTCTTTGCAAGCCACTTAAAAGTTTATTCTCAACCTTAGCAAAGTTTAGAGCTCTACTACAGGAAAGTTCCTAATGTGGGAACCAACTAATAAAAAAATAAGCACTGTATAAATCTATTTATAGATTGAAGTCTCTATTTCCCTCTATTTTTACATGCCAGTTACGTATTTTGAACCATTCCCACAATTATGGTTATTCCCAAGTCAGAATCTAACTCAGTTAGTGCAAACATAATCATGAGTATTACACATTAAAACTAAGTCACAATAAAAGCCAAGTATCTATGATCTATAGAAAAGGAAAATCGGTTTTTTAAAAATCATTCTTACCCCTTGGTATAAAAAATGGATGAATTCCCCAAAGGTTATCTATTCCAGTGAATTCTTTGGCCTTCATTCTGTCATAAATCTTCAATTCATTTTTCTGATATTCTGTAAGTCGTACAATCTTGGCAAGCCTCTTGATTAGAAATTTCAGACATTCTTTTCGTGCCAAAAGGGCTGTACCAAACCCAGAGGAAGTTACCCCTAAAAGACAGAGGATCACTCCATGAAGCAATAGGACAACACCAAGCTTCACCACCATTCAGCAGGAGGTCTGGCACAGGTTCCTGGAAAAAAGGGGCCTCAGCAAAACTGCAGCCTAAATGTGATTTCTGGTATAAGCAGTTCTAAGAAAGAAGTCTAACACCCATCCTCCACAATCTATGGATTATCAATTAAGCAGCAGATCATTCAGTAAAACACTCTAGACACTCAATGATAAATCAGCCTAGATACAGTACCTAATACGGCACCAGTAACCATTTTGATTTATATTTCAAATCTTCATGGCTGAAAAACCAGAACATAGTGATTTTTATGACATTAAAATAAACTTAAAATATTCAGGCCCATTATCAAAAAATGACTGCGCACGTTAAAAATTGGCCAGTGCTTCTATTCACAATAGTAAAGACTTGGAACCAATCCGAATGCCCATCAATGATAGACAGAATAAAGAAAATGTGGCATATATACAGCATGGAATACTACGCAGTCATAAAAAAGAATGGGTTCATGTCCTTTACAGGGTCATAGATGAGGCTGGAATCCGTCATCCTCAAAAAACTAACACAGGAACAGAAAATCAAACACCACATGTTCTCACTCATAAGTGGGAGTTGAACAATGAGAACACATGGACACAGGGAGGCGAACATGACACACCGGGGCCTGTCAGGGGATGGGGGGCAAGGGGAGGGAGAGCATTAGGACAAATACCTAATGCATGAGGAGCTTAAAACCTAGATGACATGTTGATATATATCAACTTATATATACATATGTATCCTTATACTTATGTATACTTATGTAACAAACCGGCATATTCAGTTTCTCTTCAAATAATCTGATCTTTTATTCTTTAATTCATAGTAACCCCACCTTTTCCTTTTTCTCCTTTTTGCCTTTGTTAAAGGCCCAGGCACGCCACAATACCAGGCGTTATCAACACCAGTTCACATTCCTTTCCTTATTTAAAAAAAAAAAAACTAACTTTCTAACTCATTATAAACACCCCTTCCCCTTCCTTTCCACTTTCTTTTACATGCCCACCTTATCTAAAAAAATTCAAATGTCTAGCCAATCAAAATTAGTTTAAGTTATACAACCCAATCCCGGTCAATAAAAGAAAAATACAAAAACAAAACTTGTGTCAAAAAAAAAAGGCTCTCGTGCCCTTTGTTTAAGTGTACTCTCATGGCAACTGGCCAAAAAAATACCCCTCTGCACAAAAATAAAACTGCTTTGCTAAAAAGCCTTTGTTCAAGTGTTCAATGTCTCTAAATTTTAAGCTTTATTCCTAACACTTAATTTTAAGCTTTATCCCAGAACTTAATAAAGTTTAAAAAAAAAAAAAAGCCAGTGCTTTAGAAGCAAAGACATTTCAACAGCCTTTACTCTACTCATAATCACCACTTCATGTTTGTTAAGTACCTGGTCTACCAGCTTTGAGAAATTGCAGCGTATCTTGTGTGCCAACCACTCTTCAAAGAGTACAAACAAAAGGAAAGCCATTCTGAGTTTTGGAAATGTTCTGCGAAGTGATTCGGTAAAATAGCTGGGTCAGAGGCCTGGGCTTGCTCCATTTCCCATGCCCCTCTATCCGAGCTCCTTATCCCCACCAGCTACCAGACAACATACCTGAACCTATTCCATCTATGTACACCAGGCATGCAGCATGGACAAAAGACGTCACAGTGGAGATGGTCTCTGGCCTTTTCGAAGCAGCTTCCTCCCCCATTTTGTTCATGAAGTTAACCCAGGACAGGATGTCTCTGATACTGACCACGCACTTTCTGCCAAACTCTTGGTGGGTCAGCCAGTCAATGAAATCCAGCATCACTTCAGGTATGTCAGACCCTAAACACAAGAAACAAAAAAGCATTTGCTGTTAGCGGGAGATCCTAGAACAACAGTTCATAACCTGGGGCACACAGGTGGCCTAAAAGGGGTCTTTGCTCCTTCTAAGCAAAGTTCTGTGAATGTACATGAATGCTTTTTCTAACAAAAGCAGTCTGCAGCTTTGATCAAATTCTGAAAGGATTCATCAATAGCAGTCCATCCCTATCCAAAGAACAAAACAAAACTTTGGGAGTTACAGTTTTAGACACTGACCTGAAAACCGCCCAAAGAAATATTCATTTGATTTGAGTTAGGACACAGTTTTGAACTTCCATCACAATTATTTTAGAAAATATGCAAATTTTATATCTTATAATTTTACTTGTATTTTAAATAAATGTATTTTTTTCCATTTAATGTAATAAAGAATGTCATCTTTTCAATGCCATTCATTCAAGTTTTTTTTTGTTGTTTTTTTTTTATATCTATGCAGCAATCAGAATTCAGCAAATTAGGGGGGTTCACAAATTTTGTTTCATGAATCAAGTTGAATATTCATGAATCAAGTTGAATGAATCAAGTTGAATTCTGATTATCACAATTTCCTATCAGATAATACTTGTCTCGAAATAAAGAAAATACTTTAGTACATATAGAGTCAAAGCAATCCCAATTAAATTGAGTGGAGTACTTTACAAAATGTCTTAAGTCAATAGTAGACATTTATCTATAAAGTATGAATACCAAAGAATATTTTAAAAAGAAAGAAAAGATTAGAAGGAAGCACTGCTATAATATAAAGCACAGCAATAGCCTCCAAAGCTACATATATTGTGAATTAGAAGAAATGTAACGGGTTGGAAGAATACTGGTAACAACAACAACAACAAAAAAAACTCTTTAAAAAGAGCTTAAGGCCGGACACGGTGGCTCACGCCTGTAATCCCAGCACTTTGGGAGGCCGAGATGGGCAGATCACGAGGTTAGGAGATCAAGACCATCCTGGCAAACATAATAAAACCCTGTCTCTACTAAAAATACAAAAAAATTAGCCGGAGGTGGTGGCGGACACCTGTAGTCCCAGCTACTCAGGAGGCTGAGGCAGGAGAACGCATGAATCTGGGAGGCGGAGCTTGTAGTGAGCCAAGATCGTGCCATTGCACTCCAGCCCGGGCGACATAGCGAGACTCCATCTCAAAAAATAAAAATAAAAATAAAAAAAAAAGCCTAAAATGACAAAGCAAGGGGGAAATTTCAATAACAATGAGGAAAGAAATTAAATGCTATTTCAACTAGATGGTAAATACCAGTACTTAGATTCACACTTCAGAGAAGAATAAATTCAAGGTAAATTTTAAAAAAAAAGAAAATGAAAAAATTAATCCATTAATAGAAATTAAATTATGATCATTTAAGAAATAAGATCATCAGAGATAAATAGGTTCACATATGTATTTTTAGTTCACATATGTATTTTTAGAACAAATATGAAAAGGTAACAGAATATTAAAACCTATGATAAATGTAATGAAGAGTATCACCCCAAAAGACATAATGAATACCAAATGCAAAATGATTCATTTATTAAAAATAAAGGCTGGGTACGGTGGCTCATGCCTGTAATACCAGCACTTTGAGAGGCCAAAGCGGGCAGATCATTGGAGGCCAGGAGTTCAAAACCACCCTGGCCAATATGGTGAAAACCCGTCTCTACTAAAAATACAAAAATTAGCTGGACATGGTGGCACGTGCCTGTAGTCTCAGCTACTTGGGTAGTTGAGGCACGAGAATTGCTTGAACCTGGGAGGCAGAGGTTGCAGTGAGCCGAGATGGCACCACTACATTCCAGCCTGGGCGACAGAGTGAGACTGTGTCTCAAAAAATAAAAATAAAACACAAACAATGTTCCATGTCACTAATAACAAAAGACAAAGAAATTTTAAACCTCCGCTAAACTAAAAAGGATAAAATAATGGATTTTACTGTATTTTTTAAAATGAGGCCAGGCACCATGGCTCATATCTATAATTCCAGTTCAAGACCAGCCTGGCCAATATGGCAAAACCCTGTCTCCACAAAATACACAAAAATTAGCTGGCCACGGAGGTGCACACCTGTAGTTCCAGCTACTTGGCAGGCTGAGGTGGGACAATGGTTTGAGCCTGGAAGGCAGAGCTTGCAGTGAGTCGATATTGTGCCACTGTACTCCAGCCTGGATGACACAGCCAGACCTTGTCTCAAAGGAAGAAGGGAAAAAAAAAAAAAGAGAGAGAGAGAGAGAGAAAACTCCCTGATGGAGGGACTGTGGCAAGCAGGCACATTCACTACGTTGCTGGCAGTGTTGTGAACGACACCATCTTTCTGGAGAACAATCTGACCTTATCTAAGGAGAACTATACAGTTTCTTATCTCTACTTTTAGAATATAACACAAGGAAGTCATTATAAATGATAGTTGTTTTTTGGTTTTTTGTTTTGTTTTTTTTTTTTGAGATGGAGTCCCACGCTATTGCCCAGGCTGGGGTGAAGTGGCATGATCTCGGCTCACAGCAACCTCCACCTCTCGGGTTCAAGCGATTCTCCTGCCTCAGCCTCCTGAGTAGCTGGGACTACAGGCACATGCCACAACGCCCAGCTAATTTTTGTATTTTTAGTAGAGACAGGGTATCACCATGTTGGCGAGGATAGTCTCGATCTCTTGACCTCGTGATCCACCCGCCTGGGCCTCCCAAAGTGCTGGGATTACAGGTGTGAGCCACCGTGCCCGGCCGATAGCTGTTTTAATGAAACAGAATGGTTCATTAAAGTATTGGTTAATGTACCAAATATTGGTACATTATACCAATGTAACACAGAAGTACTGTTTACAAAAGTTTGAGATTGTAAAAAGCAGTTTATGTGCCTTTCACAGATCAATTTTTTTTTAAACACATTAATTTCTCAGAATCTTTTCTTTTCTTTTTTTTTTTTTTAAGAGACGGGGTCTCACTCTGTTGCCCAGGCTGGGGTGCAATGGTATAATCATGGTTCACTGTAATCTTAAACTCCTAGGCTCAAGGGATTCTCCCACCTTGGCTTCTTGAGTAGCTAAGATTATAGGCACGTACTATCATGCCTGGCTTTTAGAATCTTTTGTTTTGTTCATACTATGAATATATGGATAATACTATTACAGAGATTTGTGAACTAAAAATACTAGAGAAATTAAGTAGAAGAGTGGTATTTATATACTCATTAAGATAATACAATAAGTATAAGTACTATAATTAGGATCAGAATTCAATTTAGAAGGACACTGTTAGTTAAAATATTAAATTCAGCTGGGCACGGTGGCTCACGCCTATAATCCCAGCACTTTGGGAGCCAAAGGCGGGCAGATCACGAGGTCAAGAGATCGAGACCATCCTTGCCAACAAGGTGAAGCCCCGTCTCTACTAAAAATACAAAAATTAGCTGGGCATTGTGGCACACGCCTGTAGTCCCAGCTACTCGGGAGGCTGAGGCAGGAGAATCGCTTCAACCCGGGAAGCGGAGGTTGCAGTGAGCCAAGATTGCACCATTGCTCTCTGGCCTGGTGACAGAGCAAGACTGTGTCTCAAAAAAATAAACAAATTCATCAAATCTTAACTATCTTTAAAGAAAATCTAAAAACAAAAAGCTATGTCTAGTTTCCTGTTTTATATTTCACAATTTTTTAAAGAAGTTTTTATGTGTGCCTTCCTGATCTATTTCTAGAAAATACAACTGTGAATTATTAAGCCACTTTCCTTATTCACCATGCTCCCTTCAAGGTCTCTAATGCCTCCCTGGGAAGTCTGCTGCTGTGTAGCCTAGAAAGCCTGGAGTAAACAAGTTCCTTAAGGACAAGGTGTGGGGCTCAGAGGTAAGTCCTCAGGGCTCCCATGCTTGCATGGAGCACACTGGTGATGCAGCAAGCATGGTCATGACAGCAGTTGAGCCCTCTGTCATTCTTATCACAATCCAAATAACAAAGGAATAAGCATAGCCCATAGGAGATGAAGAGGTAACTTCCTGAAGGAATCCAGCTCCAACACAGAGCCAAAAGATAAATCACGCTTGATTAACGATTTCTGTCTTCAGGCCTGCTCTGGCCTTCTGGCTCCTGCCTATAGTTTCCAGCACTTAGTGAGGGCAAAGCAGGCGGGTCACTTGAGCCCAGGAGTTCCAGACCAGCCTGAGCAACATGGTGAAACCCCATCTCTTAAGAAAACACAAAAATTAGCCTGTCTTGGTAGTGCATGCCTACAGTGCCACGTACTCAGGAGGCTGAGACAGGAGAATCACTTGGGCCCAGGAGGTCAAGACTGCTGTGAGCCGTGATTCCACCACTGCACTCCAGCCTGGGTGACAGAGACCTTGTCTTCCCTGAACCCCCCCACAAAAAAGTTTGTATTATACTCCTTTTACTGGCATTCTCACAATAAATGTGCCACTGCAAACAGCACACAAGAGTTATGGGTTCTGAGTTCTGAGGCTCTAAGCCTGGACCTTGGACCAACATTAGTGGCATCACCTGAGGGGAGGCCTTGTTAGGCAAATTCTCTGCCCCTGCTGATTGAGAAACACTGGGTGTGGGGCCCTGCAAGCTGCATTTCAACAAGCCCTTCAAATGAGTCTGACAACTAACTATAGGCTTAGTCAGTTCTTGTGTCACTGGGTGACTGTGATATTGGTAAAGACTGTAGAGAAAAAAGGAAGTTCAACAAGGCATGGGGAATTCTGGCCATTCAAGCAGCAGTGTGTATACTTATAAATGTGGCAGTTCACCGTGGGCCATTCTTAAAAAGAAGTCTTTGCTCAGATGACTAAAGAGTCAGTGGTCCCTAAAATACCACAGGTGAGAATGGGTTCCATGCAGATTAGATGCTCTCCACAGCTACTCTACTCATTTTTGAAAATGTGCAGAAGGGCACCTTTAAAAAGCTGAACATAGCCACGAATTCCAATTTCAAAGAAGCAGATATCTTTTTTAAAATTCTTTAAGAATATAAAAAATGATCCAAAAAACTATGTATTTAGTCTTGGAACCAGATCTGGGTTCTAAATTTATTCCATTGAATGTCTAAGATAAATATGCAGACATCAAACCAATACAGGCTTCAAAAACAAAAAGAACCACATAGTAAGAGTGTTGACTCTTATTGGATATTTTAAATTGTTAATTCTAAGTTATGGATATTAATCTATTTTCCTCAGGCTTGAGATTTTTCATAACAAAAATTATTTATTTATTTTGAGATGGAGTCTGTCGCCCAGACTGGAGTGCAACGGTGCGATCTTGGCTCACTGCAACCTCCACTTCCTGGGTTCAAGCGATTCTCCTGCCTCAGCCTCCCGAGTAGCTGGGATTACAGGTACCCGCCACCACGCCCAGCTAATTTTTGTATTTTTAGTAGAGATGGGGTTTCACCATGTTGGCCGGGCTGGCCTGCAACTCCTGACCTCAGGTGATCCGCCCACCTTGGTCTCCCAAAGTGCTGGGATTACAGGTGTGAGCCACCATACCTCGACAAAAAAATTTTTAAATAAAGTGAAAGAATAACATATTCATATATGACAACTAAAGAAATGCAGCTGGAATTCTACAGCCATTGTGTCAAGTGGTAATGATGAAAATATGAAGATGGGACACTTTAACAGAAGATAACAGAAAAATACCATATTCTCCTTGTCTACTTTGCTTCATTGATTTATCTCCTTTCTTCTTACAACACGCCATACACATACAGGGCTAATGTCCTGTAAGAGATCCCTCAACTCCCAACACAAACCCTGCTGTGATCCAATACTACCATCACCACCTGCAAACTCTCACCTTTAGGATCTATTCTGCCCAGACACAATCCTGGACGAAGATTATGATTAATTATCTGAATTAAATCTTCACGGCTTGTGCTTTGAGGGCACCATATTTCTGTAAACCGGTTTCTTAAGGCAGGAGACAGCTATAAGAAACACAAAACTCCAACGTGAATTTTTAAAACTATAAGGAAAGCTGTAAAACAAGTCTTGAAAGAATGTTGTTAGCTGTTAAGTCCAGCAAATACTACATACTTTTTATTATTATTATTTCTACTATCAGATATAATTAATTGAAGACGTACTTTGTCTTGGCTCCTTATATTCCATGACACCTTCCAGTATCATCATCACTTTCTTAATAGACATGGTCCACAGGCCTTACAGACTAAGTAGTGGAAGCAGGATTCCAGCCAGTCCCAGTCAAATCTGAACTCTTCCCCTTAAGTAAAGATTCTTCCTTTTACTTTACCTTTACTTTGCATCAGGTACATAAATAATACTTCAGAGAAAATAAATACCTCTCTTCCCACAGAGAAGGGCAGTCTGATATAGGAGGAAGAAACTTCTTTTATGTGGCTCAAAGGGAGTGTGATTTTAAAAAGTATATATTCTACCTCTTGAACTAGAAATTGTTTAGCCACTCCAGTCTTAGGGCCTTTGCCCCTGTAGATTCCTTTTCCCTCCACAAGGTCAGTTAACACTATTCACAAATGTTTGCAAAGCCCCATAAGCATCATTACTGGTTTGTCTGATTACTTTGTTATTACTTTCCTTTTACTTGATGATCATCTATCTGAGAGATCATATCTCTGTCTACCACAGAGACCTGGGAATAAAGAATACGTGTGTGTACCTTATCAGTATCCTAGACAACCAGTACCTCTGGCGTCCAGCATCCTACCTTGCTCTGCTTGTTAGGCATGCAAAACTAAAAAGTAACTTTCCTTTGGGTAAAAGTCAGCAAGCATTTACTTAAGGAAAACAAGATAATCTGACAGCCAAGCTAATATACACAAACTTGAAATCAGACCTCTCTGTGACATTTCTACTTGCCCAGAAGCCAGTTTTTGTATTTTGAATGTGATGTATTTTATTCCCTCTTTTCAGAGCATATCTTGAAGCACAGAGACAATCTTTCATCTTATGATACTGAGGAAACCTAGGCCCAAAATATCATTTCAGCTACTCACCAAATTACCAACACTCTAATTGCCCTATTTAAGATCAACCCCTCTGTTTCTTCTCATCATCCCTGACCTGTTACACCACTCTCTTCCTAACTTTAATAGATCGGGATCCAACACATAGTGTTGACTTCTCTACTGAAAGGTTTCTTGAGCCGGAAACCAACAAGGTTGTTGGTTCCCGAATATATCTGAACACAACCCTCTGAACATAGGAAGTACCCTCTGCCCTTTACCAGCAGTCCGAAAGTGACACACATAACCCTTACGAGAACAAATAAGCTCCATCTACAAACCAGAAGAGGTTCCTGGTTGTGACTTTTTTGTCACTTTAAAACCACTCATGAAAGCAGAGGTGTGTTTAAGAAAGTGGACTCTAAAAACAGAGGTTACATTTAAATTTCAGATCCAACTTTTCTCATCCATAAAACTACAATAATAACTTTCTTGCAGAGCTCCTGTGAGCTTTCTCAGGGTAACATATGTAAAGGGTTAGGTAAAGTGACTGTAACAATGACATTTCAGGCACATACACAAAGTGAGATATCAAATAAGGAGATATTTGTGTCAGAATTGTTTTCTAACCCAGTAATTATTTTAAAATATTTTTGGGTTTTTAAACTTTTACCCAGTTTTTACCTAACATAAAATTCCAAATCCATTATTACATACTATATTTACAAGTACCAGTAAGCTGAGGTCAAAAACTAGAAAGAAAATGTGCGTCAGAAAAGTTTTACCTCCTTTTTTCCAAAGTCACCCCCAGGGTTCATGGTTGCTAGAATACGAAATTTTTTCCCAGCAGTCAACAGCTCTACTTCACTATCCTTGTCCTCTGGACTGCCTTTTTCAGCTAATACCAGAGACTTTTCTACTTCAAGGACACTAAAAGAAAAATTGAAGAACAGTGAAAAGGGCTTATACAATCTTTCTATTTTACAGTCTTCAATGCTCTCTAAAAGAAAAAAAAAAAGTTATCACCTATCTAATGAATTTTTACTTTAGTTAACGGTTTCCTATCACAAATTTTAAAATGACTCAGTATCTCAATTCCTGTGTAATAATGGCTATTTCTGATCAGGAAAAAAAAACTTTTCCACTTATAACCTATTAAGGCATTGGTCTTAAAAATGAATAACTTGCAAGAAAATAAACAAATTGCATGCCTTATCATAATAGCCAACAACTAGAAAGAACTCAAATATCATCGACTGGTGAATGGATAAACAAAATGTGGTATATCCAATACTATTCGGGATAAAAAGGAACAAATTAATAATACGTGCTGAAATAGGAATGAACCTCAAAACATTAACGCAAAGTAAGAGAAGAGACCTTTTAACTGAAATACCCAGAAAAGACAAATCTACAGAGACAAAAAAGAGATTAATCAGAAATTTAGTGTAATGAACACAAAGGATTCTACTGAATGATGGAAATGTTATAAAACTGGATTGTGGGCCAGGCACAGTGGCTCTCGCCTGTAATCCCAGCACTTTGGAAGGCTAAGGTGGGGAGATGACTTGAGGCCAGGAGTTGGAGACCAACCTGGCCAAGACGGTGAAAACCTATCTCTACTAAAAATTAAAAAATTAGCAAAGTGTGTTGGCTCACGCCTGTAATCCCAGCTACTCGGGAGACTGAGGCACAAGAATCACTTGAACCCAAGAGGCAGAAGCTGCAATGAGCTGAGACTGTACCACTGCACTCCAGCCTGGGCAATACAGCAGGACACTGTCTCAAAACAAAACACAAAAACTAAATTGTGATGGTTGCAAAGCTTGAAATCACCTTTGCAAAAATTATGAGTGAGAAAAAAATCTAACAAAAAGTTATGACAGTAAAAAAAAAAACCACAAAACCTGTCCTAACTGACTCCATCTTTCTTCTAGCCTCCAAGCTGCCCTTGTTCATTCCTGGGCGTAGGCCAAGTAAAGTACAGGAGAAATTTAGTTTATAGTTTAACTTTAAAACAAAAGTAAAACTAACCTTCCCAAAACTAACCCCCACCTTCATAAAACTAACTACAAGGTTAAAATTACGGCTCAGGACACAGCCAGAGGTCACAAGATTGAATAACCTTCCCAATTGCTCCTATAACATCTCTATTATAAAACCTAAGATTAGTGTTTAAGGTACTTTTCAGACCCTGATTCTGATAGAATGGCTAGCACCACCTAGAATGGAAACCCATACCAAGAAAGTTGCTCAACAGGTCTTACGATCCCATGAACTTATTCAGGGCAAAAAGACAACTCAACTTCCTGTGATTTCAACCCTGTCCCAACAGCATTCCCCATTCCCTAGGCCTCTGACCCTAGCCTCGGCCGGGCACAGTGGCTCACACCTGTAATCCCGGCACTTTGGGAGGCAGAGGCAGGAGGATCACTTGAGGTCCGGAGTTTGACACCAGCCTGGCCAACATGGCAAAACTCCATCTTTACTAAAAATACAAAAATTAGCTGGGAGTGGTGACACATGCCTGTAGTCCCAGCTACACAGGAGGCTGAATGAAAAGAACGGCTTGAACCCAGGAGACAGAGGTTGCAGTGGGCCAAGATGGCATCACTGCACTCCAGCATGGGTGACAGAGGTAGACTTCATCTCAAAAAAAAAACAAAAAAACCCTAGCCTCCAGGCAGGGCGCAGTGGCTCGCACCTATAATCCTAGCACTTTGGGAGGCCAAGGTGGGCAGATCACCTGAGGTGAGGAGTTTAAGACCAGCCTGGCCAACATGGCGAAACCCCATGTTTACTAAAAATGCAAAAATTAGCCAGGCATGGTGGCACACACGTGTAGTCCCAGCTACTCAAGAGGCTGAGGCACAAGAATAAAACCTGGGAGGTTGAGGTTACAGTGAGCTGAAATCACACCACTGCACTCCAGCCTGGGAGAAAGGGCAAGACTCTGTCTAAAAAAACAAACCAACCAACCAACCTCTATCTTCTAAATTTTTAGGGAAGCTGATTTGAGTAATAAACTCCTGTCCTTCCACTTGGCTAACTCTGCAACTACTAAATTCTTTCTCTATTGCAATACCACTAACTCAGTGACTCAGTTCTATGCATATAGCTTGCAAGAAGAACCCATCATGGGATTATAAACTTACTAAAACTCGCTAAATTATGCATGTAAACTAGATCTCAAAAGAGAAAAAATGGGTGTTACTACATCAAGATTCATATTGGTCTGAGGTCTAATGACGGCTTACAGCCATGGGACAGGATTCTGACTACAGTTCTTTCAAAATATTAAGAGAGTAGGCCTATAATTCACCTTATAAAATAGTTTTGACTTTGGCTCATGTTTTAGCCCTGCCATTCCACGATCCCATTGTTCTGGTTATTTATATCAAAAAAAAAAAACCTAGAAATTTAGGAAACATTGAATGCTAAAGCCAAAAGACATGGTAATACACCAATAATTTCAAGCATTTACTAAGGTGCACCTATGAGGAGTATTACTGTGCACAAGATTATCTATAAAAATCACATCAATCACCTGAGCAAAAATATCAAACAGAAGGCAAACCTCTCAGGCACGTACCTGTTGAGTCTTTCCAAGACAGAGTCATCAGCCAATGAGATCTCATCCAAGAGGAAAAAGCCATCCTCCTTCATGGCCTGAACCAGAGGCCCATCATGCCACTCAAAGAGTCTTGATGTGTCAATTTCTTCCTATAATTTGAAAAAGTGGGGAAAATTAAAGGGCAGGTGGCTCCACAGACAATATACATGCAGCTGGCTGGTGTTTCCAGGGGTGAAGTAGGCATTCCGAGGAAAGTAAGAATCTGAGAACAGGAGACAGAACTTGCGCACCAGAATGCTTGTGAAGGCCCTTGTAGACCGGAGAAAATCTGCAGATATGCACATTTAACCAAACCAGAACCCAGCTCCAGAAACCCCACCACAGACTCATGCACAGCTAACTGCAGTTTTTTAAAATAACTGGAACACTTGCTGCTGGACAAACCTTGTCGTTTGGCTTTTGTCTCACTGGCCGCAGGCCACCCAGGAAGTCGGATGTCTCCATGTGTAAGTGGCAGCTGACAGAGTATAATTTCTGATTTGCCAAGGCTGCAAATACCTGACAGATAGTAGTTTTCCCACACCTGTTAGAGATATGCAACTGATTAACAAGGTATGTGTTTCAAATACACATCCACAAACACCCCCCTCAGCAAAAGAGAAGAACCACTGTAGGAGTCTCACTGCAGCAGCAAACAGTGCTGGCCAATGTGGAACCTCAACCCCAGGCTCACGGCACCCCTCTGCATGACTGCACTCTCCCATATTCCTTATCCAGAAGGTATGTACTGCACAAACTCCATCCTAGTTCTATCAACAACCACCGGCTGGGCGCAGTGGCTCACGCCTGCAACCCTAGCACTTTGGGAGGCTGAGGCAGGAGAATCACTTGAACCCGGGAGGCGGAGGTTGTGGAGTGCCGAGATTGCACCATTGCAGTCCAGCCTGGGCGACAAGAGCGAAATGCCGCCTAAAAAAAAAAAAGCCACCACCAAGGGAGGGAAAAGAAATCTAATCCTTACAGACTTTATAGACTTTCAACAGACACTAGTTTATCTGCTCTTCTCTATACACGTATAGAATGAATCTCACTGTTTAAAAGAACTAAACAGACAAAAACTGCCCTCAATGCGATGAAGCAAAAAATCATTCTTGCCAGGTACAGTGGCTCATGCCTGTAATCCCAACACTTTGGGAGGCCAAGGCAGGAGGATCACTTGGGCCCAGGAGTTTAAGACCAGTCTGGACAACACAGTGAGACTCCATCTTTTTTTTTTAAGGCAGGGCTTCACTCCTGTTGCCCAGGCTGGAGTGCAATGGCATGATATCAGTTCAGTGCAATCTCTGACTCCCAGGCTCAAGCGATTCTTCTACCTCAGCCTCCTGAGTAGCTAGGACTGCAGGCAGACGCCAACACAACCAGCTAATTTTTGTATTTTTAGTAGAGACGGGGTTTTGCCATGTTGCCCAGGCTGGTCTCGAACTCCTCAGCTCAAGTGATCCACCTGCCTCAGCCTCCCAAAGTTCTGTGATTGCAGGCATGAACCACCACAACCAGCTGAGACTCTGACTTTACAAAAAAAATTAAAAATTAGCCAAGGGTGGTGGTGCATGCCTGTAGTCCCAGCTACTTGGGAGGCTGAGCCAGGAAGATCACTTGAGTCCAGAAAGTCAGGGCTGCAGTGAGGCATATCGCACCACTGCACTCCAGCGTGGACAACAGAGTGAGACTCCATCTCCGAAAATAGTAATAATAAAGTCATTCTTTTCCATAAACAAAGAACTAGTCTGAAGGTAGAGGAAACTAAACAGTAACAGATCTCTTAGTTTCTTCTGTTTTTTTTTAGAGTACATGTGCAGAATGTGCAGGTTTGTTACATAGGTACACGTTTGCCATGTTGGTTTGCTGCATCCATCAACTCATCATTTACATTAGGTATTTCTCCTAATGCTATCCCTCCCCTAGCCCCCCACCTGCTCTTAGTTTCTTCCTTAAAAAGAGAAAAAAGAAGAAGGAAGAAAGGGGGGATTAATACTTTCATGAGTTTTTCAGCGATAACTCACGTAATCCCATGGAATTGAAATGAACCCTCATGAGTCACTGTCACAGATCTTTACCCAGTGTCTCCAACCAGCAGCACAGGTTCACCAAATTCCAATGCCCTTCCCACCAGCATCGTGAGTCTCCGCATGCCCTCAGTCCACACGATGTGGCCAAAGTTAGACTCCAATGTGGATATCTGAGTAGACAATTTACCTATCCAAGAAAAAATAAATATTTAGATTCTAATGAGTACAACTCAAATCATATTCCTCTAGGGATTTTGGCCTACTCACCCAGCAATTTTACAACATTTTCTTTGGAGAAAAGAGATTGAGGACACAATTTTTTCTTGAAATGTTTCTCAAGGACTTCTTGAATCACATCGACTTCCTCCTGCTTCCTGACTCGACCTGCCAGAAGCATGTAACCTGGGACAAGGAGGAGGAAGAGGAGGAAAGGAATCATCAAGTGTCTACAGGAAACACCAAGGGACATTGAGAATATGGAACAAGAGCAACTCTCATACGTTGCTGGTGAGGTAGAAATCTGAAAAACTACATGGGAAAACTAGGAGAGCCTATTACAACTAACCATATACCTGCCCTATGCCTCAGCAATAGGACTTCTAGTATCCTCAAACACAAATGAACATGTGTGTGTCAAAAGACATATACACGATGTTCAGAGAAGCTTTATTCATAACTAAAAAATTAAAATGATCCAGATGTCCATCACCAAGAGAATGGATAAAGAAACTGTGGCATCTTCATACAGTGGATTACCATATAAAAAGAAAAAGAAAAAAGAATGAAGTCCTGATACACATAACAGCATGACTGAATCTCACATCAGGTTTAGTGAAACACCCAGAACCCAAAGAGTACATACTGCATGATGTCAGCTAGGTGAAACTCAAGGACAGGCAAAATTCTTTTCAATCAGATTAGTAGTGATAATCAGACAGGAGTCAGTTAGTAGTGACAGTAGTCAGGGTAGTGGTTACCTCCACTGGCAAAAGACCTACTGAGTTATTGGAAATATTCTAAATCTTGGTCTAGGTGATGCTTTACATGGGAAAATGCTTTACTGTATGTTACACCGCAATAAAAAAGTTTTGCTGGACACGGTGGCTAATTCTTGTAATCTCAGCACTTTGGGAGGCCGAGGTGGGCAGATCACAAGGTCAGGAGTTTAAGACCAGCCTGGCCAACATGGTGAAACCCCATCTCTATTAAAAATACAAAAATTAGCCAGGCATGGTGGTGCATGCCTATAATCCCAGCTACTCAGGAGGCTGAGGCAGGAGAACTGCTTGAACCAGGACCCGGAACCAGGAGGTGGAGATTACAGTGAGCTGAGATCACGCCACTGTACTCCAGCCTGGGCTACAGAGGGTGACTCTGTCTCAAAAAAAAAAAAAAAAGTTTTTTAAAAAGTATTCCTCTATGTAAATATTCTTTACAAGTAGAGAAAAAATCTCTTCTACTAGTTTTATATACTCTTCTTACTTAGTAACTAGCCCATTAATCAATCATCAGCACTTTTCAAATCAGAAGATTCCAAAACACTGTGTATCCTATCACAAACAGTAACACATTTTTCCCATGCATTAAAGGAAAACAACAAAATCTGAGTCTTGGGTTATATAAATTCTTTCTCTCAGAATGCCAATGTTTTCTGACAAATCAACTTTCTGTATGTCTGTAAGGCACTAGCCAGACCACCTATGGTGACACTGCAGAAAAATGGCCCACAAAGCTACCATCAACCATCTGCCTAAACTCCCAAAGAGGCCATGCCCATATCCTGACTCCCCCATGTGGCTACCTGAAGCAAAGAGTAAGAAAATCTTAGCAACCAGTCTTTATTAGCACGGAGGCCTGCAGGAATAAGATCACTTACAAAAGCTGTTAGAACTGGAGGGAAACAGGCTCTCTGGAATACCTAGTCAAATGTATGTATCAATCACAATGTGAGGCAAGATTTGTTTTAATAAAAAGTTTGACATTTAACATAACTATATATTGAGAGCATTTGACTGAAAACACACCATCATTGGCTAAATGCTGTAGCCAGTCGTACTCCTTCTCAGTCGGCTCAGCCAATCTGTATCTTTCAGCCCATCTGAACAGATCACGAAGGGTGATGAAGCCCTGCTTTCCAGCAAACACTGAAGAACTTCTGCGATAGGACTGTCGAAGTATCAAAACAAATGAAAAGTGGCATTAGCTGCAATGCTTGGTAAGTTTGTAGTACAATGTATATAAAATTTGTAACAAATTTATGCTCCCATTAAAATAATTCCATTTCACTGGATAAGATTAATTTTTAATGCAAATAACTTGTAATATTCTGAAGAAAAATGTTCAAATTCATTTTTAAATTAATAATATAAAATGGAATTCCACATTTCTTATGCCACATACAAAAAAGATGATTAATAGTAATGCAAATGGGCCAGGAGCGGTGGCTCACACCTGTAATCTCAGTACTTTGGGAGGCCAAGGTGGGTGGATCACGAGGTCAGGACATCGAGACCATCCTGGCCAATATAGTGAAATCCCCTCTCTACTAAAAATACAAAAATTAACCAAGCATGGTGGTACACGCCTGTAGTCCCAGCTACTCAGGAGGCTGAGGCAGGGGAATCGCTTGACCCCAGGAGGCAGAGGTTGCAGTGAGCCGAGATCACACCACTGCACTCCAGTCTGGCAACAAAGCAAGGCTCCATCTCAAAAAACAAACAAAAAGTAATGCAAATGGTGGCAAAGATGCAGGAAGATTAGTGAAACAACGTGGAACCATAATGATAGGAGTCTTCATTATGATTAGCTTTCTAAAAAGAAGTTTGACAATGTATACTTTCTGATAAAGAATACTTTTGCCGGGCAAGGAGGCTCATGCCTACTCCCAGCACTTTGGGAGGCCAAGGCGGGCGGATCACGAGGTCAGGAGATCGAGACCATCCTGGCTAACACGGTGAAACCCTATCTCTACTAAAAATACAAAAAATTAGCTGGGCGTAGTGGCGGGCACCTGTAGTCCCAGCTACGTGGGAGGCTGAGGCAGGAGAATGGCGTGAACCCGGGAGGTGGAGCTTGCAGTGAGCTGAGATCGCACCAATGCACTCCAGCCTGGGTGACAGTGAGGTTCCGTCTCAAAAAAAAAAAAAGAATAATTTAACTCCATAAGATAAACGGAATTTGTAAAGATCAGCTGTAGCTTTGCAGCTGACTAGGGCGAGCCATAAAGAATTGATCTCTTTAATTATGTCCATTCAAGGACTATATCCATTTAAAAACCAAAAACTGCAGTTTTCCCTAAGCCAAATTCCATTCTAAACAAAATGCTTCAATATTATGAACAAATACAAAATTATCATCATATGTAAATATCAGAAAAATTTTAATGATGTAAAGTTGTTGATTGATAAAAGAAAACTAACAATATATATTAGTGGGAAGCATTTAAAAGACCTCTACTTGAAGGCCAAGAACTGTGGTTCACACCTGTAATCCCAAAACTTTGGGAGACCAAGGTGGGTGGATCCCTTGAGCCCAGGAGTTCGAGACCAGCCTGGGCAACATGGCGAAACCTTGTCTCTACCAAAAAAAAAAATGTAGCCTGGCAGGGCGATGTACATCTGTGGTCCCAGCTACTAAGGAGTGAGTAGTCAGAGATGGGAGGATCACCTGACCCCACGAGGTCGAGGCTGCAACAAGCTATGATTGTGCCACTACGCTCCAGCCAGGACAGTAGAGTGAGACTGTGTCTTACAAAAAAAAAAAAAATCTCTAATTGGAAAAATACATCAACAGATTCTTTTTTCTAACAAAAGCAGCCATGAAATTTTGATCACCAACTATAATCAACACATTCCATTTGAAACTAAGTACCTGAAGATCCAACATGACTTTAACCAACTTGCTGCAGTAAGAGGGTGGCAAACTACACCGCTTGTGCAAGATTGTTTCCAACTCAGAGCTAGGTAACTCATCAAAGTGCAATTCCACAAACCGATTCCTGAAGGCTCTAGAAAGGACCTAGACAAAGCACAGAAAGAATACGGTAAAAGGTGCCTTTTAATTTCCAATATGGAGGCTCTGACATTCACCATAAAATATTAAAGGAGAGGTAAAAACATTTCATCCTTACTATGAAAAATCTACGATCTGATGTGGTAACAAATTGAAAGAAGGAGACAAATGCTACACACCTTTCTGCCTCCATAAAGTCCTGGGGGATTTTGGGTGGCAAAAAGCATAAACCGAGGGTGTGCTTTAACAACTTCCTGTGTTTCTGTTACGAGCAATTCACGGTTGTCATCCAACAGCCTATTCAGTGCCTCTAACACATCAGTAGGGGCCAAATTTAACTCATCTAAAATAATCCAATAGCCTTTTCTCATAGCATCAATAAGAACACCTAGGAAGAAACAAACAGTGTATAAATCAGTCCAAAGTTTTAAAATGCGTTATGTACAATCAACAAATCCTAGGTTATCATTAAATTTCAAAGCAAATTAATTTCTGTAGCTAGTCTTGCCTCAAAACAAATTATGACACTGCAGATCAAGGAGGAACAATTTTCAATTAAAATAGTCCCTTTTTTCCCCCACAGAAAAGAATCCAAGGCTGAAAATACCACGTTTCTTGTATAATCTTTCCCCTGCAGTCTAATTTCATTTAAGCCACCACATTCTGTTGTCTATTCCCAACTTCCTTTGGCTAACACCAACCCCATTCTCTGAATCCCTAGAAAATAAAGCAGCAGTTCAACTCCCGTCTTGAAAATTTGCCCCTAGTCCTGTATACAGCCAGCAAGGTTAGTAGAACCTAAAGAAAGCCAGCAACTTATGCATCACCCCTTAACTATCTTAGCTCAGGCATCAAGAAAAGCTGGTTGTTACAGCAAAGGTCCATGTGCCTCTCAATTGGAAAGGATGAAGAATATTACTTAAGGAAATGTGTGTGAAAGAATAAATACCTATGTTCATGGAATGGAATCTTAACCCTACCTTCTTTAAAGACAAGCTTCCCTGAGGAGTCAGATGTGTAACAACCAATGTACTCCTGGATATCCGTGTGTTCATGATTGTTAATACGCACACAGTGGTTGCCAGTAGCTGCAGCCAGCCACTGGATCAGGCTTGTTTTACCAACTGATGTCTGTCCCTGAATCAGCACTGGATAGGTTCTGTAAAAGATTAGGCAATTAAGCAACTTAAAACAAAAAATTACAAAGCTGAGAAGCCAGAACTGAGTATTGGTTTGTTTTGTTTGACACAGGGTTTCACTCTGTCGCCCAGGTTGCAGTGTGGTGGCGCAATCATAGTTCACTGCAGCCTCGACCTCCCAGGCTCAAGTGATCCTCCCACCTCAGCCTCTTGAGTAGCTGGGACTACAGACATGCACCACCAAGACCAGCTAAACTTTGTATTTTTTGCAGAGACAGAGTTTTGCCACGTTGCCCAGGCTGGTCTCAAAACCCTGGGCTCAAGTGATCCAACCGCCTTGGCCTCCCACAGTGCTGGGATTACAGGCATGAGCCACTGCACCTGGCCAAGTACTGTTTTTTGTTTGTTTGTTTTCTAAAGAATGACAACATCATTTAACAGCATCATTAAAAGAGAATTTTTTTCTTTTTTTTTCCTTTTTACATTTCTGGAAATTGCAAGAAGCAAAGAACATTTTTATTCCTATACACTGAGAAGTTTCTTTGTAAAAATTATTCCTCAAAACATACTAAGGAAAGCAATTCCAACTATGCTGGCAACATTTGTAAGAAACTGTAAGTAGAACTTTTACTCATTTACTGAATAATTTGTGGTATTTATCAGCAAAATAACAAAAGACAACTTTAAAGATAGATAAAATCATCTGCATCCATAGTGTTCCTTCCAAAGCTGCACAACTAGAAACAATGTTTTCTACCAGGAAAAAGTTATAGTACTGACTTTTGTAAGTAACTGTTCAGTTGGCCAACGAGGCCGGGCGCAGTGGCTCACGCCTGTCATCTCAGCACTTTGGGAGGCCGAGGTGCGCGGATCACAAGGTCAGGAGATCGAGACCTTCCTGGCTAACATGGTGAAACCCCATCTCTACTAAAAATACAAAAAAAAAATTAGCCGGGCGTCGTGGCGGGAGCCTGTAGTCCCAGCTACTCGGGAGGCTGAGGCAGGAGAGTGGCCTGAACCCAGGAGGCAGAGCTTGCAGTGAGCCAAGATCTCGCTACTGCACTCCAGTCTGGGCAACAGAGCGAGACTCAAGTCTCAAAAAAAAAAAAAAAAAAAAAAGAATAAAGCTCTCTGAAAGTTAAGGAAGTTAGACCAAAATGTCATCAGTGCCTATGCCTGTATCAAGTTCAGGACAGCGAGAAAAAAGCCCACACACCCTGCAGAGACAACTCGGACTATATCTCTCAGGTTCAGCTTCACAGAAGATGTGAGAATGTATGTCTCATCTATTGTAGGCTCCTTGTCTCCCACCGCAATCCAGTAACCTTCAACCTGGATAAGCCGACCTCCTTTTGGCTCTGGAATAGGCTGAAAGACACAGAAGTTCAAGGAATAACCCACAGTTGCGCATTCTTTCAGAGAAGGGCATAAAGTAGGAAAAGAGCTACTTGTTGAACAAGCTGTCTTGTTCTGCATACTTTCAACATTAAAACTGGGTGAAATACAAACATAAAATTGTGAGGAATGACAACAAAATGGTGTTATATATTGGTTTTAAAAATGAAGTGGAGTAGGTGGGTTTGGAAAAAAAACTGAATCAAAACAAATTCCCAGAAGGTTTATGTATCAGTTTTCTTCTCTCACATATCAAAATGCCCACTCCAAGTATTTTTAACAAAAACATGAATTTCGGCCGGGCGCGGTGGCTCAAGCCTGTAATCCCTGCACTTTGGGAGGCCGAGACGGGCGGATCACGAGGTCAGCAGATCGAGACCATCCTGGCTAACATGGTGAAACCCCGTCTCTACTAAAAAATACAAAAAACTAGCCGGGCGCGGTGGCGGGCGCCTGTAGTCCCGGCTACTCGGGAGGCTGAGGCAGGAGAATGGCGTGAACCCGGGAGGCGGAGCTTGCAGTGAGCTGAGATCCGGCCACTGCACTCCAGCCTGGGCGACAGAGCGAGACTCCATCTCAAAAAAAAAAAAAAAAAAAAAAACAAAAAAAACATGAATTTCATATAAACCATGTTCCCCGAAAAAGGGCCAGTGTTGTAGTAAGGAAGGAGGTTTTGCAGTATCACACTCTCGATTGCCTGGAAGACATTAAAAATAAAACTGACTTTTTAGAGCAACTAGACCATTAAGGATAATATTGTGGATAATGACATAACTTTGCTGAGATATGGTTTAAGTTACTAGGTTCGATTATATGAATTCCCATTTTTATAAGTAAAAGAATCGCTAAATGGTGGTCAAATCTGTAACTATGGAAAAGTACTCTTCTAGAGCATTTGGGCCCCAGATTTCAAGCTACACGTCTAGGCCCTGCTTTTAAGGCATCCTCAGTTGAGTTGAGAAGCAACAGGGGGAGGGGAGGAAGGATCTTTTTAAGTTTCTGTCACACCCTGAGGCACACACACAAAAAAAGACCAACTGGAAGAGACCGGTATTTGATTACAACAATGGTAAAAGCAAGCCTGAGCCTTTTCTCAATGTTTTCACAATTTACCAAAAGTATTTATGCATGTGTTACTTGTACAATTTTTTAAAAGGCTGAGTCCAAAGAAACCCCAAGTCCCAAGGGCTCTCTCTTCCTAATGAACAAGCAATCAACATGTAAACAAGCCAATTTACATGTTGATTGTGAGTCAGTTTCTCTCAGCCTCTTTCAGTCCCATGCTATTCTGTAATTTCCTGTCAAATCCAAAATGGCTATTGTTTATAATAGTGCCCCCACTAATGCCCCCTCAGAAAAGGCCCAACCATCAATCAGAAGGTATAGATTATACTTAACGGTGTAGTTAAACTATGCAGATAGTGAAACTATGGTGTACCCATCCAGTGAAATTATATGTGGCCCTTAGAAGGCATGTCACAATGAATTCTGGTACAAAAACAAAAATATACCCAAGATTCAGTTAGTTTAAAAAGGAAAGCTACAGAATATTCTTATGGGCCAAGCACGGTGACTCATGCCTATAATCCCAGCATTTTGAGAGGCCGAGGCGGACAGATCACGAGGTCAGGAGTTTGAGATCAGCCTGGCCAACAAGGTGAAACCCAGTCTCTACTAAAATTACAAATATTAGCTGGGCATAGTGGCATGTGCTTGTAATCCCATCTACTCGGGAGGCTGAGACAGGAGAATCACTTCAGCCAGGGAGGGGGAGAATGCTGTGAGCCGAGATTACACCACTGCATTCCAGCCTGGGCGACACAGCAAGACTCTATCTCCAAAAAAAAGAATATTCTTATGAGACAGTCCCACTTACATTAAATGCATATTACAATTTACCTCAATAAATCAACACATACATACCAAAATTCGGATATGTAAGAAAATAAAATACATACATTATACAATTTATCTGGAAACATTATCCACAGTATTTAAATATCCAAAGAGCACGCTTATTGGAAACTTGCACCATCTAAACGTACGTTTCTGTAATGTTTAAACTTTTTGCAACAGATTACCTTTATAATTAAAAAGTTATGTGAAAAAAAAACAACAAAAAACCAAACAGCTGAAAATTTGGTAATTCAGCCTCTCAAGTATAACAAGTCAAAAATAACAAAAGAACATACCTGCTTCAGCAGACTCTTGACATTGCCAGAGACGATGTGTTGACAGATGAGCTTCTGAACTATTGGGTGTGATGCCCTGTCAAGCTGTGTTAAGAAACCCAAACAAAAACCCTAGAAAGAAAACACAAATATGCATAATGCTAAGTAACCTTCTGCAATACAACCAAACTTATTTCTAGAACAAAATTTAACCTCTTGGGTGATGCTGCTTCCCAACTTTTAAATATAGTAAGGTGGTAGATAAAGGGAAGGGTAGGCCAGGCACGGTGGTTCACGCCTGTAATCTCAGCACTTTGGGAGGCCAAGGCAGGAGGACAGCTTGAGCCCAGGAGTTTGAGACCAGAGTGGGAACCCAGTGACACCCTGTTTTTATGTATAATTAAAAATAAAAATTTTAAAATAAAAAGTAAAATATTTAATTTAAAAGGACAGGGTAGATGTGGTATGAGGTATTCTGGGCTGATCTGACTAACTGGAAAGCACAGGCAATCTGGCATATGCATCCCTATTCCTTCCTTCCCACGAACCCATCCAGCAAGCTCATATCCTGTCAAAGAGACTTCAGAAAGACCTCATAGAGTGAACGCTGAATGTTGCCACATGGATTGGAGGCTGCAAATCGCAGGGCCCGGCACAGAGTTCGAAGGCTGTAGTGAGGTCTATGGCCAGTGCCATCCACCAATTTGGTCCCCGACTCTTTCCGCAAAGCTGTGTAGAAGCTACAAATAGAATAAAGGTCAGGCAATTTTATTTACTAATAAGTATCCATTATTATCGATTCTCTACAGAAAACCCAAAGGACATTTTTTAGATCACAAATCGTCATGCTTGCATACAACTTCCTAGGGCATGCATCAAAATATCTTAGTCTCTTTTAAATCTACTTTTCACGTACTCAGAGCTATCTTTCAAAATAAAAAAAAATGAACACCTATTTCCTTTAGGAAACTGGGAAGTACAATGTGCAATTCCTCTAGCAAAAAGGTACTGATAAAGAGAGGTGAGAAGTTTCTGTGTTCCACAGTCTGTTCAAGCTTAAGAGGCAAACAAAGTTCCTGTGCAATCTAAAATGGGGATGAATAAAGACATGGCAAACAATGCATGGTGTTTTGAAAGGCTACAAATATGGCTATAATCAGTACTGACAAAACGTTAAAAAGCAGGAGGATACGATTACCATTACTACTGTCACTATCCCACTTTAGAAGTCCAAATGATGACAGGATGGGAAAAGCTTCAGACTGAAACATGAATATCTTGCACTTTGTGAAATTCATGATCAGTTAGCACCACAAGATCAAATGTAACCAAGTGTGCATGCATCACAGATGAAATCCAAGTTCCTGCCCAAATGCGCTTTGTCTTATCTCTTTGCTATCTAAAAAAAAATTTTTTCTTTTGTAGAAAGAATCTATGTTTTGGAACTGGGTTTTTAATATATGGAATATATACTACTTGTACTCTCAGTATTTTATAAGTACCTCATTTTATCTCTTTATCTCTTTAGATAAAATGAGGTACTTATAAAAGTTTACCTTTAGCATCTGGAATCTTAACTATACATATTTACACTTTTGTCCAAATATTCTTGGCTAACAGAAAGTATTCCAATTTAGGGTGTGGTGTGGTAAACCGTTCTGAAGCATTCTAAACACACGCCTCGTTGACCAATCTATTTAATATAGGATTTCAAGACCAGGTGCTGTAGCTCATCCCTGTAATTCCAGCACTTTGGGAGGCTAAGGCTGGCAGATCACTTGAAGCCAGGGGTTCAAGACCAGCCTGCACAACAAAGCAAAGCTCCTGTATCCAAAAAAAAAAAAAAATAGAACTCCAAGTCTTCATTTCCTTACATCCTACTCAGTTTTATATGTAATTTTTTTCACTTATCACAACCTAAAATTACGGTACATGACTTCTCCAGAATTAAAGCTCAATGAGAAGAACCAGGATTCTGTCTGCCTTACTCATAGCTATATCCCTAGCACCAGGGCACTCAATAAGTATTTGTATTAAGGAAGAGAAAAAATACACAAATACATAGTAAAACATTAATATCACCCTATTTCAATCCTTTTACATGTTGTATTTCTTTCTGGAGAACACACAGTTAAGTTAGTGGCCCAGAATGACACAATTAGTTTCTCATAGAACCAATACTAGAATTGAGGTTATCTGACACAAGAGATTGCACATTGTCTAATGGCATACAAAAAAACAGGAATAAGTCTCAAATTAAAGCACCAAGCCACACAACTACTCTATTATTTATTAGGCTAAGCTTCCATTAATTCCAAACCTGATACAATTATATTAACCCTTTTCTCCTTATATCCCACGTAGCTACTACAAATATTGCAAATAAAAAAGTCATCTTCTTCAAGACAGGTCAAAATGCAAGCCAGGTACATCTCCAAGAATTCAAACTCTCAGCTATGAATATACAGGTAATCAGGAGAGCATTATCTGATAGTTTATATCTTCTCATAAGTAGTGATTCATAGCTTTCTATGTAATTTCCTTAGAAAAACCTGAAGGAGTTCATACTAGGTTCCAACTTTACCAGAGAATCTAAATAATAATCCTGCTATCAGTTTTCTCAAGTTAGAAGTAAAAAAGAATGCATATTTGTGTGTGTGCACGAGTAGCACATTTTCATGTTCAGAGAAGGAGTTTATAAAGACATACCAAAGGGAACCTACTTTATGATTCCTTGCACTGTATTCTTGTTCACACTCAATCCTTTCAGATAATCTACAATAAGAACCTGTAAGTCTTCTTTACTTTCCAATTCTTCTACATAAAGTTCTGTGAACCTGTAAAACAATACATAATAAACACTTTTTAGGAAGTTAATACAATTATGTTGACAATAGAAAAACATGAAACAGAAAAAGATATGTCAGCTCATTTTAACTGCTTATAGTATAAAATGTCTTTCAACCTGAGATAGAAACTGATCATAATTAAAGGACAATGTAACCATTACCAAAAATATACCATTATTGCTTCTTCTATGCAATAAGTCTTCTATGTATAGTCCTTACAAGAAGAAAAAGACACAAAAATAAGAATTAATTATCCTCATTTTCAGGTGTTTATCATAATCACATTTGTTTAAAAAAATAAGTGCAATAAAAAACAAGCCCCTCAACATCAGAAACAAAATGGTTGAAGAGAAAACAACTACTTTAATGTCGTTTCTAAAGCTTCCCTAAGAAGCTTTTATTACTTTATAATGAAGAGACAGGATCTAATAAAGTTACTATTTTAAAACTCAAAATGAAGTAAACGGTTACCAATAATAAATCTGGTCATTTTTTTTCCCCAAATGTTACATACATAAAACACCAACAACTAAGTACTTTGTTCATGTCAGTGCTTATTGGTGAAAAATAAAAGAAACTTAAAATGCCTTTTCAAATCATTAGCCTCATCCAAAGAGGACTGTGTTCCTAAAATGTATGTATACTGGTATATGCTTTCCTGTTATATTGTGTTATGAAATTTTTCTAATCGCCAAAAGATTATCTGAGTAAGAAAAGATTTTTATTTTCAACAATATCCACTGACATACTAACACAGAGGGAAAAATTCTCCAGTGTTCTGAAGATTCCCATATGCCTACCACCTACAGAAAGTACAGGAATATGACAAATAAGGTAGTAAAGATTCCACTATCAGAGGCAATTTCAAGCATTGCTTTAAAGTTTGGTTACATTAATATTACTAATCTATAAATAAAGAGAATCTGAAAAGGAAGTCTTGGTAATCCCAGCACTGTGGGAAGTCGAGGCAGGCAAATCGCTTGAGCCCAGTTAGACATCAGCCTAGGCAACATGGCGAAATCCCATCTCTGCTAAAAATACAAAAAATTGAGGCTGGGCGCAGTGGCTCACACCTGTAATCCCAGCACTTTGGGAGGCTGAGGTGGGCGGATCACAAGGTCAGGAGTTCGAGACCAGCCTGGCCAACAGAGTGAAACCCCGTGTCTACTTAAAAAAAAAAAAAAATAGAGAAATTAGCCAGGCATGGTGGCGCATGTCTGTAGTCCCAGCTACTAGGGAGGCTGAGGCAGGAGAATCACTTGAACCCAGGAGGTGGAAGTTGTGGTGAGCCAAAATTGCATCACTGCATTCCAGCCTGGGCAACAGAGTAAGACTCTGTTTCAGAAAAAAAAGAAAAAAAAAAATAGCTGGGTGTGGTGGCATGTGCCCATAATCCTGGCTATTCAGGAGTCTGAGGTGGGAGGTGGGAGGACCACTTGAACCGGGGACTTGCAGTGAGCCAAGATCACACCACTGCACTCCAACCTAGGCAACAGAGCAAGAACCTGTTGCAAAAAAAGAAACTCTCCAAGAACCAACCCCTCACCTGTTTCTTATTCCTGGTGGGAGATTTCTTTTGCCTACATCAGTTGCTGGATTCATGCAGGCAAATAAACGGAAGTCAGGATGCCGAACCAGTGGCTCTGTTAAGAGAAAATTATAAATTTTCAACAAAGGTATGATTATCTAATTCCACAGAACCCCCCAGGGCCAGCCAGCCTGATGCTGGCTACTCACACCATCCTTGTCTTTTCTGAAACTCCCCTGAAATAACTTTCCAGACCTATGTATTCAATCTAATCTTATACTGCAGTCTTTTGTGGTATGTTTATTCACTGTTACTTATCTTTTACCAACCATTTACCTGTTATTTTATAAGTGTGTCTATTATCCACAACTCAAATACCTTGTCAAATTATACTATTCTTCTTTGCATTCCCCATACCACCCAACAACAGCTCAATGTACTTTGCAGAAAATTAATATCTAAAGAATGAACAAATTTCATTGGGAGGCCCACGTCATCCTTCTAACCAAAAAAAAAAAAAAAAATCTCACTCTAAAGTGGCCGTAGGGCTGGACAGCAAGTCAAATCCCAAGGGACTCAAGTGCTACTACCTGTGTCTCCTCGATCCAGCAACACCAGGGATCCAGAGGATCCTTCAAGCAAACCACTCAGACATTCTAGTATTTCTGGAGCAGCCAAGTTAATCTCATCCAACAAGATCCACTCTCCTTTCTTTACAGCCTGAGCTAATGTACCCTAGAAAAAGATAAAATAAAATGTTAAGAATGTGTCAAATAAAGGCACACTTGCCAAGAACAGTTATGCAAGCAGGGTTAGAAATAGAGGCACAGGCCCATCAAGGTATAGGCCCATCAAGTAGGAAAGATTTGCTATACCTTAACTGCCCACTGGCTGACAGCAGATAGGTAGAGTTAAGGCCAAGTTAATTTTTTAAATGTCCAAAAGGGTCAAGGGAGTATCTTTGAGCCTAACACAGAAATGCAATAAACTAAATCCTCTCATTATGTGGATGGTCAGGTAAATAGCTTACATTGTAGTCAGGTGTTTAAAGGCACCCAAGTGGCTATTAAAACTCAAAACAAATACAGGGTCAGGCTATACCAAGATTAGACAAATATCTAAATCCCAGAGTGTTTAGTGATTCTCATACACAACCTTTCACACCTGCTGAAAATCAAAATGCATCATCCTTTGACTTTAGTACACTCGTGTTATCTATTTCCTAGAGCAATACAAACAAATCTAATAATCTACTCAGTTGACACATCAAAAACTATTTTACTATTAAGGCTGCTTTATGCTTTTGTTTTCATGCTAATCCTAACAAAGAATCTACTACAAATTTAACTGAAAAACATAAAACAGAACAAATATATTAACTCCAGTATATTACTAAGTCATAAAACATAAGCCTTGTTTTGAGAACACAACAATTTAATTGGTTTTAGAAATAATCCTATTAAAAATAATTCTGGGCTGGGCATGATGGCTCACGTCTGTAACCCCAGCACTTTGGGAGGCTGAGGCGGGCAGGTCACTGGAGGTCAGGAGTTCAACATCAGCCTGACCAACATAGTGAAACCCCATCTCTACTAAAAAATACAAAAATTAGCCAGGCGTGGTGGCACACACCCTTAATCCCAGCTACTCAGGAGGCTGAAGCAGGAGAAACGCTTGAACCTGGGAGGCGGAGGTTGCAGTGAGCCCAGACTATGCCATTGCACTCCAGCCTGGGTGACGAAAGCAAAACTCTGTCTCAGAAAAAAAAAAGGAATAGTTCTGGGGCCAGGGTCAGTGGTTCATGCCTGTAATTCTAGCACTTTGGGAGGCTGAGGCAAGCAGATTACGAGGTCAGGAGATCAAGACCATCCTGGCTAACACGGTGAAACCCTGTCTCTACTAAAAATACAAAAAATTAGCCAGGCATGGTGGCGGGCGCCTGTAATCCCAGCTACTCTGGAGGCTGAGGCAGGAGAATTGCTTCAACCCAGGAGGCAGAGGTTGCAGTGAGCCAAGATCGCGCCACTGCAATCCAGCCTGGGTGACAGAGTCAGACTCCGTCTCGAAAAAAAAAAAAGAATTCTGATGACCAAATTTTCCACACCCATAACGTATGGTTGAGTAGACCTTCTTTGTTACTAAAACACCATCAAGTAAGACTCCTGCTTCCTCTAGGGCTTGATCTAAGGACTGTCACAGAAATGAATTTTTTTTAAATGCCCAAGTCACAAATATTTAACCAAGTTGATCCTTCCTACAGGGTTACAGGACAGCAAACAGTAGAGATGTCCATGCCTTGGGATTAAAATTGGGGCACTGAAGTGAACGGGTCCAAATCCCTCTCACATCCACACACTCTTTCCCTGGAGACACACATGGCAAGAGAAAGAATCCAGAGTTCACTATCTGTCATCAATTGCATCTTTAAAAATAATAATAGGCCGGGCGCGGTGGCTCAAGCCTGTAATCCCAGCACTTTGGGAGGCCGAGGCGGGTGGATCACGAGGTCAGGAGATCGAGACTATCCTGGCTAACATGGTGAAACCCCGTCTCTACTAAAAATACCAAAAACTAGCCGGGCGTGGTGGCGGGCGCCTGTAGTCTCAGCTACTTGGAAGGCTGAGGCGGGAGAATGGCGTGAACCCGGAAGGCGGAGCTTGCAGTGAGCCGAGATCATGCCACTGCACTCCAGCCTGGGAGCACAGCGAGACTCCGTCTCAAAAAAAAATAATAATAATAATAATAATAATGATAATAGATCCAGCAATCTCACTTCTGGGTATTCCCCCAAAAAATCTGAAAACAGTATGTCGAAGGGATGTCTGCAATCCCATGTTCATTGCACCACTATGCACAACAGTCAAGATACAGAATCAACCTATGTTTCCAACAACAGATGAATAAAGAAAATGTTGTATATATACATATATATAAACAATAGAATCCTATGGAAACTTATTCAGCTTGAAAAAAGAAATAAATTTTGTCATTTGCTATGACATAAATAGAACCAGAGAATATTATGCTAAGTGAAACAAGCCAGGCACAGAAAGACAAGTATCGCACGTTCTCACTTATATGTGAAATCTAAAACAACAGAACTCAAAGAAGCAGCCAGCAGAATGGTAGTCAGCAGAGGCTGGAGAGTTAGGGAGTATAGAGTAACAAAAGTATAAAGCCTTGGCCGGGCACAGTGGCTCACGCCTGTAATCCCAACACTTTGGGAGGCTGAGGCAAGCAGATTACGAGGTCAGGAGATCAAGACCATCCTGGCTAACACGGTGAAACCCTGTCTCTACTAAAAATACAAAAACAAAAAATTAGCCGGGCGTGGTGGCATGCACTTGTAGTCCCAGCTGCTCAGGAGGCTGAGCCAGGAGAATGGCGTGAACCTGGGAGGCGGAGCTTGCAGTGAGCCGAGATTGCGCCACTGCACTCCAGCCTGGGGGACAGTGAGACTCCATCTCAAAAAAAAAAAAAAAGAAAGAAAGTACGAAGCCTTAAATTAGACAGAAAAAATAAGGTTTCTTCCCTGTGAGATATATATTGCACAGCATGGCAACCATGCCATAAATAGTAAATAATAATGTATTGTACATTTCAAAATTACTAAGGCAGTACATTTCAAATGTTCTCACCACAGAAATTGGTATGTGAGGTGATGAATATATTAATGAACTTTAGTTATTTCACACCGTATTCATAAATCATAACACCATTTTGTACTCCATGAATATATACAATTATAATTTATCAATTTGTACTTTCAAATTTTTTATTTAAATAATGATGGTGCTCATTAAGACCTTATAATTGCCATAATTACCATGAAAGACATTTTTCAAAATCTTCCCCCAAAATCATTGTTTCATTAAGACAATACACAATAGTAACCTGCCTGAAACTTTGTTTTGCATAAAATCACCATTACCATAAGCTAAATAACGAAAACAGAAATACCTCTACAAATGCAAACAATAAGGTATTTTCAGTCATTTTCATCTGTTGTTGGGCATGGTTGAGTCTAAGACCAAATGCTTCCCATTTCTCTTTTATGAGTAACCCTAAAAAAGAAGACAGACAAGAATTTAGTACACATTTTGAGTTGTAATATATACAACTTTTAAACATAAACAAATACAATTAACAAAACACACAAAAAGTAAGCATCTTACACAAAACACTAAGTCTAAAAACTTATATAATGCTAACTAAATGCCAGATATGACACTAACTAGCCCAGATATATGCATATATATATATTAACTGCCTCATTTATCCCTGACAACAACCCTCTGGACTAGTTATTTTTATTCCTGCTTTACAGATAAGGAACCACACAGAAGTAACCTAAGCCAGCAAAAGCCTCTTGGCTATGGAATCTAGCTCCTTAGAAACAAGCTTTTTCTCAGGAAATGTGCCTTACTGACCACTAAATAGTACTTGCACATCAGCATTACCAGTCATCTGTTTTTGTGGAAATCATGTAAAGAATGGGGCACAATACTTCACAATTAGTCACTTCTGCCAAAGTCCCAGAATCTCCAATTTGTATTGCTTTACTCTTCGCCAAAACTCTTAACCTGTTAACTAAAGCCCAGCCCCATGCCCTCCCCCATGGCAGCCTGGGTCACATCCTTACCAGCTTCACTCTCTTTTCCATCCTTGTTAACAGCAGACTTGTGTACATGCTGCATTAGTCTCAGGAGATCATGCCACCGTTTCTGTCTGTAACAGGTCTGAATGTGCCCCAAGAACGTAAAGTTTTGTTTCTTGGAAAATGTCTGAGCAAAGAGTTCCTCAAATGCCTCCCGCAAGGGTAGCCAAATAAGCTTATGGTCCACCGGTTTATAACTGAAACAGACATAGGTAAATGTGACTCACAAACTTCTAAAGTTAACAAAAGTTAGAAAGCATGGCTCAGAAAATAGGAGTAGGTCTCAGATTTCATTTAATTAAAGTTAGAAACACTACCGAAATATTTAAAATCTACATTACAGTTTTAAATTGTAATCTGTTTACCTCATCTCAAGCATTTGAATGGCCTATAATGAAGGTAAAAACTATTATTAGATAAAAAGTGTTATGAAAAAACTAGCCTAGCATGGCTGCTCACATTTATAACCCCAGCACTTTGGGACACTGAGGGGGTCGGATCAGTTCAGCCTGGGAGTTCAAGCCCACCCTGGGCAACATGGCAAAATCCTGACTCTACAAAAAAATACAAAAATTAGTCAGGCGCAGTAGCACACACCTGCAGTTCCAGCTACTTGGGAGGCTGAGGTGAGAGGCTTGAGCCCAGCAAGTGCAGGTTGCAGTGAGCCAAGAACACACCACTGCCACTCCAGCCTTGGCAACAGAGCCAGACCCTGTCTCAAAAAAATAAAAGTAAAAAAATCCTGAAAGTCCTACTTGAATAGTAAAATTCACATCATTTATTTTACCAACATGTCTACATAAATATGTATAGGGCATAATAACAAACCATCCATATTTCATTAAAGTTGACCAAAATCCAAGGAAAAATAAGTATCTGAAATTGATCTACACATGTAAATTAAACACAGCTCACACATTATCAGTTAGGAGAAGGAAGAGTAGGAGACAGCAACGATGATATTGCTTTCAATGGGATAAAAATTAGGGTAGGGCACGCAAAAAAAAAAAAAAAAAAAACCTTAGCTATTGCAATGGTTTGTGGTACTCCAAAGCTCAACCTGTACTTCTTAGTATTTTGATCTTTGTTATTCCTTAGCATTAAATTCCTCTGGCTAATGAGCTAGGAAATTAACTTAAATTTGAATATTTGGGGGAGGTAAGAGATAACTTTTTACAAGGTTGAAAAACATTGCTCTAGCTTAAACATATGATGTCTAAGAGGCAATACTTATTCCTAGAAAATCTTAAGTATACAATTTTGTGTAGCATACCATTACAATTCAAGAAGAATGAGATAAACTTTATTTCCATGAAAAATAAATTGAGAACTGAAAAGGTACCAAAAACATAATAAGGGAATTCATGGATTACTGCTGACTTACTGGCCTAGTGAGGGAGAAACAATGAGATGAGTAAAACCCAATGGCCTGATACTGAGCATCTGAATCTGAGAGTCCAGTTTCAAAGAGAAAAAGTTGAAGAGGAATGTCAAACTCACTTTCACTTACTCACAGCACTAACACATTAGTATATGCATTTCTTTAGTCAATTTATTTAACAAAAATGTATTGAGGCCAGGCACAGTGGCTCATGCCTGTAATCCCACCACTTTGGGAGGTTAAGGCGGGAGGATTCCCTGAAGCCAGGAGGTTAAGACCAGAGTGGGTAACAAAGCCAAGACCTTGTCTCCATAAAAAATTTTAAAATGGCCAGGCGCGGCGGCTCAAGCCTGTAATCCTAGCACTTTGGGAGGCCGAGACGGGCGGATCACGAGGTCAGGAGATCGAGACCATCCTGGCTAACCCGGTGAAACCCCGTCTCTACTAAAAAGTACAAAAAACCAGCCGGGTGAGGTGGCGGGCGCCTGTAGTCCCAGCTACTCAGGAGGCAGAGGCAGGAGAATGGCGTAAACCCAGGAGGAGAGCTTGCAGTGAGCTGAGATCCGGCCACTGCACTCTAGCCTGGGCGACAGGGCGAGACTCCGACTCAAAAAAAAAAAAAATTTTTTTTTAAATTAGCCAGGTGTGGTGGTCCCATCTGTAGTCTCGGCTACTTGGGAGGTTAAGAAGGATCACTTGAGCACAGGAGTTCGAGGCTACGGAGCTATGATAACACCACCGTACTACAGTCTGGGCAACAGAGCAAGAACTCATCCCTTTATAAAAATTGTTTTGAGCACCTACTATATGTGTTAGCCATTGAGTCAACAAGACCCACAAGGTCTTACTGCTGTGTAGCTTATAATCAAATGAAAGTGACAACAGGCCAGGGGCAGTGGCTCACATCTATTAATCCCAGCACTTTGGGAGACTGAATAGGCGGATTTCTTGAGCTCTAGAGTTCGAGACCAACCTGGGCAACATGGTGAAACCTTGTCTCTACAAAAAAATACAAAAATTAGCCAAGTAGGCCAGTGTGTCCCTGTAGTCCCAGCTACTTGGGAAGCTGAGATGGGAGGCTTGTTCAAGCTCAGGAGGTCAAATAGTAGCTTAACTGCTATAAACATAATGTAAGGTAAAAGCTGAATGGGTGATGTGAGTTTTGGTAATCTGAATATCACAGTCAGGAAAGGCTTTGTTGAGGAGGAGACATTTGAAGGATACCAAAGTCAAGGAAGGATGTGTGCTAAGCAGTTATCTGTGGGTGCAAGGAGGCCACACGAAAGGAATGGCAAGCATTTAGGTGCAAAGCAGAAGAAAGTGGTTGGAGCTCAGCAGCACAGGGGAAGGTGGGAGATGATGTCAGAGAAGTACCACTGTCAGATTATGAAGGGCTGTACAAATCAAACATTTTATTCTAAATCTCTGTATTTTATCCTAAATGGATTGAGAAGTTCAGTGGAGGAACCTGAGGAAGAGAGTGAGACCAGACTGGGTAACAAAGCAAGACCCTGTCTCCATAAAAAAATTATACTTTATTGGACCAGGCGCGGTGGCTCACGCTTCTAATCTCAGCACTTTGGGCGGCAGAGATGGGTGGATCACGAGGTCAGGAGACCGAGACCATCCTGGCTAACACGGTGAAACCCTATTTCTACTAAAAATACAAAAAAAATTAGCCAGGCATGGTTGCAGGCGACTATAGTCCCAGCTACTCGGGAGGCTAAGGCAGGAGAATGGCATGAACCCGGGAGCAGAGGTTGCAGTGAGCTGAGATCGTGCCACTGCACTCCAGCCTGGGAGACAGAGCGAGAATTCGTCTCTAAATAAATAAATAAATAAATAAAACTTATACTTTATCTGATTATATTTTAAAGGATTATTGTAACTCCTAAACAAAAAAGACTATAAAGAGATTATGAGTAGAAGCAAAGATAAGAGACCAACGCAATGGACTAGACAATAAACTAGAACGACAACAGTGAAAATGGTGAGAAATTGAACAAAATATACGTGTCATTTAAATAAAATTGCTAGTCTTTTTATTTATTTTTTAACTTTTTATTGTAAAGACAAAGTCTCACTATGTGGCCCAAGTTGGTCTCGAAGACCTGGCCTCAAGCAACACTCCCACCTTTGCCTCCCAAAGTGCTGAGATTACATGCATGAGCCATTGCTCCTGGCCAAAACTGCTAGTCTTGAAAATAATAGTATAAATGGGATCCAAAGTTAATTGAAGAAGCAGAGTAATGGTTAAGAACACAGACACTCAAGACTGCTTAGGTTCAAATCCTGGATCTGCCATTTTCTTGAATAAGTGACTTATCTCTCTTTGCCTCAGTTCTCTCATGTTTAAAATATAGAGAATAACAGTCCGGTTTCTCACATGGTTTTAAGACCAGCCGAGTTAACACAAAAAAAGGACTCAAAACAGTGCCTGGCACATAATGACTGCCATAGAGAGTTAGTGGATAATTAATGTCTCTGTTATTATTGATCTATTGAATTTATGAAAAAGGCAGCTTAATATTTCAAAGTAGACTGAGTTTCTTAAAGAAAAGCTCATTCGGGCCAGGTGCTGTGGCTCATGCATGTCATCCCAGCACTTTGGGACGCTGAGGCAGGCAAACGACTTGAGGTCAGGAGTTTGAGACCAACCTGGTCAAAATGGCAAACCCCATCTCTACTAAAAATACAAAAATTAGCTGGGCCTGGTGGCGGGGCCCCTGTAATCCCAGGTACTCAGGAGGCTGAGGGAGAAGAATCGCTTGAGCCCGGGAGGCAGGGGTTACAGTGAGCTGAGATCATGCTGCTGCTCTCCAGCCTGGGCAACAAACTCCATCTCAAAAAAAAAAAAAAAAAAGGAAAGCTCCATTCATTTAAAGCTGAGCACAGTATTACCTAAAGCCCTTAAGTCAACACATATTTCAATACATGAAAAGATGAAAAAGCATACATTTCAGAAAAGAATAAATAAAACAAAATCAACTGCAACTGCAACACAAATATTCAATGGGAACCAACCTGACACCTCAGAGAACTGAGGCTATAAACTACAAACAACTCAAGAGCAAGATTTTCAAACCATCTTCTGCAGAAAGGCACCTTAGCAGCAGGTCCAAAACACCTGCCTTCATGAAAAGTAACTGTGCTTATACCTGTTACATACACTGGAACCACATGTAAGCATTCATGTGAGAATGGCTACACAAAATTATAACGGGAAAAAACAAAGTGTAAAAAGAACGTAAAATGTACATGCTGAGTAATTAGAATGATAAACCCTTTCTCTTCATGTCATGGACAGGGTTCTGAGTTCGAACTGTATGCTCCTGCCATACCCTCTTTCGGGCATTTTCTTTTAAAGACTGTTCTATGGGTGGGTGGCAAGGAAGATGAGGATTGGCTGCTTTACTGCTATTTCTACAATATCTTTAATTTTCCTCTATTTTTTCCCTTCTTTCATTGCCAAGCTCTCCAGGGAAACCGGTCCTTCTCAATATATCTCTGTTTCTCCCTCAGAAGCTGCCCCTCTGAAGCCCATTCCCTATAGTAAGTGCTATGAACATGCGCTCTGTATTTTGCCCTTTAGTGCTAGACTTTCTCCTTCTGGAATGATTTTATCTGCCACATCTAAGTCTTCCATGCCCTCTACTCTTTTTCAAGGATTCTCTTGGGCTCTTCCCCACCTGCAACTCTTGGAATTTATGTCTCTACCTACACGTAATGTGAAGGTCTACATGCTGCTTACCAGCAGCCCATGTTAAATAAAATGACAAAAATGAGTTTAAAATTAAATGAAGGAAAAAGACATAT